ACTTGATTAGAGTACTACTTTTCTAAAGGTACACAAGACTATTTACCTATTTCTTCCATTTTCCACACCCGTTTTTAAACTCACCCCCTCCCTTCCACCCTCACTACTTTCCCACTACTCTCTTTTCGTTCTACTGTGGCGCGAAATCGATGTTATCCGGCGCATATATCCGTGTAACCTCGCGTTGAAACACTTAAAGGCATATATTTTTCAACTTTTTTCTAGTATTTTTTTCATTTTTTTTCTTTTGAAGCTGCTCTTTAGATTTTCTATTCAAATTTGAATAAATGATGTTAACGATTTTCGAGAAAGTTCTAAGCATTCGATTTATCGTTCCACTCACAGAGAGGCTGTTTTGTCGAAACTTTCCTTATAAACGTATAATACATTAGTGTCTAAAAAGGGAGATCCCTAAAACTTTTTAACCCTCTGTCGTGAGAGGTGAATTTAGAAAAGAAGAAAATTATGCAAGTGTATATATATGAAAAATGATATGATCGATACAAAATATTTTATTTTAATAATTTTTTTTAGTTTTAAACTTTGTCTAATTTCAAAAATTTTTTATTTCGACTACAGGCCTCGGATCGACTTAAAAGAGTATTCTCATGATTTTCTCCTTTCACTGATTTCTAAATTCAATTTTTAAAACTTAAATAATTTTGTTAAATAAATATTTAAATAATTAATATTTGTTTTTCTATATGGGAAATACAATTAGAAAAATTTCAAATTAAAACCATCTGAAATTTATAAATTTTCTAAAATTACAATTATAACCCTTCCAAAATAAAATTATTTTCTTCAATTTTTAACGAAACTTCATTTCCAAATCAATTGTTTTTAATTTTTCTTCCTATTATTTAAATACAAAAATTAAATTTTCTATAACAATTGTAACTGTAATTGTTTATGGTTCTTTTTTTAAAAATTCCAAAGGTGAATTACTGCAAATGTTTAACCAAAAATGTTTAAAGTAACTGATTTTTAAAAAATTATACTAAAGAAATTCTTAAAATTAATTTTTTAAATATATTTTTAAACATTTTTTGAAAGTTTATAGGTTTTTAATTTATAAAATTGAAAAATTCCCAAATAATTGAAATTTGGTAAAGTCATTTAACAATAATTGAATTTTTGAAAAATATAAAAAGAAATAATCAAATTTTTATGAAGAACTTTAATTTTAAAAATGAATATGATTTCTCCAAAATAATACTAAATCTAAAAAAGTAAATTGTTTAAGATTTACTTTTTTGGACTTTTTAAAATTTTGGAGAAAATTTTTTTTAAATAATTGAAATCTTTTGGAACATTTTTGAGAATAATTGAAAATTTGCCAAGAATTTTCAAAAAATTTTTAAACATATTTGAATTTCTCCGAAGAATATTTTATTATTTTTGAAAATAATTGAATTCCTGTAATAAATATATTATTAACGAAATAATTGAATTATTGCCAAGAAATTTAGAAAAATTTTATAAATATTTGAATTTCTTTGAAATTTTTACTATTTATGAAAATTAATTGAATGTTCGTTTGGAGAATTTTATTATAATTTTCTTTAAGTAACTAAATTCTTTTTGAAAATCTTTTAAAATAATTTAAATTTTGTTATGAATTTTATTTACACTTTTGAATATAATTGAATTTCTGCGAAGAATTTTATTAATAAAAATAATTGAAATTTTGCAATGAATTTTATTATTTAAGAAAATAATTGAATTCTTGCAACGAATTTTATTACAATTTTTAAAAAATAATTGAATTTCTGGGAAGAATTTTATTATTTTTTAAAATAATTGAATTATAGAAGAAAGTAAATTTTAAAAAATTTTAATTTATTTTGTTCGAAGATAATTATTTTGGAACAGAAATAAATCTAATAGAAATGGATTTGAACAAATTATAATGAAACAATTATAAGGCTCAGTTTTTTTGAAAATATTGCAATGTAATTTTACGAAAATAATTAAATTTTTTTAAAGAATTTTTGTTCAATATAAAAGAAACTAATTTTTTGTTGAATTTAAAAAAAAAATTATTTTCAAAATTTGCAATTATTGATTTTTAAAAATTGTAATAAAATACTTGAAAAAAATCAATTATTTTCAGTTAAATTTTACAAAATTTCAATTATTGAAAAATTTTTAATTGTATATTTCAAAAATTTAATTAGAAAAATCATTGAAAAATAATTTTTGAAAGATTTGTCTATAGTTATACTTTTTGCACTATAAAAATCGAAATAAATTGCATTTTATACAAAAAATTTGGTTTTTATGTCCAAACTTGGAAGAAAAATCGGAAAAGTCTCAATTTTTAAAAATAAGTTAAAAAATGTCGCATTTTTTGAAAATAGTCGAAAAAGTCATAATATTCAAGGACTGCAACTATTTTTCTATGTTAATAAATATTTTTTTTTTGTATTTTAAAAATTATTTTACTTAAAATAAATCAGTTGAATTTAAACTTCGTAAAATAGAGTATGTTTACATGCAGTTTTGTATTTTTATACTGCTCTTAATTTTTTAATTACAGCAAACCTGCACTAATATTGAAATTAAATTAAATTGAGTAAACAAAATTTCTAGTAATTTTTAATAAAACTTTACTATTTATTTTGTAGTTTTCAATTTTTTACTCAAGTTGGAGTAGAAAAAATTAATACAAAAATTACTATGTATTATGCATATAAAAATTACTATCTGTAAAAAAATTGTTTACCAGTTTAAATATATCAATTTAAATTTATGTTAGTTTACTAATTTTAATTAGTTCGCTTGTTCAAATGAGAATTTTTAAATTTAGTTAATTGTATAAATATTTGCAATTCTGGTAAAGTTAGATGACAATTTTTTAAGAATATAATTTGAAATTATTTTTTTTTACAATATGAATTAAATAATAATGACCGTATATGAAATTTGAGTGAGTACTGGGCAAGGAGAAGCGTCCCCCCACCACTTTAAGGGGAGTGGGAGAGATGTGAGCATGGTGGGGGGCCGCTTCTCTTAGTCTCCGCAGTTCGGTATAGTTTCTCACTTTTCTATTTAATTTATTAACTATGTTTTTATTATTTTCTACATTATTGTTAATATTATTATTATTTACTATTATTTTGACTTAATAATTGTAGAGTTTATCACTCGGTAAAAGATAATATAAAATGTCAAGAAAATTATCCATCCTCCAAGTAAAATAATTTTGACTTGGAGGATTGATAATTTTCTTGACATTTTATATTATTTTCAGTATATTTTTTAATAATTTTTATTGTTGAACAAAATTGGTATGTTTGAGTTTTAAAAAATGCTATTTACAAAATTTATAATTGCAACATCTCTTTTTATACTCTCTTCATCACTTTGTTGATTTATTTTTATTTTTTCCTCCCTCTCTTTCCTTCTCTCTTTTCCTCTTTTATTGTTTGATTACTTCCCCAACAATGCAAAGCTATATTGAAGCAGTGTGTCATTTCTACTTTATGCACTTTTATAAAGAGACACTTCACACATTCCTTTGTCGAGAAAAATCCAACTCTAAAGGTTAGTATTAAAAAAACATTATTTTCCAATTCTTAAAGTTCAAAAAAAAAAAAAAAAATCTATAAAAATATGCCAAGAATTCACTTTTAGATAATCCAAAATTTTCTATTCTTTATTTTCAAAAGTAAAATATTTCAAATACTATTGAATTTTTCATAGAATATTTAAAGAAATGAATATTTCAATAGAAACAAAATTTATATAAATACAATTATTTATATAAAATATAAATTCAATTATTCATATAAAATATAAAAAAAAAATTGTCAAGACAAAAAAAATATTCTCAAAGAAATATTATTTCAAAAAATATTTTAAAATTTTACTAAATTCGCTTCTTGTATAGAAAAAAAATTATTTTTTATGCTAAAGGTATTAATAAAATAATTTTTCTAAAATTCAATTCCACGACTCCGATTGGTTATAATATCGCGAAGAAAAAAGAAAGGGAAAAAATATCCACCAAACGTCAAATTCAATACGTATATATACCACACAGAGAAAACATTGAGATGTCAAAAATCTAAATTAAAAATTTCAAAAGAAAAAAATGATTATTTGAAGAAAACGACAAGAAAAATTGTAAAATTGATTTAAAGACAAAAATGAATGGTATTAAATTATCTTTGGATATGTATCGTGAAAAAAAAACAAAAATAAAAACATTAAAATAACCTCTTGACTCACCAGATACGCAGTTTTAACAGCTGAGCAGGGCAAAGTGCAACCATACTAGTTCCATTTCCTTTGTTCCTTGTGCCAAGTCAACTACCATTGATTATTATTCGCCTCCGAAGCACGTTCCCTTGGGGGTTTCTTTTCGAAGAGACCTCATAAAATTCTAGTATTTTCAATACGATTCTTTGTTTATTAAGGGCGTTGTCAATTTTGAAGATATTTTAAAGAAAATTTTCATTTTTATCGATTTTGCTTTTGTAAAAATAAAATAAAAATTTAAGTTAATTTACCTTTGACTAAATTCAAATTTATTTTAAATTTATTTTCAGTTTGACTAAATTTCAGTTCAAATTTAACTAAAATATAAATTATAAAATTTATCATTAAAATTTAGTTTAAAAACTAAAAATTTAATTTTAGTTCAACTCAAATCCTAACTTTGAAAATCAAATCCTATATTTTAATTCAAATTAAATTTTTAATTGACTTTTGTACTAAACTAATATTGTAAAATAGGTTTGGATCGAAATTTACAATTTTAATTGTAAAAGAAAAATACTTTTGAATATTTTAATTAAAAATTATGTTTAATAGAGTAAAGATTCGTATTGATAAAAACTAAATTAGTTTTTTTTTAAATATTAAAAAATTACCAACTGTTGATAATAACAGGATGGCGATGAAATACACTCTACTTTCGCCAGAGGACAGACACGCTTCTTAAATCCTTGGGAGTGTTTAGGTTCCCCACATAAAGTTCATTCTGAACCACGTGACTTATTCTCGAACCAAAATTTCAATATCTTTCAAAGAAAATCAATTTCTTGGCGCAAACCTAACATTATAATTTTGAAAAATCTATTTTTTATTAATATCTATAAAATAATTACTATAGAGACCAATGAATCTTTGGTGGAAAATATAAAATTAGAACGGTAGGCGTACAGCTGCGCAGAAGTGGCGGCCATATTGAATTTCCCCCACCCAAAATAAAGTGCCTTATTATATTGAGGAGTAAAATGTCCGAAGCAGCGCGAGTTTGAACGTAAATGAGAAACTGAATGGTCGAACCTTTTTTTATTCTCTACCACTACACAATGAGTCTACCTTTATTGAACTCGGGTCATGGCTGCTGGGCACATGGTTTTAACATGGCCTCAGTATTGTAAAACCCACGTTCCTCTCTAGAACTTTATCGAGAAGAGAAAAATTTGTACAAAAGGCAAAAATGACAAAAATTTATAATTTTGAATCAAAAATAACATATCTTGAATTTTGGCAATTTTTACCTGATAAAATAGTAAGTCATTGATTTTTGTCTATAATAATATTATATTATTAAATTGATTAAATATTGATAATATTTTTAATATTAGTGATTAAATATTAATAATATTCTTAATATTAGCGATTAAATATTAATAGATAATATTTTTAATATTATTCAGTTATTAATTAATTAATTAATTATTAATACTAAATTGATAGTTTATTTATTTATATATTAAAAATTAATACTCTCTAAAACTGGACCCAGGGAAAAATAGTTATTCAAACCAAATATTTATTTCTTTATTTTCGACCCCTTTCGTACACTGAAAAAAATTGATTTGATTCAAATTACCAATTACTTATCTTTTATCAAATAAATATTTACTTGAATAAAATAATTTTTATTTAAATAATCAATTAAATGGTATTTGAACCAATATTTGAAACAAATAAAAAGTTTAGTGGGCTCTGAGTGAAATATATATTTTTTCTGGATATAAATCAGTGAAATTTGACTGATTTTCAGTTTTATTAATTATTATTAACTATATTAATCTTCGTATTATTTCATTTATTCTGTCCGCAATTTGAAGTTAGCTTTTGTGTATGATTTTGTTTCTTCATTTTCTAAAGCACTTTGCATTAATCATAAAACTGAGAAATTTAAGATTTTTATAAATTAAAAATAAGAAAAAGTCATTAAAAATTATTATAGAAATACAGAAATTAAATTTAAACCTCTATTCTCTCAAATTTTGATTGTCTGACAGAGTACGGGTGGAGCTGCTATTACTTAAAAGTTACAATAAAATTTTCTATCCTTCAGGATGTTGTTCAGCAACAACCCTGCAACAATTCAGATGATTTGCGACTCCTAAGAATTATTGGAATTAGATCAAATAAATTTAAACTTCCCTATTCCCAAATTTTGATTGTCTGATAACGTCCGGATGGACCTGCTATTACATAAAAGTTACAATAAAATATTCTATCCTTCAGAATGTTGTTCAGCAACATCCCAGGAACAATCTTGGTTGTTAACAGTCCATAAAAAATAATATAATTGAAAGAAATTAATTTAACCGCCTATTTATGACAATTATGATTTCCTAATAATGTTCGGCTGTGGCTGCTACTACTTCAAAGCGCTTAAAAGTTACAATAAAATTTTTTATTCTTCTGGATGTTGTTCAGCCACATCCTAGCAACAATTTAGGTTGTTAACAATCCATAAAAAATAATAAAATTTAAAAGAATTTAATTCAAACGTCTTTTTATGACAATTATGATCTTCTGCTAGTGTTCGGCTGTGGTTACTAATATTTAAAAGCGCTTAAAGGTTACAATACAATTTTTTATCCTTCTGGATCTTTTTCAGCCACATCCTAGCAACAATTTAGGTTGTGAACAATCCATAAAAAATAATAAAATTGAAAAGAATTTAATTCAAACGTCTTTTTATGACAATTATGATCTTCTGCTAGTGTTCGGCTGTGGTTACTAATATTTAAAAGCGCTTAAAAGTTACAATAAAATTTTCTATCCTTCAGAATGTTATTTAGCCACAACCTAGCAACATTTCAGGTGATTATCAGTGAAATAGTGATTCTAATTTAGAGAGTGTTTCTATTAATATTTAAATAATTATAATAATTATTATGCTAATAATTAAGAATTAATAAATAATTTTAAGGAGCATTTCGTTTTTATTTGATTCAAATCTGTTTTTGTATTTTAACAGCTAGGTATAAATGATAGTCCGGAAAGAATTAGTATTTCCAAAAGTATGACTATTTACAGAGGAGTTCTTATCAAATTAATACAAGATGTTGTTGACATAATTCCTTGACGTCAAATATCAGATGTGAGTATTTATTTGGATATTAAGATAAGATCACCTGTACATTAGAGTAATTTTAATGTTAATCAAATTACCTACAGTAATATTCATCGACTGCACCTCAGTACTACAATAATATTAGCTGAGTACTGCAAAAACATTATCAGAATACTACTAAATGCAAAAAATATTTTATCTTGAACAACTATACAAATTTTATTATATTAGCGAAATTTTTAGTTGTTTCAGTTAAGACTTTCGCTATTCTAGAGAAAATTACCAAATTACCAGAAATTCTTAACAAAGATTAAAAATAGTCTACTTTTTAAGAATTAAAATTTAAAAATTGCTTAAAATTACTCTGGTAGGTTTTAGTGATTTTCATTGATGAATTTTGACTCTCGAGTGATTTTCATTGATGAATTTTGACTCTCGAGTGATTTTCAATAATGAATTTTGACTCTCGAGTGATTTTTTAATGACTTTTGACACCTGACAAAATTAAACGATACTCTTATAATGGCTCCTAAGTAATTTTTACTGACTTGCAGCTCATTTTGTGCAGAAGCCACTTATTTTGAAAAACATGATGTCAATAATAAATACAAACAATAAAGAAATAATACAAAACAATTCTCTCTTAAATATCATAAAAATATCCAAAAATAAAAATTTCTCCTCAAGAAAATATTGCATTATTCGAACATGAAATATTGATAGATATTTCTTGTCTTACTTATTCTTCACAGTCAAGAAAGTAAAGTGACTTTATAGGTCTTCATTCTCTCCCACAGGTTACATTATCCGACTGTGTTTAATAGTTTCATGTTACAAGCACGAATATCAGAGAGAAAAAAAGAGACACACAACCGGTATGTGTTGCTTTTGCATGCACTTGTAGTGGAACTTTGAAGAAAGACGTCGTTCAAAAAGGGATCATGAATCGTGAGAGAATTCCATTATTATTTCGTGACATCAATTCGGGACTGTCAGTGTTTTTTGCCACAATCTGTATAATTGATATTTTTGGAGTGTTTCCCATTATTGCCCTGCCAAGAGCAATCGTTCAATGTGGTTAGTTATACAAATATTACAAATTATTATCACCCATTCTCCTTTTTTTTTAATTATTAGAATTTCATCATTAGTATGTTAATCAGATACAGATGGATATAATTAAATATACAAATCCATCATAAGACGATTTACTTTGGTATAAATTATAATGATATGAAAAATATTTTTGATGTGTGTAAAAATACATTTTCTTTGAATCAAATAATTTTTATTCAAATCAATTAAATGTTGCTTCAAATACTAAAATTTTGGGTCCAATTTTGGGTTCAAAAACAATTTACTTGATTTAAATCACCATTTGATTCAAGGTAATATTTATTTTAATTTATTTTATACACTATGCATTCATTATTTATTAGTTACTATTCACTATTGATTATTTATTAATATTACAATTATAGGTTTTTATGGTATCCCTCTTGTATTGGTGGTATTTGGTCTTCAAATTTACACAGCGTCTTTACTTGGGAAATCATGGATTATTGCAACAGCTTTGGATCCTCATATTTCGCGCAAAAATCGGTAAGCATTTAATATTTTCGTCTCTTTTAGTTCTCATTTTTTAATTATTTTATAATAGTTTTTAAAAAAAGCCAATTTTTTAATTGAAAAAATATTTACAGTTATCCACTGGCAGCTGTAACAGAATTAACATTGGGACCAAGAGCTCGAAGCTTAGTTACACTTCTTTTGGATCTTACAATTTTTGGTTGCGGAATACCAAATATATTAGTGGGTAAGATTAAATTTTTTTCAACTATTTCGATTTACATTCTTTAATAATTCACTGTTTTGGTATCAAATTTTTTTTGGTAATAAATTTATATGGTTGAATTTTTGGTAACAATTTGAAACGATTTGACATTTTCATCCAATTTGGTTTTAACTCTTTGCAATTTGGTATCAATTTGATCAGATTTGTCATCAATTTGGTCCAACTTGGTAGCAATTTGATCCAATCTGGGTTTGACTCTTTGCAAGTTTGTATCAACTGAATGCAGTTTAGTATCAATTTGATTCAATTCGGTATTGATTTGATCCATTTTAGTACAAATTGTTGAAATTTGGTACCAACCAGGTGCAATTTAGTCCAAATTGTTATCAACTTATTGAAATTTGGTACCAATTAACTGCAACTTGGTATCAATTTGTAGAAAATCTGCATCAGTTTGATCCAATTTGGTATAACAATTAGATATCTTTTTGTATCAATTTGATCCACTTTAATAAAAATTTAGATTAAATTAGATTTCTTTTTGATTTGATTTCAATTTAATCCAATTTGGTATCAATTTGATGCAACTTGATATCAACTCAATGAAATTTACTATCAATTTGATCCAATTTGGCATCAACTTGTTGCTTTTTGCTATTAGCTCATTGCAATTTGATATCAGTTTGCAGTAAATCGGTATCAATTTGATTCTCTTTAAAAACACTATGATTCAATTTGATTAATCCAATTACCTACAATACATTTCTTTTCGAACATACAGTATAATATTCAATATGTACCTATTTGTTTCAGCATCACAAAGTCTTCAACTCTTTGGCCTGAAGGTATCAAATAGTGAATTTGACCTATCATTTTGCTATTGGTTGTTGGTTGTCGGATTTTTCTTATGTCCAATAATGTGGCTTGGAAGTCCTCGTGATATGAAGTAAGAATTTACTTTTCTTTTGTGTGCAAGATTTTTCTTAACTTTTGAAGACTTTTTTTAGAAAGAAAAAACACGGTTGTTTAAAAACAAGTTTAAAAACCAGTTTAAAAACAAATTTTTTTACTTTACAGATGGTTGGCAAGTATTTCAGCATTATCTGTGAGTTTAACGGCTGCTATTGTTTGGTGGTGCATTATTGAAGACGATAGTTCACTATCCGTTCCTTCGGTACCGACGTCGCCAGCCTGGGATAAATTTATTTCAGGGTGATGTATAGAAGTAAATTTAGAATAATTCCAATGAGCATTTAGATAAACATTTGGTTTAATTTAATCAATTTTTTATTCGAAGAAGGAGTTTGATGATGTAAACTATATTAGATGAAACGAACAAATTGTAAAAATTTAAATATTCCTTTAATAAATAGTATAGTAATTATTTGTTTCCCAGGTATGGAATGTTGGCCTTTCAATTCGATGTGCATCCAACATTGATGACCATTCAGGTGGATATGAGACAACCGCAGAGTATCAACAAGGCTGTCATGTACTCCTTTTTAGGTTAATGAACTTCTTTAGTTCTTTCTAAATTTTCTTAAGAAGTTGTATTAATAATTGTATTAATTTAAACAAATGGATTAATTATTTTCAGTTAGCGGTAGTTTGTTTGGTATCACTGCCGGTTTGGCTGTTTGGAAATACGGTGGCGGTACAACGGCAAATGTTCTTCAATCAATTTCGCCGAGTTATGCCATAAGAGCGGCAATTTTAATTACTGCTGTTCAATTATGCCTCTCGAGTGCATTGGGACATTCCGCTCTGTTCCAACACCTAGAGGATCGTTGGCGAATTCAAAGATGTAATACATTTTTAACGAATTGTAAACGATACATTTTCAAAAAATACTTTTTTCGACTTTTCTTTATACAACTGGACGTGAATTTAAATTTCAGCTTTCGGTTGGAAACGCTGCGCACTGCGTTCAGCAATAGTGTTTCTCGGCGTTGCTGTCGGCGAATCAGTACCTCGTTTTGACATTGTCATGTCCCTAATTGGTGGTACCTTAACTGGACCACTGGTATTTGTCCTACCACCAATAATGTACATTCGTGCTCGAGCCTTAAAAGAACGTGCCGAGGGAAGACCATCAACGCCCGAAGTATTCTCCACCTATCGTCGAGAATCAAATCAGGAAATTTTATTCGAACCAAAAGCACATTCACAATCGATTTACTATGGTTTTCCCGATGGCAATACAAATCCATATCGTTACGCCTATATTTATTACGATAAAGATCAAAATTCAACGGAATTGACTGAGATTGATGACGACGATGATGAGGATGATAGTTCAGCGAAGGAGGGCTTTGCCAAAAATGATTTACAATTAACACGACAAAGATCAAGTAATGATCGTCCAATGTTAATTGAAGCCAGTAGAATTAATCAACGACGTAGAAGAGTAATTTCAGTTGAAGCGCCCGGTGGTTTGAGAAGTTATTGGAATTTGCAGACGTTGTTCGATTTTTTTGGTTATTTTGTCGTTTTACTAGGTATTTTAATAACAATCTCATCGACTTATATTAATGTGAAGAATACCATTAGATTCGTCACTTTTACACCGCCTTGTATATTTAATGTCACTGCTGCATTTTCTTCTCTAAACATTTCGCAAACTTAATTTTTATATTTTATCGACAAATTTTTTTGGTTTTTCTTCTGAAATTTTATTTGCATATTTAAATTTTGTTACTTATGCGTAAAAGACTGAAATTTGCAATAAGTGTATAACATCTTTTACACTACAATTTAGAAAAATATACGTGACGCACTCCGAAGAAAAATTTTTTGTATAGGTACTACATGCCTTTCTTCTGAGTGCTTCATATATTTAATTCTTAACTATTTTTATTCATTTTTTATGTTTAGATAATGTTTCAAATATTTTTAATTAATTAAAACTTTAATGAAGTTAAAGTTAAAGTTTTTTTATTTATCATTAATGAATGATATTTGCGATATACTGATAATCTTTATTTAATAACATACTTTATTTATATAATAATTAAATTTTAATCGAGATTTTAATAATACAGGTTAATTTTAATATAAAAATAAAAATAATAATAATAATAATAGTAATAATAATAACTAACATTAATTTATGTACATAATATTGTTGATGAATTACATTTTTTTTTTGCATTTTCTCTACGTTAAATATTTAATATATTCAGAATTTATAAATATTATACACTTTTTTTTATAAATAATAAGCTAAATGTTTATTTATTACAATGTATTTTATATATTTATTATACAAAACCAGAAAAAAATGAAGGAATAAAACATCTGAAAATTTACACGACATTCTTTCTTTCATAAAAAAAAAAAACTTGGTTAACATTTTTTTACAGTTTTACATTCTGTTAAATTTTATATAAGAGTAAAACTTTGCAAATTTGTGTAAATATAATTAATTAAAATCAAAATTAAAAAAGACAAAAATATTGAAAATAAATAAAAATGGAAAATAGGTTAATTTTTGAATTTTTGAACTTTTTGAATTTTTCCAGAATATATTTGCCAGTAAATATTATATTTCTATTTTACTTATTTATAGTTTAAAATCAGAAATTGAAGAATTTATTGACAGTGAAGAGATGAATAATGAAGATATTATTTCTTTGAAATTAGCTGAATTATTATCTACAGAAACAAAGGAATTTCATTCAAATTTAGTAAATTTAAATAACCTAGTCGAAAACGATGTCAATTTGCACTTTAATCAACAACTACAGGGAAAAAATTCTCTCAGGCAAATATTATTATCCACTGGAAGTTAAGTTTACAAAAAAAAAAAAAATTCACAATTATTTTCCAATTATTAGAAATTAATTAAAATATCGTTTTTTTTATTCTACAGAATTAGGGATCTGATAAGCAGAAAATTAATTAAGAAAAAATATTGTCAAAATTCTTGTAATTGTAGTGGAAAAATTGAAGAGACAGAATTAAAAAATAGAAATTGCAAGAGAAGAATTTTAGCTAAATTTTAAAAGTTTGTTGAACTATTCGTATTATCAATTATTTTTATAAAAATAATTGATAAGACGAAATATATATATATATATATATATATATATATATATTATATTAATTATATTAATATATCATAATAGAAATAATAAATATATGTCTGACTGATAATTTACTTCTACTACTTGAAACGATAAAATTATTATTATTATAAATATATAAATAAATATTATAATTTTCATGGCTTTGGTAAATTTGAATTTGTAATAATTTAATATATGGAAAAATTATATTGAAATTTTTGACAATAATATTCAATTCTTTCGAGAAATTAAATTGAAATTTAATTGAAAATAATTTAATTTTTAAAAAGCAATTTTTATAAAACTTTTTAAAAATAATTGAATTCTTTTGAAAAATTATACAATATTTTAAAGAATTCAATTATTTTAATTATTCAATTAAATTTTTAAAAATAATTGAATTTTATGTAAATTTCATTGAAAATAATTGAATTCTTGCGAAGAATTTTATTAAAATTGTTAAAATTTTAATTGAATATTTGAATTATTCAATCAAATTTTTAAAAATAATTGAATTCTTTTGAAAAATTACAATTTTTTAAAAGAATTTAATTATTTCAATTTATTTATTTTTTTCAATTCTTTTGGAAAATTAATTTTTCAAAAAAATTCAAATATTCAATTAAAGCAAAAATTTTAATAAAATTCTTCGCAAGAATTCAATTATTTTTAAAAATTTAATTGATTAATTGAAATAATTGAATTTTATGTAAATTTGATTGAAAATAATTAAATTCTTGCGAAGAATTTTATTAAAATTTTTAAAAATTAAATTGAATATTTGAATTCTTTTGAAAAATTACAATTTTTCAAAAGAATTCAATTATTTTAATTACTCAATAAAATTTTTTAAAATAATTAAAATTTATGTAAATTTGATTGAAGACAATTGAATTCTTGCAAAGAATTTTATTAAATTTTTTAAAAATTTAATTGAATATTTGAATTCTTTTGAAAAATTACAATTTTCCAAAGAAATTTAATTATTTTAATTATTCAATTAAATTTTTAAAAGTAATTGAATTTTATGTAAATTTGATTGAAAATAATTGAATTCTTTCCAGGAATGTAATTGTAATTGTATTGAAAGTAATTAAATTCTTATAATTCAATTTTCATCTAAATTTTTAAAAATTATTGAATTTCCGCTGAGAATATTATTGAAATTTTTGAAAAATGATTTATTTCTTTGAAGGAATTAAATTGAAATTGTTTTCAAAAAAGTTAATTATTTTCAATACAATTACAATAAAATTTTTGATAAAAATTCCTCTTAAAATTCAATTATTTTTCAATCAAATAAAAATAAAATTCTATTATTTTTTTAAAGATTTAATTACAATTTTTTCAAAAAAATTCAATTATTTCCAGGAATTTAATTTTAATTTTATTGAAAATAATTAGATTTTTGTAAACCATTTTTTTAATCCTAAATTTTGAAAATAATTGGATTTTTTAAAAAATATTATTCAATTTTTGTAATATATTAAATAAAATAAATAAATAATGAATTTTATTAAGGGCATTTGAACCTTGATGACGTTACAGATTGTGCAAAGCATGTGTGACGTCATCAAGGTTCAAATGCCCTTAAGATTTTTAAAAATAATTATTGAATATTTTCGAGAAATTTTATCAAAATTTTATTGAAATTGAAAATAATTGAATTTTTTGAGAATTTTCATTTATTATTGATAAAAATAATTGATTTCTTGGGAAGAATTAAAAAAAAATAATAATAAACATACGTCTGACTAATAATTGACTTTTACTACTGAGAAAAATAAATTTGCTTTTTAATTAATAAAAATTTCTTCGTATTTTTTTCTTTCAGATTTTCATTCTTCTTTTCTACTATACAAATAGAAGTTTAAATTTAGCTTCAATTCTCCCGCCGAATGAGAAATTTGTGAATTTGATGGTTAGTTCTGGAAAATTCTTAAGAAACTTATAACCCACACGAAGCACGCGAAGCACTGAAAGTGAACCTCACTTTCTCAGCTGAAATGTAGAAAATAATTCTCTTAATATAAAAATGAAAGTTTAATTTCTCGCAAACAAATTTTATCATACAAGTGAAAATTCAAAAATTAAAAACAACAACGAATAATTTACATTAAAATTTACAACAATCAATTTACAACAATCTTCAAATTTACACTAAAAAATATAACATCAAAATTATGTTCAAATCATAATTATAATTTTCATTCCATTTTCCTCGGGTAAGTAAATAATTTTGCAATTTACAAGAAAAGCGTCAATAAAAATTCCAAAAATTCCAAAAAAAAGCCGAAAAAATGGACGAACTTTTGAAAAATCTACACAGCAGTATTGTTGCAAAACAAAAGCAAGAGATATTAACAAAAAAATTCATGACTTTTGAAAATGATCAACAACGAATATTATTTATGTACAATGTCCTCGAGGAATTTAATATAATTCCAAATGAAAAATGTGAAATAAAAAATTCCACAGACTCGTGTAAATTTCGTAATGAAGGAAATCAAATTTTCACCTCAAAAATAATAGACGCTAATGATTATATAAAAGCATGGGAACTCTATTCAAAAAGTATAGCATTCGCAGAAAATAATTCCGAGGAATTAGCACTCGCATTTGCCAATAGATCAGCGGTGCTTGTTCGTTTAGAAAAATATTCAGATGCTCTCAAGGACATTGAAATGGCATTGAAATTAAATTATCCCGAGCATCTAAGAGGAAAATTATTAATCCGTAAAACTGAATGTCTCGCCTTCTTGAATGATCCACAATTAATGTCTGTCTATGATGAATGTTTATTTTGGCTCGACAAAATGAATCTCGACAATTCTAGACGTGAAATATTTGAAAATAAATTAATTAACGCCAAAAAAATTTCTATGAAAAATGGAAGTAATCAGATAAATTCTTATCCATGTGTGCCAATGATTGTGGGACAAGAGGAAATTCCTTGTGCAACGAGTGCATTGGCTGTGAAATTTAATGATACTTTTGGAAGACATGTGGTGACAACACGTGATATTGAACCTGGCGAAATACTTGCTGTTGAAAAACCATATTCAATGATACTTACCACGGAGAATATGTACACACATTGTGGACATTGTTTGGGAATTGCCTGGTCAAGTGTACCTTGTGAACATTGTGTTTTTGTTGTTTATTGTTCGGAGAATTGTAAGGAACTTGCGTGGCAATTGTATCACGATATTGAATGTCAAGTTACTGGATTTTTGTTGAATTTAGATATGAACAAATTGGGACTTTTTAGTATGAGACTGGCAATTATTGCTGTTAGAGAGTTTGGTAATTTTGAGAAATTAAGAGATGAATTGGTACATGTTGATTCTTGTCAAGGTAATAATTACTTTTATTATTATAGAATACAATGAAATTATAATTTAGATTGAATAATATTTACATCACCATTTAGATATTTAATTCAAATAAATTTTATTTGAGTTTAATCAATTTTATTTGAATTCAACAAAAATTATTTGAATTGAATTTAAATTTAGAATTTAATTCAAAATTTATTAAAATATTGAATTTATTATTATTATTATTATTATTATTATTATTATTATTATTATTATTATTATTATTATTATTATTATTATTATTATTATTATTATTATTATTATTATTATTATTATTATTATTATTATTATTATTATTATTATTATTATTATTATTATTATTATTATTATTATTATTATTATTATTATTATTATTATTATTATTATTATTATTATTATTATTATTATTATTATTATTATTATTATTATTATTATTATTATTATTATTATTATTATTATTATTATTATTATTATTATTATTATTATTGAAATTATTGAAATTCAATGAAATTCATTTGAATTAAATAAAATGTTTACAAACTGATTAAAATTTACTTCAAAATTTATATTAATTTAAAAAAATTTATTTGAATTAAATAAAATTTACCTACATCAAAATTTATTTAAATTAAATAAAATTAATTTAAATCGAATAAAATTCTTTTGAAGTGAATAAAATTTATTTGAATTGAATAAAATCCCTTTGAATTCAGTAAACTTAATCAATTGGATTTAAATTTTTTTGAATTGAATAAAATTCATTTGAATTGAAAAAAATTCTTTTGAATTGAATAACATTTATTTGAATTGAATAAAATTCCTTTGAATTCAGTAAACTTATTAAATTAGATTTAAATTTATTTGAATTAAATAAAATTCATTTGAATTTAATAAAATTCTTTTAAATTGAATAAAAATCATTCGAATTAAATAAAATGTTTAATCCTTTTAATTCAGTAAACTTAATCAATTGAATTAAATTCATTTGAATTAAATTAAATTCTTTTGAATTGAATAAAAATCATTTAAATTAAATAAAATGTTTACAAATTGAGTAATTTATTTGTATTGAAGAAAGTTGAGTTTAAAATTTATTTAAATTGATTAAAAATCATTTGACTTGAACAAAATGTTTACATATTGAGTAAAATTTAATTCCAAATTTCTATCGACTTGAATTCTTTTGAATTCAATAAAACTTATTTATTTATTTAATTATTTATTCAATTGGATTTAAATTTAAATTACATAAAATTTATTGATATTAAACAAAATTGAAAATAAAATTTATTTAAATTGAATAAAAATTATTTGAATTAAACAAAATGTTTAGGAACTGAGTGAAATTTACTTTAAAATTTCTTTAAATTGACTAAAATACATTTGAATTCAATAAAAATGATATGAATTTTATTAAAATTTAAATTAAATAAACTTTACTTCAAAATTTATTTAAATTAAACAAAATGTTTAGGAACTGAGTAAAATTTACTTCAAAATATCTTTAAATTGACTTAAATAAATTTGAATTCAATAAAAATGATATTAATTGGATTAAACTTTAAATTAAATCAAATTTATTTGTATTGAATAAAATTTACCTCAAAATTCATTTAAATTGAATAAAATTAATTTGAATTGAATAAAATTCATTTAAATCGAATATAATTATTTTCAGTGCAATAAAACTTATTCAATTGGACTCAAATTTAAATTACAACAAATTTATTTATATTAAACAGAATTGAATTAAATAAAAATCATTTAAATTAAACAAAATGTTTAAGAATTGAATAAAATTTACTTCAAAATTAAAAATAATTCAATAAAATATATTTGAATTGAATAAAATTTCATTCAAAATTTTTTTAAATGGTCTAAAATACATTTAAATTCAATAAAAATTATATGAATTGGATTAAAATTTAAATTAAATCAAATTTACTTGAATTGAATAAAATTTACTTCAAAAGTTATGTAAATTGAATAAAATTAATTTGAATTGAATAAAATTTCTATAAATGCAATAAAATTTATTTAAATTGAATAAAATGTATTCGAATTGAATAAAATTCCTTTGAATTCAATAAACTTAATCAATTGGATTTAAATTTAAATACAATAAAATATATTCGAATAGAATAAAATTCATTTGATTTAAATAAACTGTTTTTACAAATTGAGTAAAATTTACTTTAAAATTGTTATAAATTGAATAAAATTGTTATAAATTGAATAAAATTAATTTGAATTGAATAAAATTTATTGAAATTGAATAAAATTTATTTGACTCGAATAAAATTCCTTTAAATTCAATAAAACTTATTCAATTGACTTCAAATTGAAATTACAAAAAAATTTATTTGCATTAAACAAAATTGAATGTAAAATTTATTTAAATTGAATAAAAATCATTTAAATTAAACAAAATGTTTAGGAATTATGTAAAATTTTCATCAAAATTAAAAATAATTCTATATAATATATTTGAATTGAATAAAATTTATTTCAAAATTTCTTTAAATTGACTAAAATACCAGAAAATACATTTAAATTCAATAAAAATTATATGAATTGGATTAAAATTTAAATTAAATAAAATTTATTTCAATGGAATTAAATTAAATTAAAATTTCTGTTGAATTCAATAAAATTTTTAAGAACTGAGTAAAATTTACTTCAAAATTTCTTTGAATTGAATAAAATTCATTAGAATTGATTGAAATTCTTTTGAATACAATAAAACTTATTGCAATTAGATTTATATTTAAAATAAATGAAGTTCATTCCAATGAATTAATTTATTTCGAATTATTAAAATTCGAATAATTAATTCGAATATTTTAATATTTTAATAATTAAAATTTCATTGCATTGAATACAATTTACATAAAAATTTATTTAAATTGAATGAAATTCATTTTAATTGAATAGAATATTTTCGAATTGATTAAAATTTGCTTCAAAATTTATTTCAAAACTTTTTTTGAAATAATTGTATTTAAAATTTTTTTGAAAGTTATTGAAAATAATAATAATAATAATAATAATAATAATAATAATAATAATAATAATAATAAAAAAGTTTGAAGTTAAAATTTTTATTCAAAGTTCAATAAATTTTTTCTCTGGGTGTAATATAAATTTTTTTCTTTTATTTATTTATTTACAATTATCTTTCTATATAGATGATTTATTAATATTTATTATTATTGCCTTTATTACTATAATAATAATTATTATTATTGTAATAGTCTTTTTATTATTATTATATTTAAATATTTATTATACATAATATTTATATTTATACTTTGTACACAAAAATTATTTTTTTTTTCAGATGAAAGAACAAAAGGATTCTCAGACAATGGAATACTTGAAAGTGATAAATACAGAAGTATTTACAGTCTCGTTACCAATACGGAAAAAAGAAGTTCGTCTGATTTATTCGGTAGAGTACTCAATGCATCGATTATTCTATATTTCATTGCAAAGCGAACATTATTTTTTAATCAAACGTTTGATGGAAATAATTTAACATCAATATCGTCAAACAATGATGCAATGTTTATTGGAGGACTTATTTTACGTCATCAACAAATTATTCCCAGTAACATGCATACTGTAAGTGCTCTTCATTATTTTATATTTTATAATCGAAAATTTTAAATTAGTCTTTATAATTTTTTTTTACTTCTAAGAGAAATATTATTTAATCCCATATAAAAATCTAATAACAAAATTGCTCACTAATTCAAATTAGTAAACATTTTTACTAATTCAATTTAAAGAGTGAAAAAATAAATTATATTTTAAATTTTTCTTATCGATAATTTCCAGGTTAGCGAGGAACGTAATTTAGATTCTGAAGATCGTGGATCAGCGGCACTGCCTTTTTACAGTCTTATTAATCACAGTTGTGATCCAAATGTCGCCAGAAGTTCACTAGCCGAACATGTTGTACTTTATGCTCTGTATCCAATGGAGAAAGATACTCAAGTAATTTCCTTTTTTCTTTCTTATATTAATTTAAAAAATTTAAATAATGATTCGATAATTTTCCTCTTTTTTGGTAGTTTTTAATTTAGTTCTAAAATTTCATTGCAGATATTTGATAATTATGGTTTTCACTATGCGATAATGCCAAAAGCTGAAAGACGACTGAGACTATCGAGACAATTTCACTTTCAATGCGAGTGTATTCCTTGTAGGGAAAGTTGGCCAACGTATTTTAAATTGCCATCTTTTCACGTAAGTTACAGAAATTATTACAAAAAAAAAAAGAAAAATTACACTCAGACTGTTTATTCAGTCTTAAAAATAGTTTAAACGTCATAAACTCGTTAGTAGCCCTCCCACTCCGGAATGAACGCAGGAGTGGGGCCAATGAGACTGAGAGAGAAGTCTCCGAATTTCTCTCTCGCTCCCATTGCCCCCACTTCAACGCACCTTCCACCTCCAGTCAACCCAGGCTTCGGATATTATAATTTTTTCGACTTTCTTTTAATATTTTCAAAAAATGCAACTTTTTTCGACTTATTTTCAAAAATTGAGACTTTTTTCGACTTTGCTTCCACGTTTGGAAGACAAAAACCAAATTTTTTGTGTAAAATGCAATTTATTTCGATTTTTATAGTGTCAAAACTATAACTGTAGACAAATTTTCCAAAAATTATTTTTCTAATTAATTAATTAATTAATTAATTATTTTTCTAATTTAATTTTTGAAATATACAATTAAAAATTTTTCCAATATTTGAAATTTTGGCAAATTTAACTGAAAATAATTGATTTTTTCAAGTATTTTGTTACAATTATTGAAAAACCAACTTTTGAGAAGTTTTACTTTGCAAATTTTGAAAATAATTGAATTCTCAAAAATTTCAATGAAAAATCTTCAAGTGCAAATTTTCTAAATATGAAAATTAATGAAAATTAATGAAAATTACTTTCTAAAAATTAGATTAAAATATTTTTGAAAAAAGTAATACTTATAGAATTTTTTCCTTGTAATTTTTTAAAATTCAATTATTTTCAATAATTTCAATTACATATTTCCAAAAATTCAAATACGTACAAAAAATAATAACATTAACATTTTTTAGATTTTTAACACTTTGGAGAAAACAATCATGTTCAACAGTTTTTTATTAAAATTCAATAAAAAATTAGTTTCTTTTAAATTGTACGAAAATTCTTTAAATAAATTCAATTATTTTCGTAAAATTACATTGCAATATTTAAAAAAAAACTGAGTCATATAATTGTTTCATTATAATTTATTAAAATTAATTTTTATTAGATTTATTTTTATTCCCATATAATTATCTTCGAACAAAATAAATTAAAATTTATTAAAATTTACTTTTTTAGACTTTTTAAAATTTTGGAGAAATCATGTTCATTTTTAAAATTAAAATTCTTCATAAAAATTTGATTATTTTTTTTATATTTTTTAAAAATTCAATTATTGTTAAAAGATTTTATCAAACTTCAAATATTTGGAAATTTTTCAATTGATATAAATAGCATTTTTATATGCTATAAATAGCAATATTTAAAAATATATTTCAAAAATTAATTTTAAGAATTTTTTTATTACAATTTTTTAATAATCAATTACTTTCAACATTGTTGGTTAAATATTTTCAGTAATTCATCTTAAAAATTTAAAAAAAAAGAACCATACACGGTTACAGTTACAATACTTATGGAAAATTTAATTTTTGTATTTAAATAATTGGATGAAAAATTAAAAATAATTCATTGTTTAGTTTAAAATTGTAAAAAAATAATTTAATTTTGAAAAAATTATAATTGTATTCTTTCCAGAAATTTAATTTGTAATTGTATTGAAAATAATTAAATTCTGATAAACCAATTTTCATCTAAATTTATGAAAATTACTAAATTCTTACTAAGACTTTTATTAAAATTTTTGAAAATGATTAAATTCCTTCGAGGAATTTTAATGAAATTTTATTTTATGAATAATTAAATTCTTATAAAACAATTTTCAAAAATGTTTTAAAAATAATTGAATTCTTTTGAAAAATTGTAATCAACTTTTTGAAAATAATTGAAATTCTTTCGAAAAATTTTATTGAAATTTTGTGAAAATAATTCAATTCTTAAAAACCAATTTTTATCTAAATTTTTAAAAATTATTGAATTCCTGCTGAGAATATTATTGAAATTTTTGAAAATGATTTAATTCTTTGAAGGAATTTAAATGAAAGTGTATTTTGATATATTTTTAAAAATTGAGTCTTATAAATGTTTAAATATAATTTTTTAAAATTCATTTTTATTAAATTTATTTTTGTTTCAAGATAATTATCTGCAAATAAAATAAATTGAAATTTTTAAAAATTTTTAGACTTTAAAATTTTTGAGAAATCATGTTCATTTTTAAAATTAAAATTTTTCATATTTTGATTATTTCTTTTTATATTTTTTAAAAATTCAATTATTTGAAAATTTTTCAATTCTATGAATTAAAAACTTATAAACTTTCAAAAATTATTTAAAAATTATGTTTAAAAAATTAATTTTAAGAATTGCTTTATTATAATTTTTTAAACATTAGTTACTTTCAACATTTTTTATTAAATATTTTATTTTATTTTCAATTATAAAAGTTAAATATTTTTATCTTTATTGCGTTTATAAAATAGAGCCATAAACAGTTAGAGTTACAATAATTATGGAAAATTGAATTTTTGTATTTAAATAATTGGAAGAAAAATTAAAAATATATTTGGAAATGAAGTTTAGTTAAAAATCGTAGAAAATAATTTAATTTTGAAAGGGTTATAATTGTAATTTTAAGAAATTATTTAATTTCAGAAGGTTTTAATTTGGGATTTTTCTAATTTTATTTCCCATGGAAAAACAAATAATAATTGTTTAAAATATTTAAATATTTATTTAAGAAAATTATTCAAGTTTGGAAAATTTAAATTTAGAAATCAGTGAAAGGGGAAAATCAGGAGAATAAAAAATAAAATTCTCATGACATTTATGCATATGAATTAATTAAAACGACTTTTTCGCCTTTTTTTTGTATTTTTAATCAACTAAAGCGACTTTTTATTTAATTTTTCTTTTTTTTCTCCTTTTGATCCGAGGCCTGTCAACCATTTCTAATATTATTGCTAATATTTTTTTCTAAAATATGTTTTCTAATATTTTTATATTAATTTATTTTCAGATTCTCATACAGTCGAACAGCGACAAAATGAAAATTGAAAATGCACTCATTAAATTTAACGAGTACGTAAAATTTGCCACTGACGGGAAAATAGACGACAAACCGTATATTTTAAACGATTTGATAAAAATGATAAAAGTATTAATGACATACGTCACACTTCCTTGCGTTGAAGTCAACAATGTAGTTGAAACATTAAAACGAGTATTCGATTTAAATGGAAATAGATTCGAAGTACCCAGTCTTAAAGTTGCGTAAACTTTTTCTTCTATTTGCATTTAAAAATTTTTCTCTTCATTTCTCATTGTATTTTTATCGAAAAAAATTTTTTTTTCTAAAGGATATTTCTTTTGTGAGATGTCCCAGTCAATTATCGAAACTTTTCATGTTTGTTATATAAATATATTAAAAGACAAGTATTATAAATGTTAAATAATATAAATGAAACAATTACGAAACAATTCAAATCGTCCACAAAAGTGATTCAATTGATTAAAATTGAAAAAAAATTAAAACACAGTGAAAAGCAACCATGACAATTATAATGGCCGCGAATGTTAAAAAATATGAGAGAGAAAAAAATCCATATCTTTAAGTGGATATTATATTTACAAAGATGTTAAATTCCTAAGATGAATATTTAAAGGATAAAAGAATTATATTAAAATTTAAAAAGACAACAAAATCTTGTTTTATTAAATATTTTTCATATATTTTCAATTATGATAAAAATTACAATTTATTCTTGAAGTTTTTTTTTATTATTTATCATTCATTAATAGCTAGAAAAATCTTTGATTTTATTAAGAAATTATAGAAAAATGTTAACATCTAATTGCTGAAATCATTGAAAGACTGAAGGTTCCTTTTGTTCTATATTATAATCAATGACATTAAAAATTGAAAATTAATGTCAGAAATATTATTTTTTAATAAAAAATTAATAATTACTCTCTGTTTAGAAATTTAATATTTTATCCAACTACTTTTTATAAATGTATATGTGAAACTATTTTCAATACGTGAAACGTGTTGCATTTTTATATATTTTAAAAAAGAGTGTTTATTAAAATATTTTGTAACAAATTCTTTATTGTCTTTTAATGCGACAATATCGTTTTGACTTTTGAGATTCTATATTAAAAAATTTATAAATATGTATGTTATAAACAAATTTATGAATATATGATTAATAAAAGTGGATTTAATTATAAAGAATTTATTATTTCAGGCCTCGGGATTTTTTTTCTACTATTTCCCTCTATTTTCAAAAAATACGAAGTTTTTCGACTTCTCTTCCAAATATTGCAACAAAATACCAAATTTTTAGTGTAAAATGAAATGTTAAATTATTATTTATAAAAAAAAAATCTAAACCTATTTTTTACTTCTAATTTATTGCGAAATCGATTTTACTACATGAATTCATATCAAGAAATTTACAAGATCTTTAATACTTGTGAAATTCTCTATTTATGGTTTTAAAAATAATGAAATTTAAAGATAAAAATTAAATCTAAAATCTCTTTTATATGAAATAATTTTTAAGGCATTAAAAATAACAATAAAAAACGCTCATAATTAAATTTTATGTTTTTATTGGGTAAATAATGTCAAAATATTTAATTGTTGATTTTAAATTTCTGTAAAGTATATATAGATAATTTGAATTTTATTTACACAGTCTTTTCTGATAAGTATAACTATTATGTTAAAAAAATCTAAACACAATGTACAATAATTTTTTTTTAAAATACGTTTCCTCTTTTATTAAAATAGATAATTTTTTTGTTAAAATGTAATGAGTTTAATTAATGGTAAGAGAATGAATATCGTCAAAGGATGTAAAGATGAAGCTGAATTTAGAGTTGGTATTTGATCACCTGCAGTAACAACATTGTCGCCGACGTTATTCTCATTGACAGTATTGTTAGTATTGTCATTATTTTTATTGTCTAAATTCACAAAACTAATTCTCCATTCAGTTCCATAATGAACGGGAGTTTCTTTTTTTAAATATTCAACGACAACATCATTGATCGTAACTCCTGGAATAAAACAAGAATAATTTAAAAATTCACAATTCTAATTTCTTATTTTTTTTTTTTATATTTATACATAATAATAATTATACCTTCGTTATTGGCTTTAAGTTTTTTAAGCATCGCATAATTATCTCCACCGGACATTAAAAAGTCGTTTACTAACACATTGTACGTGTTATTTTTGACTAAGTTACCAAAGGATGGTACGTTACACGAAGCACATCGTATCTTTGCTGAAACTACTCTCGATCCTTTTTCCTTACTGAGATCATAAATCACCTATGGGGAATTTTTTTTTATTTAAATTATTATAATTTTAAAAATTAATTAACTATATTCAAAAAATTTTAATAAAATTCTTTAAAACGTTTCAATGATTTTTACAAATGTTTCGTAAATCGCAATGATTTTTAATAGTATAGTATTTTAATAAAATATTCCCCAAAAAAATTGAATAATTTAAAAAAAAAATGTTTATAAAATTTTTCACAAACATTCAATTTTTTTCATAAATAAAACAATTTTCATAGGAATTAAATTATTTATAGCAGAATTTTCTGAATATTTTTCGAAAAAAATCAATTATTTAAATAGATTTTTATAAAATTCTTCGCAAGAATTCAATTATTTTTATAAATAATAAAATTTTTCTCAGGAATTCAATTATTTTTTAAAATTTTAATAATAATTCTTGCATAGAATTCAATTATTTTTAAAAATATTAAAACTCAGCAGTTCCGCGAAAAATGCAATTATTTAAATTTAAAATGATTTTCATTTAATTTGATTATTAGAATTTAAGCATTATTTTCAATTTCATCTTTAATTATATTTTTTTTTTGAAAGAACATAATTCTCTTCAAAAATTGTAATGAAATTCTTTTCAAAAATTCTATTTTTCTTCACGCCACGAATAATAAAATTATTCGCAGAAATTCAATTATTTTCAGAAATTTTTATAAAATTCTTCGAAAAAATTCACTTATTTAAAAAAAAAAAAAATTAATATTCCTTCCAATAATTCAAATATTTTTAAAAATAATAAAATTCTTCTCAGAAATTAAATTATTTTTTATTAATAATAAAAATTCATCGCAGGATTTCAATTATTTTTAAATTATCTAGAAATTCAAATATTTTCCAATTTCAATATCTAATATTTTAATAAAATTTCTGAAAAGAATTCAATTTTTAAAGAAAAAAATAAATAAAATTTAATTAATATCATGAATAATAAAATTATGTCAGAAATTCAATTGTTTTGAAAAACAATTTTCAGAAAAGCTTTTCGAAAGAAATCAATTACATATTCAAAATATTTTAATAAAATTCTTTGGAATAAAATCATTTTCTAAAATTTGGATTAAACTTGTTAATAAGAATTTAATTTTTGAAATACATTTTTCAAAAAATTTTCGCGAGAATTCAATTATTTTTATAAATAATAATATTTTTCTGAAGAATTCAATTATTTTTAAAAACTTTAATAATTATAATCCATGCAAAAATTCAATTATTTTTATAAATGTTAAAACTCATCGCTGGGTTTCAATTATTTTTAATACAATTTTAAATAAATTTCCCAAAAAAGGCAACAATTCAATAAAAATTTTAATAAAACTCTTTAAAAGAATTGAATTATTTCAAAAATTTTTATAAAATTCTTTATAATAATTGAATTGTTTTCAATATAATTTTAATCAAATTTTTTTAAACAATTCAATTATTTTCTTAAATAATATACAATTTTTAAAGAAATTCAAATTATTTAAAAATTTGAATAAAATTCTTCGAAAAAATTCAATTATTTAAAAAATTTGCTATAATTTGTTTCTTCGAGTGTAATAATTAATTTCAATTCATTTTTAATTAAATTTCTTGAATGAATTTAATTATTATCAAAAATTTTAATGCACTTCTTTGTAAAAATTCAATTATTTAAAAAAATGTTGATAAAGTTCATTATAAGAATTCAAATTTAAGAAATATTCGCAATTATTCAATAAATTTATTTTTCTATTTAAATAATTGAATTCTCGTAAAACTTTCTAAGAAGAATAATTGATTTAGAATATTGAATAAAATAAAATGATAAAAGTTTTGAATAATTTTATTATTTCAAGAAAAATAGGACTGAATTTTGAAAGATTACTACTTTTTGCTACTTTTTTAAAATTAATTATCGAGCACGAAGCCTGTGATTAACAAATAAAAAATCTTATTTTATTTATTATGTTTTTTTCTATAACAAATTTCATTTGACTGGTCTAAATTTAATTTTTCTCCTTCTTATTTATAAAAATAGAAAATTGTTAAAAAATTATAATTAAGAAATAGAAAATAATTCATTATTATTTATGTAAATTATTGAATTATTGCGTTGAAATTTATGAAAAATTTGTTAATTTAATAAATTTTTATTATTTTTGAAAATAATTAAATGTTTGCGTAGAATTTTATCAAAAGCTTCTTTTTAAATAATTTAATTTTTTTTTGCTAGTTTAATAATATTATTAGCTAAAAATAAAGTAATAATTTTATAACGCTTTTTTCATTTTAAAATTAAGAGATTTTACCTGAATTCCGGAAAATTGAAGAAAACCACCATTTAAATTGGACGTATCATTAGGATTAGGAGTTAAGTCCCTAACACTAAATTCAAGGACTTCTAATATATCCGATCCAGTCATACTTGACTTCATAAGCATATTTCCAAATGGTAAAACTTGTAATACGTCCGCTCTAGTTATCTAATTTAGATACCAAAAATGTTAATTCATTTTATCTTTTAACAGAAATAATTGTTTTTGCTTCCTCATATTTTTTTAATAATAAGAAAAAATTTTTTTTTTAAAGTCAATGAAAATACCTTATCCTCATTGTCTCTGGTAATTGAACTCCTAATACTTCCTGAATTAAATAATGCTATTGCTGTGTCAGACCAACCATCTTTATGAGCGAATTGCTTAGAATTCTGAAAGAAGAAAATTATCATTAAAAATTTTGTTCTTCAAAGGAAAAAAGAAAAAATAAATTTGTGCAATGAAATTAAATCACATACATAGTCAATCATTGCGTCTGCTATGAAATTTCCCATACTACATTCTTTTCTTCTGCAAACTTTAAAATCACCATCCAGTAGCACTTTTGTTCGACCAACCACTTCTTTCTTCATTCCTTCAACTGCCGGAAGCCAATTTTTATCGAGTTCGTCCAAAACATCTTTTGCCTGAAATAATCAATGAAAAAATCAATCAATTACGAAAATAACGAAAATCATCTTGAAAACCCGTAGAATTTCACTAAAACGATTCTATACAATTTCTACACGAATTCTACTAAATTTTAGTGATTTTTAATTAAAGAGAATTTAAATTCGTGAAATAATATTTTCAAAATCCATTTATTTACAGTATTCAATTATACAAAATTTCAATTATTCAAAAATTCTTCAATTAAATATATATTCGAAAATAAAAACTTCAAATAATGTAAAAAAAATTCAATTACACTTTTTCCAAAAAATTAATTTCAAAATTCAATTATTTCTAAAAATCTACGCAATATTGCTTTTTAATATTCAATTATTATCTAAAATTTTAACTAAAATTCATTTTTATGAAATGAAAATTAATTTTTATTAGAGAATTCTACAAGAATTTAATTATTTAAATGCAAAAGTAAATAATTTATTGAATAAATTGAATGTTTCTCAAAATTCAAAATTCTCATAAAGAATTTTACAAAAATATTTTTAAATAATTAAATTCTTTAACTACGATTTTTAATAAAATTTTTAAAAATAATTACATTTTTCGAAGATTTTTGCTATTTATAAAGAAAATTGGAATCTTTGCAAAGAATTTTATGAAAATTTCCGAAAATAATTGAATTTCTGGGGAGAATCCTAAAAAGAATTTTATTATTTATAAAAAAAATTGAATTCCTCTAAAAATTTTTCAATATTTTTCAAAATAATTGACTTTCTTGCGGAGAATTTTAGTAAAATTTTCGAAAATAATGAAATTCCAGCAAAAAATTTTGATTTATAAAAATAATTTAATTCCTGTGATGCATATTGTTATTTATGAAAATAATTGAATCTATGCGAAAAATGGTATTATTTGTGAAAATAATGGAATTATTGCGAAGAAATTTATAAAAAATTGGCAAATTGAGTTACTGTAAAATTTTTATTATTCATGAAAATAATTAAATGTTATAGCGTAGAATTTTATCAAATTTTTTTTTTTAAAATACTTGAATTCTTTTGGAAAATATTTGAAAATAATTGAATTTCGAAAAAGAATTTTATTATTTATAAAGATAATTGAAATTTTTACCAGAATTTTACTATTTTTGAACATAATTAAATTTCTGCGAAAGATTTTATTAATTGAATTTCTGCAATAGTTTGTAACTTCTCGAAAATTAAATTTTTTTTAGTGTTAACTAAAATTTTTCTGTAAATCCATTAATTTATTAATTTTTAAAGTAGTTTGAGAATTTTTAAATTCATTTGTTTTTAACTGAAATTCATTTTTAAATCAATTTTTATAAAATTCTACTAGAATTAAAATAAATAAATAATAATAATTAATTTAAATACAAAAATAATTTATTGTATATTTGAATGTTTCTTAAAATTGAATTCTCATAAAGAATTTTATCAAAAAATTCTTAAATAATTCGTTTGACGAATTTTAATAAAATTTTTAATACCTAATAATTATACATTCATCGAGGAATTTGATTTAAATTTTATTAAAAATAATTGAAATTCTGCAATGAGTTTTACTGTTTATAAAAATAATTAAATTCCTAAAAAGAATTTGATTATTTAGAAATATAATTAAATCCCTGTAAAAATGTTATTGCTTAGAAAAATAATTGAATTATACTACGAAGAAATTTATAAAATCTTTGTAAATAATTGAATTTCTGCGAAATTTTTATTATTTTATCTTATGAAAATAATAGATATTGAAAATCATTAAATTGAGGAAATTTTTTTCGAAAATAATTGATATTTTGCTAAAAATTTTATTAAAATTGAAATTTATTTTTGAAAATAATTGAATTTTGGAGAAGAATTTTATTATTTATAAAGATAATTGAAATTTTGACGAGAATTTTAAAAAAATTTTAAACAGAATTGAATTTTTGCTAAGAATTTTATTACCTTTGACAATAATTGAATTTTGCAATTATTTGTAATTCCTTTAAAAAATTTTCCAAATTATATCGTATAATTTACGAACTTTTTGTCCTTTTTTAATTTAATTACTGACCTTTTAAAAAAAAAAAACTGACTTTTTTTTCTTTTTTTTTCTAATTCTAATTCTAATTTTCTTTCTAATTAAAAATCATCAAAAATTTAGTGGCATTCATGTATAGAAATTCTATAGAATCGTTCTAGTGAAATTCTATAGAATATTCACTACAACAATAGTAAAAAAAATGAAAAAACAATTTCTATTGTTTACAAAAAATTTTTTTATTTTTCTAATCTTTGAAATAAACTCACTTGTTCGATTTTTGAATCCACGAGAATGGGATTACCCAAAATTGATTTAATTTCACCGTCCTTATCGAATTTGATAGTTAAATTCCCCAGATATTTGGTATAGGCATAAGCCTGAACGACATAAACTTTACGTCCATTCTTTTGAATAATTTCAGTTGGATAAAGTCCATCGGGTGTTTCAGAACTGGGCTCTTTTCCCGAATAAAGAAACGTATTTGTATGACCACCAATTACTAAATCAATATCATCAATTTCTTCTGCAATTTTCTTGTCCATGTCAAAACCCGAATGACCAAGTGCAATGAAAATATTTATATTTTGTTCTTTTAGTCTTTTCACTTCCTCACGTATCGATTCAATTTCATCGCGAAAAATGACATTATCGGTCATTGCAATATTTTTTGTATCCGGCGTTAAATAACCGATAACACCAATTTTTTTCCCCTTAACTTCCAATATCGTTGAATTCAATAATTTTGATTTCTGTAATGTTGGCTCTTGAGAAAGATCCAAATTAGACGTTACTATTGGATATGTGGCATTATTAATAAAGTCCACGAGACCCGCAACTCCATTGTCAAATTCATGATTTCCTAAACTCTAGAAAAAAAGAGAGAGAGAGAGAGAGAGAGAATGAAAAAAATATTTTTTTATTTCTTAGAGAAAAAATTGTAAATAAAAAAAATAAAAAACTTACAATGGCATCTGGATTGAGAATATTTAAAAATTTCGAAACAATTTTCCATTTGTGTACAGTGAATAAAATGGTACCCTGATAAGTGTCACCAGCATTTAAGAAAAGTGTATTATCACTTGATTTTCTTGCTTGTCGAATTAGAGTTGCTATTCTTGCAAAGCCACCGAAACATTTTCCCGCTTTTGATTGTTTTGCCGTGCAAATTGAAGAAAGTTCGGATGTTTCTTCAAATCTAGAAAAATAAATAAATAAACATACAGTCATCTCTCGATAAATTGTAATCAATTTTAAAATCCTGGGAAAATTTTTGATACTAAAAGATTGGAAATATTCGATGAGCGATTATTTGAAATTTTCTCATTCATTTTATCGAGATTCGACTGTATAGTAACATAAATACAGTCCACTCTCGATAAATTTAATTTAAAGAATCAAAAAAAAAAATGAATATGAAAAAAATTTTTTTTATTTTTTAATGGGAAATTTTTGTACTGAAAATATTTGACAAATAATACCTTCGATAATTTGAAAATTTATTTATATTCCTTAAGATACATTTTATCGAGAGAAGACTGTATGTAAAATAAATACAGTCGACTCTCGATAAATTGACTATCAAGGAAAATAAAAAAATTTTCAAATTTTTTAAATAGAAAAATCTTGATAGAAAACCAAAAAAAAGTTTAATAAATAAAACCATCCGTACTTTAACATTTTTTAATGTTCTTTAAGTCGAGAGTTGACTGCATGTAGAATAAATATAGTCGACTCTCAATCAATTACATCTAAATAGACATAAAAAATATTAAGAAAAAATTTTTTTAAATTTTTTATTGTAAAATTTTGATACTAAAAATATTTTCTTCGTTAATTCATAATTTTATTTCTTCGTTAATTCATAATTTTATTTCTGTCCCTTAAGATTAATTTTATCGAGAGTCAACTGTATAAAAAATAAATTAAGTCGACTCTCGATAAATTAAATTTCAAGGAACTTAAAAAAATGAATAATGAGAAAAAATTATTTGACACTATATATATTTGGTAAATAAAACCTTCGATCATTTAAAATTTTATTGCTGTACCTTAAAATTAATTTTATCGAGAGTAGACTGTATAGAAAATAAATTCAGTCGACTCTCGATAAATAGAATCTCAAGAAACATAAAAATAATAATAAGAAAAATTTTAATTGAACTTTTTATTAAAAAATTTATTTGATTCTAAAAATATTTGGTAAATAAAACCTTCGATAATTTAAACTTTATTTATGTCCCTTAAATTTAATTTTATCGAGAGTAGACTGTATAGAAAATAAATACAGTCGGCTCTCTATAAATTGAATCTCAAAGAACATAAAAAATGAATAATAAGAAAAAAATTTTGTATTTTTTATTAAAAAATTTATTTGATACTAAAAATATTTGGTAAATAAAACTTCGATAATTTGAAATTTTATTTTTGTCACGTAATATTCATTTTATCGAGAGTCAACTATATAAAAAGTAAATTCCGTCGTCTTTCAATAAATTCAATTTCAACGAACATATAAAAAAATTTCAAATTTTGTAAATATAAAAATTTTTATGGAAAAAACATTTGATAAATTATTAAATCCTCCGATAATTTGACATTTTCTAATGTTCTTTAAGATTCAATTCATCGAGAGTTGACTGTATATATAATGAATACAATCAATTCTCGATAAATTGAATTTCAAGGGACAGAAATAAATTTCGAATTTTTCATAGAAAAATTTTTATGATAAATTTTTATACTAAAAACATTTGATAAATAAAATCTTCGATAATTTGACATTTCTTTTGTGTTCCTTAAATTTAATTTTATCGAGAGTCGACTGTATTGAAAATAAATACAGTCGACTCTCAATGAATTGAATCTCAAGGGACATAATAAAATGAATAATAAGAAAAAATGTGTTTGATACTAAAAATATTTGGTAAATAAAATCTACGATAATTAAAAATTTTATTTCTGTCTCTTAAATTTAATTTTCTCGAGAGTCAACTGTATAAAAAATAAATTCAGTCTCAATTCGATAAATTCAATTTCAAGGGACATAAAAAAAATTTCAAGTTTTGTAAATAAAAAAATTTTGATGGAAAAAAAATTTGATAAATTAATAAAACCTCCGATAATTTGCCATTTTTTAATGTTCTTTAAGATTCAATTTATGGAGAGTTGACTGTATATAAAATAAATTCAGTCGACTCTCAATAATAATGTTGAATCTTCAAGGGACAGAAAAAAATTTCAAATTAACAAATGTTTTATTTATCATATGTTTTTTAAGTGTCAAAAGAAGATATACCCGGAAAAACTTTTTATAGACTTTTTGCGATTTAACATTTTTCATGAAATGTAAATTATTAAAAGTGATAAGAATATGTTTCGTCATTATTCTCTTATCAGTTTTCCTTAAAATTAAAAAAAAAGAAAAAGCAAAGTGTAAAATTTCAAACTTCACGGATAATTTAAAGATACAGACATAACATATAAAAAAAAAGTTCTACGTAATTAATTTCTATTGTTTTAATTTACAAAAAAAAAAAAAAAAGGAAATTCACCGCTAGATGAAAAACGATTTAGAACAATTAATAATTTTTTATGTCAATTGTCAATGTTTAAAAACATTTTCAAGATCGAAATTTTTTATTCTCTACATATCTGAAGGTTAGTGTAATGTTGCAAGTACAAAAAAATTTTATTAAAAATAATTAAACTTATATCGTATTTTAATATTTTATTTTTTATTTTTACTATTTAGTTCATTAAATCGTCATTTACAAAATTGAATTATTTATAAAGAATAGAATATTAGTAACAATAACAGAAAAAAAATGTTAATAATAATATATTCCCGTTAATATTCAAAAAAATAAATAATTTTATTATTAATAATAATTGTAATAATAATAATAATAATAATAATAATAATAATAATAATAAAAAGTTACATTATAAAATTTAAATTCTATAATTTTATAATTGTTTTTTTTTATAATTATAAAATATGAAGTTTAATATTATTTATATATTGTTATTGTTAATATATTGTTTAAATTGTTGACTTTTTACTTTAATTTAATTTTTTCGTTTTCAAGTAAAATTGTTTTTCCTTTTGAAATAAATTTTGAAGAAATATTTTCTTTTTTTTTGAAATCAATTTAAAAAGAATGAATTTTTTTTGTGAAACTAAGTTTTTTATTTTATTTATTATTTTTATTTAAAAAATCGAATAAATAAATTTTTATTTTCAAAATTAGATTTTAATTTTTCAATTCAAAATTTATTGAATATTACCTGGCGTGCATATCATTTGAATGTAGAATTCTGAGTTCAAACTCATCGACTGGAAGGGCATGAATACTGACACAAGTAATAAATAATATTAAAATAAATACACGTAACATATTTACACTCATTGTTCTTCGCGTATAAAAATAAAATACTGTTCACGTAACAAATAAATTAAAATCACTTGTTAAAATTGGTTTAATTCAGAAAAAAAAAATTTTTAATAACACTATTCCTCATTCCTTTGATTTCATTTTTAAATTTTAATTCGACGCAACAAGTGTTTTTTTTACTTTGATGTCAAGAATAATTGCAATGGAAAAAAAACTCTTTTTAAAAATTGAAACAGTTTTTTTTCAGTTTCTGTCACTTTTCTACTCTTATATATACACTTCTCATGAGATCAGTTTTATAATCTACAAATAGTAATATTATTATAGTGTCACGTTCTTTTAAAGTCTTGTATTTCAACACTAACTTTTATCGATGTCATAATAATAAAAGCCGGTTTTACAGTCTTAGATCGAAATATAAACTAATCTTTACATAAAAAAGCTTCTAATAATTTTCAATTATTTTAATTCTCATTCATCATGTTTTTTGACAAACGAGAAGGAAAAATGAATACAATTTTTTTTTTTTTTTTTAATTGAAAGAAATTAATTATTTACTCTTCGAAAAAAAAAAAAAAAAAAAATAGAAAATTTGTAATACGCGACGTTTTTCTTTTTTGCGATACTTTGTCAATTCGAGTGTTTATATCGAACGCCGAAAGTCAACTGAATTACAAAGCAGTCTTCGAGTTGCTTCTATACTCGTTAAGAGACAGCATAACTTTTACTGTACTGCACTTATAAAATTCAATTATACAGAAGATTTACTATTATTCCCAACGTGATTTAATGATATTTAAATGACATGTTTCTATTTCTATAGTTTTATTTCAAATTTCTATTATTTAATTTCTATATTCTTGAAACCAAATTTATTGTGAATCTTGAATAATAACACTTTTGTTTTTCTTCGTCTCAAAACGTTTTTGAACGTTATTTCCGAAAGTGTTTGTCATTTATTTCGAAAATGATAAATTACCTTTCAAAGCCTGATAAAACTATAATTTATTTGCAAAATTTGTTATCGAAAAAATATTCTAAGACGTTTGAAGAAGTAAACCTAAATTTATTAATAAATCTACATAATTATTTCTCTGGATTTCAATACATTTTTTTTTATTTGCAAAAAGACAGTAAATAAATTTTATTTATTTAAAAAAATGTTTCTTGAAAAATTCCGGGAAAATTCAAATAACATTAATATTATAATAAATAAATGAATGAATATTAAAATTCTTTTAAATAAATAAAAAAATTATTATGTAAAAAAAAATTCTGTATTTAAAATTTAAATCTGGAAAAATAACACAATAATATTGTTATTATAATAATATTAATAAAAATTAATAATAATGTTATTAAAATAATATTTAAAGTGCTCGTCCCGTTTTGTATTAGAGTAATAATTTCGAATTAAATTATTTAATTCGAAATAATAAATAAATAAAATATTTATGACAAATGTCCTAAAAATCATTCGCATTGCAATAATGCATTTGCAAGGACACTATTTTGTAAATAGCAAATTTTCTTTCTAAATAAATTTTTGTTTTTATTTAATAATTTATACGTCTGTAATTATGGGCTAATAAAATTAATTTTCGCCTTTAAAGTTATTAATTTTCATGGACATATAGTTAATATAGAACAAATTCCCTTGCCAAGTAAATTATATGCTTCTTAGCATTGGCATTAGTTTCTCTTCAATTTCACCATTCGTTTCTCTTTAATACAATATTATAACCATTTTATTTTCCTCACGGCCAATACGTCATTGATTTTTAACAAATGTTCACTTCTAGAATTTAGAATTGAAAATTGAGCTTGAGAAATAGTCAGCTGTGCTTTTTTGATAAATGATGATAATTTTACACAAAAACATACGGTATAATTTTATAATATGTACATAAATAAATTTTAATATTTTCCAAAAAATATATTTTTCTTAATTTCTTTGAAATTTTCTCTTTTTTTTAAAAAATTAATTACGAATAACTTTTATCATAAACAAAAGTTTCAAAATATTTTTACGTATTTTAAATTCTACACTTTTTGTTCTATTTCACATTTAAGAACATAAAATATGTGGTATTTCGAATTATAAATAAAAAAAAATTTTGAATAAACTAAATATGTAACTTAAAAAATAAATTAACAAATAAATAAATAAACAAATTAACAAATAAATAAACAAATAAATTAACAAATAAATACACCCAGAATAAAGATATATTTGACTCAGAGCCAACTAGACTTTTTATTTGTTTCAAATAAATTAAAATAAAAAAAAAGTATCGCAAAAAAGAAAAACATCGCGTATTACAAATTTTCTATTTTTTTTATAAAAAAATAAAATAAATAAATGTAAAGGTAAACGAAAATATTAAAAAAAAGTTAAATATTAAAATAATTTTGATTATCTATTAAGGTAAAATATTTCCTAAAAAAATTTATTTAAATAAATTACGTAAATTGAAAATGTTATTTTTAAGAGAAAAAAATTGCATGAATAATAAGTAAATGCGATAATAAAAAAATAAATGTAATAACAAAAAAAAAAAAAATGAATGCAAACATAAAATTTGTTGTAAATTTCCACAACTGTGTTTATTGTAATAAAAAAATTCCATAAAAAAGTTGATCAATTCAAAATTTTATATAATAAGAGAAAACACAAGTGGTTAGAGATAAACAATTTTTTCTTAAATTTTACGTTTTTAATTTAAATTTTCCCGCTGAAGACATTCATATGCGTACTTTTCAGACCAAGGGGGTAAAATAAGTTGTTTTAAACCTAGAAAACTTTTTTAAAAATATTTATAATTATACGATAATTATAATAAGTAAACTTATTTCTGAGTATTTATAAATATAATATATTAATAAAGTAAACTTATTTTTGTATATTTTTATTTATTTATTTAAGTATTTTAATAATTTAATTATAATTTTAGTAAGTAAACTTATTTTTTAATATTTATAATTACATCATAATTATAATATGTTAACTTTTTATATAATATTTATAATTACATTATACTTATAGTAAGTAAACTTATTTTATAATGTTCATAATTATATTTATTATATTTTGGAACGTGTTCCGAAGAAAGATACCTAAGAAGCAGAAAATTTGAGGTTGTGTTTGTAATTTTTAAAATAAAAATACACAATGAAGATCAAATTTTAATATAAAGCACTGATGTTTTAATCTTCATTACATTGAAACTTATTAATAAAAACCTTTCTTAATTTTACACAACTAAATACAAAATTTTTTTTGAATAAAAATATAACACAAATATAACCTTAAAATGATTTTTTGCTTAGGTATACCTTTCTTCAGAGGGCGACACGTTTATATTTATTATTTTCCTTATATTTATTTTTGTTATAAATATAAATTTAATATAACAAAATCATTTGATGCAAGCTTACGGTAATCATACCGCAAGCTTGCTGCAAGATTACATGCTATCTGGGAATTATTATTATTATTATTAATATTTATTATTATAATTATTATTATGTTATTTTTATTTATTATTGTTTATTTATTATTTTTGTTATTATGTGATGTTTTAAAATTATTTTTATTATTATAATTATATTATTGTTATTATTTGTAGTTCTAATTATTATTATTGTAGTTATCGGTGAATATAAACAAAAAAAAAACATTTTTAATTCAAGCAAAGAAAAAAGTGAGAGAGAACATAATGCAAAAGCATTGGTATGACAGAGAGTAGATATTTGCGAGTTTAAAAAGAAAGATAAACATATATAGTTGAAACAAATTCAGTTCAATTCAATCCTTCGTGAAGTGAGTGTCGGACAAATATTTTTAGTGGGTAATTTCATAAAATTATCTTTAAATTTGATTCGTAGCCAAAAATCATGATCCGAAACGGAACTGTGCCATTAAAATATAAGCCATTTGTCACGTGGTTTTGAAATTCTTATCTGACAAGAATTTCCTGACAATTCACAGCTTATTTATCTATTTCAATAAACAAGGTTAATTCTATAGGTAATAAATAAGTAAATATCAATAGAAATTTATATTAAAAATTTTAATAAATGTAGTATACAACTAATTGTTTAATACAATTAAAAAAGTAAAAAAAAGTAAAAAAATTTTTTTTTTTTTATTGATAAAATGAACATTATATAAAACAATAAATTTTAGTACGAATATTAGAATTAAAAAATGATATTATTTAATTAAGTAAATTAATAAAATAAATTAATAATTAATTATTTCTATATAATTAATATATAATTAACAATTAATAATTATATTATGATTTATTTGAGTTAAGTGTTATAACAATACTTAACTTAAAACAATGAAACAATTTTATTCTCCAAAATTATAAAAATAAATTTTGTCACAATGAATAATAGTTATTATTGATAATAATTATTATTGTCCTGAGTTTCGATCCCCAGCAGAGTTTAAATTCCCCCATTTTTTCAATTAATTTTCAAAATATAATTATTATTAATGTTCTGGGTTTTGATCTCCAGTCGAGTTTGTCCCCATTTTCTCAGTTTTTATTTTCAATAATTCTTATTATTTTACTAATATTTATTATTATTGTTATTATTATTAACATTATTCTTATTATTAATATTATTATTATTAATATTATTATTATTAATATTCTTATTATTATTAATTTTCTTATTATTATTATTAATTTTCTTTAAAAAGACCTCAAAAACACTCATAAATATACTTAAAAGTACTTATAAAGACTCATATATAATTACTTACTCAAAAAATTGTTTTTCAAACGGTTTTTTTCTCCTCTTGTAAAATTTAATTTTTTTAAAAAATATTTTATATAAGTAATTTTTTTTTTAATTCTAAAATACTTGTTTTAAATATTAAAAATATTTTTTTTTAATGAAGAAATAAAGAATAAGAGTGTGCAAGACAATATTTTTTTACATCTAATAATAAGAAGACGTATAAATTTATAGATAGCGATCGAAAATATTTTTCCTTATATTAACAGGTTTATTTTTTTTTTCACTATACTATGTGTTTTTCTATAGATGTGAGAGTAATGAATCTTTGATTATAAACACAATAATAATAATTATTGTTCTTACGCAATTCCCCATTAATATGGTCATACATTACATTGCCTTTTTATCGCAAGTGAAAAGGTTTCACTTTTGCAATACTATATCTATATTTATATATATTATGAATGCTCCTATAAAATATTTATGTCCATTTAAAAATTTGACCTCAAAATAATATAATTTATTATAATTTTTCTATTAATTAATGATGTGGTATAATAAATATAATTGGAATAAGAATAATTAGAATAAAAAAAAACTATTGAAACTGAAAAAAACAAAATAAAATTATTAATGTAAAAGGGTTTCATTATTTAAATTTTAAAGTAAAAGGATTTTTTTTTATTTAAACCATGTCCCTATTTTTTAGGTTTACAATATAATTATTATTATTACCAAGAATAATAATAGTAATTTATTTAAGATAATAAATAAAATTAATAAATAAAATATAATAACTATAAAATAACAATATTAACAGTGACAATATTAATAATAATAATTATATTGTAAACCTAAAAAGTAGGGACATTGTTTAATAATTTTATTTTTTTTCAGGTTTTTTTATTTCGATTTTTTTAATTATTTTTCTATTACATTATTATTTGATATTGTTTTTCTTTATTATTAATTTAATATTGTTTTTTTTATTATTTTATTTTTTATACTGTATGTTATTTTTTGATATCGTCTTTTTTATATATTTTTTTTAATGTTGTTGTTGTTGTTTTTGTGTATAGAATATAGAAAGTTCTTCGTTCAACTTTATCTTTTGTAATAATTATGAAGTTGACAATAAAACACGTTTTTACTATATATACACCTTGTTTGTTTAAACATTTTTAAACGAACTGTAGAGAAATTTCTTTTTACTAAATGTTGCATTTTGTTTAAATTTTGCATAAACAAATGTTCTTTTTTTTCTTCTTCTTCTTTTTATATTTTATTTCGTGATGATTTGTCATGAAACCTGATCAGTACACAAACAACAAAATCAGTCGACCAGTGAATAGATCGTTTTATTTTCTCATGTAATTTTAAAACAGGAAAAGATACAGTTTTTTTACTTATTCATAAGTTCTTGACTTTTTTTTTTTTTGTTAAGAAAAAAAAAGAGAAAGAAACCGTTTATTATCATTGAAATTTTTTCTGTCTGCAAAATTTTCTCTTTTTTGTCACATTTAATTTTTGTTGACACTGTCAAAAAACACCTGTTTAATTAGTTTGATAAAAATAATTGTATGTGAAATTATTTCTGTTTCATTTTTTAAAAAAATAAAATTCTTTTTTACAGAAAGATGTTGATTCGTGTGATTATAGTGTTAATGTGTATTTTTATTGTTAAAACATGTTGGGGATTCACTGGAAGAGGATTAATGTATCCTGGACGTACGGATTTGTTTGAACTTTCTGTGATACATATTAACGATTTTCACGCTAGGTAAGGTTTGTAAAAAATGAAATTAAAGAAAAAAAAAAAAAAAGAAAAAGTTGTAAAAATTTTTGAAAGTATATTTTTTTTACTTTATTTGTAAGCTGTTCGATTTCATAATAATTGACTGGAATTACAAATAAAAAAGAAAAAAAATTCATTTCCTCTATGAGGAAGTAAAATTGAAAAAAAATTGGGAAAATAATGAAAAATAAAAAGAAATAATTAATTAAAAAGAATTGAGAAACAGGAACAAATTAAAAGAATTGATAAAAAAGGGAAAAAACAAATAAAACTAGATTGTTGAATTTTGTTTGTGACGTACAAACCCGAAAGGCATCAACTATATCTATAATAATTATTAAACTTATTTAAACAATGAGGGGGAATTAATTGAAGTATTCCAAGGTACAGGTCCAATAAACCAATTACAGACGAATAAAAAGCAGTTCATAAAACTGTTAAGGTCGATTAATTGAAGTGTTACTAAATCATTTATTTCTCACTTACACGTGGTTGGATTTAAGAAAAAAAAATTTTTTTTATCATTTTATTCATGTATTGTTACTTCTGAATATTTCTGGACTATTTAAAAATAATAAAAATCAATCAAATTAATTGAAAAATATTTTAATAGGATTTATATATTTACTTCAGTTAATAATAATTAAAAATTATTAATTTATTAATATATTAAAAAATATTATTAATTGAAATTAATTCTTCTGTTTATATTTCATTGCGTGATGATTTGTAATTAATTAAAAATTAATAATTATAATTAATTAAAAATTAATAATTACAATTAATTAAAAATTAATTATAAATTATTATATTAAAAAAATTAAAAATTAAATTAGAAAATAAAATTTAAATTTTAAAAATAAATTTAAAAAAATTTGTAATGAAACATAATCAGTACACAAACAACAAAGTCAGTCGAGCAGTGAATAGATTAATTTTAATATTTAAAAAAAAATTTTTAATTAAAATATAATTAATATAAATAAATTATAATTAAAAAAATTATTGTATTACTTTTAATAAGGTTTGTTGAAACGAGTCCATTTTCCGGAAGTTGTAATGAATCACAGAAAAAAGATTGCATTGGTGGAATTGCAAGGGTAGTCACGGCAAGTCGCCAATTACTTGACGAGAGACCAAATTCTATTTTTCTAAATGCCGGTGATAATTTTCAAGGGACAATATGGTACAATTTTTTCAAATGGAACGCTACTGCTCATTTTATGAATCTTTTACCACATGACGCTATGGTAACTGCATGTTTTTTCTATTTGAATAAAAAAAAATTCTTCGATTTTAATTATTCAAAAATTAAAATTAAAAAGTAAATTGAAAAGTAAAAAAAAAAATTTTTTTTCTCAGCTACCTGTACTTCGAAGAGAGCCTTACAAAATAAATTAATTGCAGTCGAACCTGTCGACTGTAATTCTCTATTTTAAAAATTTTTTTCTCTTTAAAAATGTCCAACAAAAATTATTATATTCACTTAGATTCCAGAATATTATAAAAATATAAAAAAATTAAATTATATAACAATATTCTAAGGAACGTTTACTGTAATAAAATTTAAAATGTTGCATTCCGCCAGGTTTCACTGTAATTAAAATTAAAAAATTAATTAATTAACTAATAAAAATTAAAATAACTAAAATAATTAATTGATTAAAATAATAATTATAAATAAGGGATAATTTACTTTTAATTAATCAATTAATTAAATTGAAATACAATGATAAAAATATATTCGTTTCCTAATTCAAAAATAAAAATTTCTTTGCATTCTCTTCAAATTTTGGAATTCAAGTTTAACAATAATAAACTTCCAAAAGTCACTTGATAAAATCATATCAGAAAAGAAAATTAAAATTTTCTCCTAATTATCTTTCAAAAATAAACGTGCTTTTGGTCACGTAAATCGCAAATTTAGTATATTTTTTTTAACTAGTTATTAATAAAATTTTAATTATCCATTATTTAGCAATGAGTGTGAAATAGGCACTTAAGGAATAATCATCGCATTGACACGCGATTATAACTAGATATATTAGTATTGTAGGATCATCATACAAGTAATTAAAGTTTCCAAGAATCAAGTACAATATATTTATATAGAATAAATTTTCCTCTTTCATTCAATTTATGAACCTTATTGTTTTATTCAAAGATAAGAACACTAATTAGATATAACAATAGTGCAAATATTGTACATTATCATCATCATCTTCATAATCATTTTTTTGTCCTCTATTAAAAGTCGATTATAAATTTTGTAAATATTAAACTAGTAATGAAGATTAAATCAAGTATTTTTTTAGACCATTGGAAATCATGAATTTGACGATTCAATTGATGGACTCGTTCCATTTTTAAAAAGAATAAAGTGTCCAATTGTTGTGGCAAATATTGACAGCTCAAAAGAACCCAGATTACAGGTAATTATTTACGATATATTATTTAATATAACATTAAAAATAAATTTTTTAAATATATTTATTTTTATAATCTTTTATTTGATTGACGTATTAATTATGCAATTGTTTTTAACTAGTAACCTGATGATGATATATCAAAGTCGTTATTATAAGTGAAAATAAGTGTTTTTCTCTTTTTTACTTTTACCTAAAAATAAAAAATATAATATTTAATATTGTCTTTCAGAAATCGAAAAAACTATTTTTACAAACTTATGTTTATTTATTAATTAACTAATATATTTTAATTAAATAGCGAATTTTATTAATTATAATTATTATAACTATTAACTATAATTAGAATTATTATAACTATTATAAATATTAACTATAATTATAATTACAATAAATATTAATTAATTATAATTCTCAATCAGCGAAAAATTCTAACATTAATTAATTCTTTATTATTCTTTATTTATGAATTAATATATTTATCCATTTATTAATCTGATAATTTTTTGTTATTAATTAAAAGTAGAAATTAAAATTAATATTGTAATTAATATTGCAATTGTAATTAATTTTATTTTCTATTGTCTCTAAAGTCTAAACATTTCTTTCTTCAAACAAAAATAACTAATTTCTTTAAATATTATTTTTTATAGTTCGCCTGCATAAAATATGAGGAAATAGTGGCTGAGAGAAGCGTCCCCCCACCACTCGGGCGCTATCCGCCAATTAAAGTGTAAGGGAGGGGGGTTGCTTCTCCTAGTAACTCTAGCTGCTCAACTATTTAAATCTAATCTATAATTATTGCTACTGTCATATTTATTCTTACCTTTAATTTCAGGGACTTTATAAAAATAGTACAATCATTAACAGAGGTGGGAAAAAAATTGGAGTAATCGGTGTAATCTTAAAATCAACAAATGTAAGAAATTGAAATGTCTACTTAAGTATATTTTGAAAATTGATAAATAGTCCAATTTTTAATAAATATTAAATAATAATAATAATAAATGAATAATAATAATAAAAAAAATAATTAACTGTATTTATAATATTATTAATTATATATACAGTCGATTCTCGATATATTGAATCTCAAGGGACATAAACAAAATTTCAAATTACATGAAAGATTTTTTCACTCAAATGTTTTTAGTATCAAAATTTTTCAGAAATATTTTTATATGAAAAATTCGAAATTTTTTTATGTCCCATATGAAGATTCAATTATTATTAAGAGTCGACTGTATTTATTTTAGATACAGTCGACTCTCGATAAATTGAATCTTAAAGAACATTAAAAAATGTCAAATTATCAAAATTTTATTAATTTATCAAATGTTCTTTTCATCAAAATTTTTTTATTTACAAAAGTTGAAATTTTTTTTATGTCCTTTGAAATTGAATTTATCGAGAGGCGACTGAATTTATTTTTTATACAGTTGACTCTCGATAAAATGAATCTTTTGGGACAGAGATAAACTTTAAAATAATCGAAGGTTTCATTTACCAAATATTTTTGGTATCAAATAAAATGTTTAATAGAAAATTAAAAAAAAAATTTTTCTTATTATTCATTTTTTTATGTTTCTTGAGATTCAATTTATCGAGAGTTGACTGAATTTATTTACTATAAAGTCGACTCTCGATAAAATTAATCCTAAGGAAAAGAAATAAAATTTCAAATTATCGAATTATTTGTCAAATATGTTTAGTATAAAAATTTTTCTCTAAAAAAAAATTAAAATTGTTTTTCTTTATATTTATTTTTTATGTCTCTTTAGATTAAATTTATCGAGAGTCAACTGCATTTATTTCATGTACAGTCGACTCTCGATAATAATAAGAAGACTCAAAAATAATGGTACAATAATAAGTAATAAAATATAATAATTTACTAGCAACGAAAATAATACTAAAAATTAAAACTTTCTAATAGTAATTATTTCTTTTAAAGCTAATTGCAAAAACAGAAAAATTGTCATTTTTGGATGAAGTGGATTCAGTAAATGATGAAGCTGAAAGACTGAAAGTTCAAGGAGTCGACATTATTATAGTATTAAGCCATTGTGGATTAAATGTTGACAGAAAAATTGCAGCAGAATGTCCAAATATTGATCTTATAGTTGGAGGACACTCACATACATTCCTTTATTCTGGTAATTTTTTTTAAATTAAATTTTAAAATATTTATACGTAAAATTTTTTCTTTTCTTTCTTAGAGCGAAGAAAATTTTTTCATTCTGCTTTCTCTTTTCTTTCCTAGAAAGAAGAAAAAGAAAAATATTTTTGTTTATAGTTATAAAGAATTTTTAATGTAAAAAAAATTCAGTGAGACTTTAAAAACAGAATGCTTAAAAAAAAATACACGTGCATAATTATTGTGTAATAATCAAATATGATTTATGACTTTGTCAGGTAATAAGCCATACACAGATGTACCTGAAGATGTGTATCCTGTTTATGTGAAACAAAGCACCGGTAGAACAGTATTAATTGTTCAAGCTGCCGCTTTTACGAGGTTTTTTTTTTGAAAATTATTTATTTACTAGTTTTAATTTAGAAACTAAAAATATTTCTTTAGTTCCTAGAAGTTAATTAAATATTTTCAATTTACTATTTTTAGTTTTGAAGCTAAAAATATTCTTTTAAATAATAGAAGTTCATTATTAATTTTTTTAATTTCTCTTTTTTAATTTAGAAAATAAAAAAATGTTTTTAGTTTCTAGAAGTTTATTAAATTTTTTAATTTACTATTTTCAGTTTTAAAGCTAAAAATATTTTTTAAATTACAGAAGTTCATTGGAAATTTTTAAAATTTTCTTGTTTTAATTTAGAAACTAAAAATATTTTTTAATTACTTGAAGTTTATTAAATAAAATAAAAAAATGTTTTTAATTTCTAGAAGTTTATTTTTAATTTACTATTTTTAATTAAGAAGCTAAAAACATTTTTCTAATTACTAGAAGTTCATTATAAATTTTTTTAATTTACTATTTTTAATTTGGAAACAAGAAACATTTCTTAAATTACTTTTTAATTATTTAAAGTTTTAAAAATTTTTGTAATTTACTATCTTTAATTTAGAAAATAAAAATATTTTTCCAATTACCAGAAGTTTATTAAAATTTTTATTATTTATTTATATTTATGTATCATTATTTATTTCTTATTATCCAATTATTATTATTATCCACATACTATTATTTATATTTTAGTCATAATTTATTTATAAATTTCCCTAAATAGGTATATTGGAAATTTGACTGTCTGGTTCGATTCTCAAGGTGAAATTCTCGACTGGGATGGAAATCCAATTCTGTTAGATTATTCGATTGAAGAAGGTATAAGTAATTAAAAAAATTTACTGAAATGACATTTTATCGAGAGAAAAAAAATTGTCTGCAAAAATAATTTAAAAAAAAAGTAATTGACTTTCGATAAAGTTAAATGGCGTATTTTTTTTTCCTGAGGGGATATAAGTAATATTTTTTTTTCTTCGCCACCAGATCCAGAAATATTGGCAGCTCTTCAGCCATGGAAGCAGGAAGCAGATCGACAAGGATCAGTGGAAATTGGCGAGACAAGAGTTCATCTCCAGGGATTGAGAAATTGTCAAAGTGGTGAATGTAATTTAGGAAATTTATTAACCGATTCAATGGTAGATTATGTAAGAATCTGTTTTATTTTCAGTCATAGTTTTCATAAATTTAAAATAATTAATTAATTAATTAATACGAAAGTAATTAATTAATACGAAATTAATTACTTAATTAATAAGAAATTAATTTTAAAGAAACATTTCTCTTGCGTTTCTTGCGAAACCGTTTCGATGAACGCTGGAGTGGGGATAATGAGAGTGAGAGAGATATTCGAGAATTTCTCTCTCGCTCTCGTTGTCCCCACTCCGGCGCTTGCGCACTGCTTTCGGTGAAATCTGGAGTGGGGGCAATGAGAGTGAGAGAGAAATTGTCGTTTTTCTCTCTCGCTTTCATTATCCCCACTCCGATGTTAAACAGAAATTATTCTTTTTTTTCTAGTACGTTAAAGAAAATGTGAATAATACTTACTGGACGACTGCAGCAATTGCTGTCCTTAATTCCGGAACTATTCGCGGTGATATTAGTAATAATCCTGGAATAATAAAATACGAGGATCTCATAATTGTTGCTCCATTTGGTAACACTTACGACCTTGTGGAATTAAAGGGCAGTGATATTTTAAAGGTACTGCAATATTTTTTCAAATAATTTTCTTTTCAATAATTTTTTTCGAATTTTTTTTGTCAATTTTTTTTTTTCAAAACTTAATTTTTTTAAATATATATATATATTCTTTCTAAAAATAATTCTCATCTGAAAGAAATTCTTTTCTAAAAATAATAATTCTTCTCTGAAAAAAATTTCCTTTTCAAATAATTTTTCTTTTTGTAAATATAATTATTTTCTTTTGAAAGTAGAATTAAAATAAAGTTGTTCAAGACAAATATTTTCTAAACAGTGAGAAAAAATTAAATTTTAACAGACTTTAGAGAAAGCAGTTCTCACTAGTTATTCAGCAGAAAAATTTATCGGACAAAGTTTTCTTCAATGGTCAGGATTAAAAGTCACCTATAATCTATCAAATCCAGATTATTCACGTGTAATCGACGTGAAAGTGAGGTTTGCAACTAAAATTCTTTATTACCTATAATTAAGAGAAAAAAAAAAAAATAATTATCAAAATTTACAGATGTCAAGTTTGTCTAATGCCAAAATACGAGAATTTAATTTCTGAAAAATGGTATAATATAGTGACAACTAGTTTTTTGTTAAACGGAGGCGATAATCACACTGACCTACAACACGGTCATCGTAATCACAGAGCTGGACCATTGGATGTTGATTATCTCGTGGGATTTTTTAAAAGAAAGAGTCCAATTATTTACGGTACCGAAGGCAGGCAGACACTTCTCGGCAATTGGAAGAAATCATATTTATGAGAATTTTTGTTTTTGAATTAAAAATTTAATTCAAAGAAATGAAGAATGACATTTTTTTTATATCGAACAAAAAGAGAAAGAAAAATTCGAATCGAGACATAATTTTTTATTATGAAGAGAAAAAGTGAAAATTCTCAATAATTTTACTACAAAAGGAAAAAAAAATAAATGAAAGATTCATTTGTGACGAGTTCTAAGAAGCAAAAAATTTGAAGTTATGTTTATTTTTTTCTAGAATTGATAATAATAAATAAATTTTTTATTTAATTAACAAATTTTTATTCTTTTAAAATGAAAACTAATTTTTATTAAATTAATAATTTTTTATTTTAATGGTTTATAATTTAGTAATTAGAATTGAGAATTAACTTTATGCATTTTTATATAGAAACAAACATAACTTACAAAATTTTTTCCTCTTCTTATTCTTTCTTCGCAACGCGTCAAATATACAAAAAAAAAATATAAATATTATAAATTGTAAATAATACACGAAAGATTTAAAACTTATCAGTTTTATAATTATAATTTAACAAAGTTCACCATATATTTGATTTGTCATTTTGATTTTTACACGCAAGAAAAAAGTGACAGATTTTACACACTAAAAAAAAAGTTTTACTTTCAGCCTGTTTTCGAGGCTGAATTTAAGGTGTAAACGGTGTCAGCCCCATTAAACAAGGACAGACTTATGTGAAATACATGGGCTGAATTTAAGGTGTAAACGGAGTCAGACTTTTTTTTTCCTGTGTAATTAAAAATATTTGAAGTGAAAAAAAAGAAAATTTAAAATAAATAAAATATTAAAGTCCGCCATATTTGATTCACCATTTTGATTTTTACAGGCAAGAAAAAAGTGACAGCTTTTAAGTAAAAATATTTATTTGAAGTAAAAAATAAAGAAAATATTAAATATAATTAAAATAAATGAATAATAATAATAATAATAATAATAATAATAATAATAATAATAATAATAATAATAATAAAACTTTATCTAAATTAAATAAATTTTAGTCAATTTAAAATATTTAAATAAATTTTATTTCATTCAACTACATGTTTCTCTGATTAAAATAAATTTTCTCTAATTGAATAATTGAAATAATTTTTTTCTATACGGGCGCGCTCATAATTGTGATTTGTAGAAATTTACTTGCAATGAATGAATGAATGAATGAATGACTTGAAAAGAAAAAATCTTTCCAGCAGGTAATTTTACTATTTTCTTCGGCAAATAAAAGTTTTATTAATCAATTAGAGAAATAGGTAATCGGATTGAATTTAAAATTCGGTATTTAATAGCCAATGAGAACAATTATGCATCTCGCTGTGGGGAGTCGGACGCGTGCACCATAAAGGCACACGACACCGCTCTCACAGCTGCCGGAAGTACATCTGCCGGAACTACTAACCAAGCTGAAGCGATTGCCTCTAAGGTGTGCAATGTATACATATATTTTATCTTATACATACACACACTGAATTTACAAATATTAGTAATGTTATAAAAAAAAAAAAAAAAAAAAAAAAAACTGTAAAGATTAAAAAACCCTTATTCTCAAGTTCTTTTTCAATTTGATTTTTTCTGTTTAAAAAATTTTTCGGCTATTTTAATGCCAAAAACAATTTAGAATATTTATTGTTATTTTTTTCAGAATTTATTGTTTTTTATTTTTTTTTTTAGAATTTATTGTGTTTTATTCATTTATTTTTTTTTTAGAATTTATTGTGTTTTATTTATTTATTTCATTATTGTTACAATAAATACACGCGCGCCTGAAATTTTACCGCCATTTTTTATACAGATACAAAAGTTTTTTTTTTTGTTTTAAATTTAATGAAAATTTGTAATTTTTTTTTAAAATATAATTTTTCGAAATACAATTCTTGAAAAAAACGATTATACAGTGGAACCTGTCGGAAAGCAAAGCTATTTAAAAATTTTTTTCCAATCGATAATGACCAACAAGAAATATTTTCTCTTATATTTTTGCAAAATATTGTAAAAATATCACAAAATTAAATTTCAAATCAATTTTTTGAGGATTGTTTACTGCAATAAAATTTTTAAAATCGAGTTGCATTCCAATAGGTTTTACTGTATTTCAAAACGATTTTTAAAAATAATAAAATTATATTCTTAAAATTTATTTACAATTATTCAATTTAAAAAGTCAATTGTTTTTTAGAATTTTTGAATAAAATTATTCAAGACTTTAATATCTAATAGTCAAAGAAAAATAATATCATTTTTTAAAATAAACAAAAAGATTTCTATTTAAAAACCTTTTAAAATTTAACCATTTCTTAAAATTTCAGTTAACGCATATTTAATATTCAATTATTTTTTTAAATTTTAACTTTAATTCTTTTTTGAATCGATCCTTGTTAGAATTCAACGATTATTGAATCATATAAATAAAAAAAATTTTAATTACCTACTTTTCCAAATTTTTAGTTAGAATTCTTTAAAAAGTATACAATATAATATTTAAAAATAATTTCCGAAAAATCTAAAGTGAGAAAATAAAAATTTTTGAAATATAAAATTTTTTAATGAAATTTTAATGAAATTTGAGAAAATTTTCGACTTTTTTCAATTTTTTCTAATTATTTTCGGGAATTCAACTCTGTTTTCGAAAAATTCTAATTACGATTTTTTAAAAACCTCATTTTTTCAGAATCTCTATATTAACTTATTCGAAACTTTAATAATTTTTGTTAAATAATAAATAAATATTTAAATATTTCTTGTTATTTATTTGTTCACTAGGAATTAAATCTTTAAAATGCTTTCAATGTAAAATCTTTTGAAATTTCGACTTTTCGATTTTTTTAATTTTTAAGAGAGAAAAAAAATTTTCTGTTATGAGAGAAAGAAAATTGGTAAACTATTTAATAGATTTTCATAATAATTTCATATTTTCGATAAGTTTTTTAATCATTGAAAAATATTTCTTTCTTCAATTAATTTTATCGCCTTTGTGAAAGTCTAATCAAGTTTTTTAGATTTTATATTTGAAAAAAGGAAAAAAAAAATTCCTCGACGCATAAAAAATGCGGAAATTCTTAATTTTGGGTCTTCACCCCCGCAGCTGACGATGACGGGATACCACCTGACGGGTTTGGTTTTTTGATGCAAGCAGCTGCTTTGTCATCACCCCTCACTATTATAATTTTTGATTTCTTCTATTTTCAGTCGCAGTCAATTTTTAATTTTTTAAATTTCGAAATTTTCAAGTCGCTACGAAAAAAATGAAGATAACATTTTTTTTTTTATTTTGTTCCAAACCTAGATGATTATTTTATTGACATATTAAACACTCTGGAGAAATTTTTTTAAAACTCCCTTAAACTTTTTTTATTTATTCTTTATATTTAATTTATCTATTTTCCATTATTTTGATAAATAAAGAAATTTTTATCTTATACTTATTTTTTTGCATCAAGTAAAAGAAATATTTTTTTAACAAATAAAATTTCTTCAAATTAAGTAAAATTTCTTTTACAACAAATAGATTTTATTTTAATTATTTAAAGTTTCAGCATTTTTTTTTAAAAGCAATTAAGGTTTCTGTATAAAATTTATTTGAAACAAACAAACTTTACTGAAATTAAATAAAATCTTTTTGTAACAAATAAATTTTGTTTAAATAAAATAAAATCTTTTTGTAATAAATAAATTTTGTTTAAGTGAAATAAAATTCTTTGGCAGCAAATAAATTTTATTTTAATTAATAACAAGTTTAATTGAAGCGTATATCCAATTTCCATCAGTACTGATTTCCATTAATTAGTCAATTTTCTTTATTCCACTCCAAGAAAAGAAAATAGAAATTTAAATGGAAAAAATTCAATTTTCCAAGAACATTAATAATTATTGTCCTAAGAAAATTGCATCTAATCAGGGAGACAATAGCATGGAATGCTTTTATAATACACAAAAGTAAGAAAAAGGTAAAAGGTATATGGAGGAGATATATACCACAGTATTTTTAGGTAAAAGTGAAATCAAAACAGCCCGGTGATGCCCAATATGTATATAGCAAGAGAGCAACATAGCAACAGCCGTTTTCTTCGGATTATTTTGGCCCAAGTCTAGAGATGTCGAAGGCAACAAAAGTACTTCGAAGAGCAGATGCATGGCATGTGCTACGAAAACCACGCCAGATGCCCCATTGGCGTAGACTTTCGAGTCCCATTAAATGATCAGCAACTTTCCTCAAATTTTCGACATATATACATATATATATATACCTACAATAGGAAACCCAAAATGAATCATCTCTTTTCCTTTTCGGAATGGTCGCGTGCCGAATCTAAATTCATTCTAATGGGGTCGTCCGAGTTAGAGCGCGCGATAAAAAAGTTTTCCTTTTAATCCATTCCCAACAATGGACGGGAAAAGTTTCTTCAATATTCCTTCAAAGTTAATCAAAAAATTTTTTTTCTAATTTCCAATTTTTTTTAAATAAAAAGAAAATCGGTTTTTAATGTTTTTATTTCCAAAACTGCGAATTACTATTTTCGTCTAATTTATTCATTTATTTATTTCTTCATTTATTTTATTTTCATATTCGTTCATTTTTTTTATTTATTCATTTATTTTATTTATTTGTTTATTTTATTTATCTATTTATTTATTCAATTTCTGGGTGATTCTTCACTCACTGGTCACTTTTGCTTCTCCACTTTTCCCTTTAAAAATTACTTTCAAATCTACTTCAAACTTTTGCACTTTTTTAAACTTATTATTTAATTTCTAAACTAAAAATTTTAAAATTGTTTAAATATAAAATTGCAAGAAAAAAGAAAAAAAACTCAAATATCAACAAAATATCTATTTTCAAGCTTTATTAAAAAGATCTACATGGGAAATTTTCAAAAAAATTAATTTAAAAAGAAAGTTACAGTAGTTAAAAATGATCACTTTGTAGAGAATAACCCATTTGTTAATTTATTTTATTTATTTATATATTTATTGTATTTACAGGCCTCGGATCGACTTTAAGGAGCAAAAAAAGTCTATTTAGTATATACTATTTAGTCTATTAAAAATACAAAAAGAATCGAAAAAGTCGTTTATTTAATTCATATAAAATGTCACAAGAATTTTATTTTTTGCATTTTCCTGATTTTTTTCCCTTCCACTGAATACTAAATTCAATTTTTCAAAACTTGAATAATTTTGTTAAATAAATATTGAAATATTTTAAGCAATTATTATTTGTTTTTCCATGGGAAATAAAATTAGAAAAATTTCAAATTAAAACTTTCTGATATTTAACAATTTCTTAAAATTACAATTATAACCCTAACAAAATTAAATTAATTAAATTAAATTAAATTACATTTTCTACAATTTTTAACTAAACTTCATTTCCAAATCAATTATTTTTAATTTTTCTTCCAATTATATTTAAATAAAAAAATTTAATTTTCCATAATTATTGTAACTGTAACTGTTTATGGTTCTTTTTTATAAAAGTTATTGAGAAGAATTACTGAAAATATTTAACCAAAAATATTGAAAGTAACTGATTTTTAAAAAATTATAATAAAGAAATTCTTAAAATTAATTTTTAAAATATATTTTAAAATAATTTTTGAAAGTTTATAGGTTTTTAATTTATGAAATTGAAAAATTTCCAAATAATTGAAATTTGGTAAAATCTTTTAACAATAATTGAATTTTTGAAATATATATAAAAAAAAATAATCAAATTTTCATGAAGAATTTTAATTTTAAAAATAAACATGATTTCTCCAAAATTTTAAAAACTCTAAAAAAGTAGATTTTAATTTATTTTCTTCAAAGATTAATTATCTTAGAACAAAAATAAATCTAATAAAAATAAATTTTTAAAACTTAAAATGAAACAATTACAAAACTGAGTTTTTTAAAAGTATTGCAAATGCAATGTAATTTTACGAAAATAATTGAATTTCTTTAAAGAATTTTTGTATAATTTAAAAGAAACTAATTTTTTGTTGAAATTTAACAAAAAAATTTTGAACATGATTTTTTTCTCCACAAGTGTTAAGAATAATTTAAAAAAATTTTAATGTTGTTATTTTTTTATGTATTTAAATTTTCGAAAATTTTTAATTGAAATTATTGAAAATATTTGAATTTTAAAAAATTACAAGGAAAAAATTCTATCAGTATTACTTTTTTCAAAAATATTTTAATATAATTTTTAGAAGCTAATTTTCGTTAATTTTCATGTTTTTAAATTTACACTTGAAGATTTTTCATTGAAAATTTTGAGAAATCAATTATTTTCAAAATTTGCAATTTAAACTCCTCAAAAGTTGATTTTTAAAAATTGTAATAAATTACTTGCAAAAAAATCAATTATTTACAGTTAAATTTTACGAAATTTCAATTATTGAAACATTTTTCAATTGTATATTTCAAAAATTTAATTAGAAAAATCATTCAAAAATAATTTTGTAAAGATTTGTTTATAGTTATACTTTTGACTCTATAAAAATCGAAATAAATTGCATTATACAAAAAATGTGTTTTTTGCGGCAAAACTTGTAGGAAAAGTCGAAAAAGTCATAATTTTTGAAAATAAGTCGAAAAAAGTCGAAAAAGTCATAATATCCAAGGCCTGTATTTATTCATTTTTTTTTATTTATTTATTCATTTATTTTCATTATTTATTTATATTTATTCAACTTATTTTTTTTCAAAGTGTTTTTTTTCTAAAATTTTCATTTAAAATTATATTTAAAAAAGTGAAGACAAAATTGCGAATAATGATTTGCCTATAATTTCAGTTTTTAAATTAAAAAAAGCCTTCTTTCAAAAATTAGGAATAATTGCAAAAAGAAAAAAAATTGTCAAATTGCGGAAAACTTGAAAAAAGTAATATTATAAAGAAAGGATAAATTTAGTACACAAAAAATGAGGGTTCAGAAAAAAGTAATATTTGTAAATGATTTTCTAATCTGATGATTGATCGCATTGATCGTTTATTTAGTATTATCTACAATTATTCATTGTAAAAGTATAACAATTAAGTTAAAACCATATTATACATATTTACAAAGATGACAGAAATTATTGACAATCAAAGAATTTCCTCCATTTGTTGTTTTCTTTTTTTATAACAAAAAAAAAAAATTAGAACTTCCGTATAATTCACAAAATTATTCAGAAGGTATTATAATTTATAATAAAGAAAAATTTTGTCTGTTTTGAAATAATTTTACAATTTAGATCTATCTTTAACTACTGATGAAAGAACAGTTTTAATTTTTTTTTCGACTCTCAAATTATAAATATTGAGAAATATTTGCAAACGGCAAAACTTAATATATAGAAAAGTATGACAATTTTACAAAATAGAAACTTATTTGTAAAAGAAAACTTCCTTTTTAATAATTAATAAATTATAGAAATTAGTTCAAATTTCTATATTTTAAATTTTCCACTCATTTTTTCTAAAATATCGCTTTTGAGCAGTAATTTTCAAACAAATTTTAATATTCTTGAACATTTTACGTGAAACGAATACTTGAAGTAAATTCGTGTTATTGAACATATTTTTTTTTTGTATTTGTATATTGAAACATTTTTTTTTAAATTTCAAAACGTTCATCTATTTTCTTCACAACGCTGAACAACTGCTCTGTCACGCGGCAGGTGATCGAAAATTCCAAAGTCTTATCCCGTTTGTGCATCTGTTTCATGTCTTGATTCAAAATCGTGTAAATATAACACAAAAGAATTTTTCTCAAAAAAATTCCGTGTGGAACTTTAACTTTTTAAAAATTAGTTAATAAATTGCTACACACATAGAATTTGTTTCACTTGTGACAAGTTTTTTTGTTTTTTGTCTAGTTTTTGTTTAAATGAAAAATAAAAGGTGCACAGCCCCCTTTTCACGATTTCCAAACTTTTTTTTCATGTTTATGACAAGGTTTTTTGTAATTATGATAGTTAATTTTCTAAAATATGTCAGTTATTTTTTTTTTTTTTGTAAGCGTTTGGAAAAGTGTTTTTCATTCTATCAATGACTTCCGGACCTGGAAAGAGAAAAACTGTTTTTATTACAAAAATAAATTTTTGTTTTAGTAATTAGGTAATTATTATTTAATAATAGAAAAGTTTATTTGAATCAAGTAAATTTTTTTTCTCTAAATTTAAGATGTAAACGGTTTTAGCCAATTTTTGTAAACGTGGAATATTAGAGCAGGAGTAAATTTTAATTCTAAATATTAAATAAATAAACTGTAAATATTACATTTTAATTATAAAATTTTCACTCGGTAAAATTTTTTTTTTCTCCAAATTACACATATACCTTAAAAATGCCTGTTCTCTCTGTAAATCGAGATGATTTCTCATGGCGACAACAGTTGGATGATGGGGTGGTAAACCCTCGTCGACAATAAGATAACGCAAAGTTTCATTGGCACACGAATTCCAACCGGCATTCCACGATGTTAAATTCGATTCAACATTCGATAATTTCTCCTTTCTTCTAAAATCACCATCCGTTAATTTCACTCGCGAATAGGGACATCTTTTCTTCAATTGTTCACGTTTCGACGATTGGGAGAAATTCTTTCCAAACGATTTATTAAATTCACACGAAGATGAATTGGAATTTTCATTTTCATTTCTCTCTAAACACTTAATTGTTAAATTATTTTCCCTACTATAAATATCACTGTATTTTTTATTATCATTATTCACATCTTGACTAATATCCATAAATTGCATGTCCTTTTGTAGCTGATTTTTTGGAATTGATTTTTCAAAAATTGTCGTTGAATCACTTTTAATGTCATTTTGGGAAAAAATTGTTGTTGAATCACTTTGAATAATGTCATTTTGGGGAAAATTTTTTGTCGAATCACTTTGAATAATTGTTCGTGTGGTGTTTGGTTTTCTTTGTGAAAATTTTAATTCTTGAGCTAATGAAACGGCCAATTGTTGTAGTAAGAGGGAATTTTTTGTTATATCCTCATCGTCATCTGTATCATCTAAATCAACTTCGACGCCTTCGTCTTCTGATGAAAAATCATCATTCTCCTCGTCCACTCCCAATAGAGTCAATAATCTCTCGGCAGCATCTGAAAAAAAAAGAAAAAATTGTTTATTCAAATTTATTTATTTATTTAAAAATTATTTATTCAAATTTATTTATTTATTTAAAAATTATTTATTTCAATATGTATTCTAATTAAAAAGAAAACTTTCAATGATTAAAAAATAAAATTTCCAATCACTGAATAGTGATTAGAAATAGTGATTGAAATTTAATTTTTTAATCATTGAAAGTTTTTTTTTTTTAATGAAAAGCTTTTTCTTTATTGAAAGAAAAAAAACATTTTCCAATTATTTTCGCAACTGAAGAGTTGAAAATTTTACGATTCCTTTAGGATGAAAAGTTTTGTTCCATCACAAATTAAAAAAGTTTGAATAAACCTTTTTTATGAAACGTTATAAAACATCAAACATCTTTATGACTTTTATTATTCTCGAGAATTTTGTAAGGTAATTACTTTTTTCATATATATATATATATTATATATATAAACCTTTTATGGAAATCATACTATTTTTTATGTAAGACACACGAAATTAAAATTTTCCTGAAAACTTTTCCTTAGGGTCGACCTTTTATCAATTTAGATTGAAATTTCCTCTATTATAAAATGCAAATATTTTAATTTTTCTGCATTATACGAACATTAAAATTTATATGAATAAATTCCTTTTTCTTTCTTTTATTTTATTTGTTTTCTTTTTGCTTTTTTTATTCTTTTCGTTTTTCATTTTTTTTTCTCATTATTTTTTATTCTTGTTATTTTTTTTAGAATCAAAATAAATTTTGCTTAAAATAATTCGAATTTGTCTTTTGATAAATTATTATTTTTGTTATCCAAAAATAATAATATAATTAATTAATAATAATTAATAAATAATTAATAATAATTCACTTGAATAAAATAAATATTTAATTTAATAGTCAAGTAATTGGTTATTTGAATCAAATATTTTTTTTTTCAGTGAAAAAATTTCATTTTGCATAGAATTTTGTTAAAATTTTCGAAAATAATTGAATTCCTTCGAAGAATTTCCTTTGAACATTTTTTTAAATAATTGGATTCTTTTGAAAAGTATTACTAAAAATTTTATTGAAAATAATTGAGTTTTTAAAAACAGAAATTTATTCAAATTTTTGAAAATAATTAGATAGATTTCTTCGAGGAATTTAATAAAAATTGAATTTTGGAAAATAATTGAATTGTTTCAAAGTATTTTATTAAAATTTTGATAATTAATTTTTCCATGGGTTTTTATAAGAATTGTAATAAAATACCTAATTGAAATCTTATAACAAGAAATATATCAAAATTTTTAATAATAAGTAATAAGTTCCTTTGGGATATTTAATAAAAATTAAATTCTTGAAAATAATTGAATTGTTTCAAAGTATTTTATTAAAAGTTTGGATAATAATTAAATTTTTTTGATGGGTTTTTTTTATTAAAATTGTAATAAAATAATTGAAATCTTAAAATTTTTGATAATAATTGCATTTTTTTTAATGGGATTTTCATTAAAATTGTAATAAAATAATTGAAATCTTATAAAGAATTTTTCGAACATTTTTAAAATTAATTGAGTTTTTGAGAATATGATTTTATTAGAATTTTTTGAAAACAATTGAAATAATTGAATTATTTGGAAGAATTTCTTCTTAAATTCCACAATAAAATAATTGAAATCTTATAAAGAACTTTATAAAAAGTTTTGAAAATAGTTGCATACTTTTATTTCATTTAAAATCAAATAAAATTTTCTTAAAATAATTCGAAATTTCATTTATAATATATTTTTATTATTCATAAAAAAAAGTTCTGATTTGTCGGACTAAATTTTTTTCCTCACAAAATTTGCTCTCTTAAATATTTCATAATCATTTACTTATGGTTAAGAATGTGTACAGAAACTGCACCTGCTTTACGATATAAACTACAGGTGCAAATCCACAATCCTTAATAAATTTCGATTTTCATTTTTATTGTATTTTATAATAATTATTATTTTCAATATAATTAAATGATTAGTAATTATATAACATAATTTAACAATAATATTTAATAAAAAAAATTAATAAAAATTAAACTAGTAAAAATAGAGTAGTTTTCGATTTTAATTTTTTTTTATTTATTTTATAATATTGATTACATAATAATTATTATATAACTAAATGATATGTAATTACATAATTTAACAATAATAGTTAATAAACGATAAATTTAATTAAAATTAACGTAGTAAAAATAGTAAAAATGGTAAAAACAGTAATGTTACATTGTACATGTGACATGGCTAAGCGGCTTCCCTACTGGATTTCTAACAGCAAGGACCGGGTTCGATTCCTCACGACTGTGAATTTTTTTCTTTCTCTAATAATTGATTCCCTAATAGTAGATTACAAACTTCAGTATCAAAAACTCGAAATTATCAATTCCATTAAATGTAGACAAGAAAAATGGAAAAATTGAAAAAAATAATTGACTGATAATTGTGGAGGATAGGAAAATTAGAAATTCTTTTTATAATAAATTGATTCCGATGATTATCAACGTCCACTTTATAAAATTACCCATCTCAATTCTTTGCTTGAGGTCCTGTGGGAATCATGCTCCAGAAACGTCCCATGGGAAATACCTGTCACAAGTTGCCCTTCCTAAACAAAAGTTTCGCACGACTCTCACACATCTTGGAATTTATATATATATATATATATTCTCGTCGCGTCGTTACCAATATTCTCAACTTCTGTATACACGCACTATAAGTGAATATTATACACAAAAAGAATTTCTCGCGCACCCCTAAACGTTCAACGATAGCCTAGGGGTCGACAGGTAGGGGGGTTACCTGCTCATGGGAACAAAAATTATTCCAACTGTCCGTGGGGGGTGGAAATCAACCTTGGATATATTTTTTTCGTTTCAATTCCCTTCGTCTTTTTTTATTTTTTATTTATATTAATCTATATAATTTTTTTTTAATTGTTATACAATTTATAATTATCTTTTCAAATAAAATTATTGAATTAAAATTAATAATTGAAATTCATAATTGAAAATTGGAATTAAAATTAATGATTGAAAATAATAATTGACATTAAGAATTGAAATTCATAATTGAAAATAGGAATTGAAATTAATAATTGAAATTCATAATTGAAAATAGGAATTGAAATTAATAATTGAAAATAGGAATTGAAATTAAGAATTGAAATTCATAATTGAAAATAGGAATTGAAATTAATGATTGAAAATAATAATTGACATTAAGAATTGAAATTCATAATTGAAAATAGGAATTGAAATTAATGATTGAAATTAATAATTTAAAATTGATAATTAAAATTAATAATTGAAGTTAACAATTGTAATTTATCATTGAAATTACTAATTAAAATGACTAATTAAAATTTACAATTGAAATTACTAAATAAATATAGTAATAATCGAAATTATTAATTAAAATTAATAACTGAAATAACTAAATAAAATTCACAATTGTAATTGCTAATTAAAATTAATAATCGAAATAAATAAGTAAAATTCACAAGTACAATCACTAAATAAAATTAATAATCGAAGCAACTAATTAAAATTCACGAGTAAAATTACTAATTAAAATTCCTAATTAAAATCCCTAAATAAAATTAATAATTGAAATTGCCAATTAAAATTAAAAAATTAACAATTTCTATTTGAATAAAAAAAATTTAATTAAAATAAATAAATAAATTTTTGTAAAATAAAATAAGTGAATTAAAATTCATAAATTTCTGTCAAATAAAATAATAAATAATAATAAATAATAATAAATGATAATAATAATAATAATAATAATAATAATAATAATAATAATAATAATAATAATAATAATAATTTTTTAAAGAATTGATCTTATTCTTTGTATACTAAGTATTATATCTTTTTTTCAGGGTCTAAGTCCCATTTACAGCTCGATCACAATCAGAACCTAATAAGGCAAAACTTTTTTCGACATAAATTAAAATCGAAAACGTTATTATATAATATAGTTTTTATTGACTCTTTTTAAGTCTTTATAAAGGAGTAATTTTTTTTTTTTTTTTGCTTCGATTCTCTTGTGTCTGGTGATATAGTCTGGACCGAGGGGTAAAAATTCTTTGTTGTCTCTCCTTTTTTTTTATCTTAAAACTCTCACTTGTGCCAATTCAAGATTTTACTGGACGTTCCCACAGGGATGGGAAAAAATTTAAATGGTCTCCCCCCTCTTCTTTTTCTTCTTCTTCTTTTATCGAAATATTCAGGGTTGAATTTGTATTTAAATTTAAAGGGACACGGGAGAGAGCATGAAACCGCACATTATCATCATTATAATTTGAGGAAATTAATAAAAATTTTTTATATATAAGGAAAAAAATATGTTTTTTACTATTTGTATCATTGTATTTTTATAGTATATTTTACTTGTTTTTTTATAGTAATTTTTGCAGTATACTTTTATAATGTTTTTTATAGTATTTTCTTCAGTATTTTTGGAGTATTTTTTAAAAATATTTTCTACAGTATTTTTATAGTATTTTTTACCCTATTTGTATAGTACTATCTACAGTACTTTTATAGTATTTTTTATAGTAGTTTCTGCAGTATTATTTTTAGAGTATTTTTAAAAGTTTTTTCTACAGCATTTTTATAGTATTTTCTACAGTATTTTTAGAGTATTTTTTAAAGTATTTTTTACAGTATATTTATAATATTTTCTACAATATTTTTACATTTGTTTTTGCCCTATTTTAAAAGTATTTTCTACAGTACTTTTATAGTGTTTTTATAGTAGTTTCTGCAGTATATTTTTAGAGTATTTAAAAAAATACTTTCTACAACATTTTTATAGTATCTACATTCTACAGTATTTTTAGAGTACTTTTTAAAGTATTTTTTACAGTACTTTTATAATGTTTTTTATAGTATTTTCTGCAGTATTTTTATAGTTTTTTTAAAGAATTTTTATAGTATTTTCTACAGTATTTTTATATTGTTTTTATAGTATTTTCTGCAGTATCTTTAAGAGTAATTTTGAAAGTATTTTCTACAGCAGTTTTATAGTATTTTTTAAAGAATTTTCTACAGAACTTTTATAGTATTTTCTACAGTACTCTTATATAGTGTTTTTATAGTATTTTCTGAAGTATTTTTAGAGTTTTTTTAAAAGTATTTTCTACACCAGTTTTATAGTATTTTTTACAGTATTTTCTACAGTACTATAATAGTATTTTTATAGTACTTTTACAGCCAGAGTGAATTAATCTGTCATTTTTTGTCAATTTTTACTATTGCCCTGAGTAAATTTCCCAATTTCCGATTAAATAAATTTTACTAAACAAATATTATAGTAAAATTTACTTTGAACTTGGCAAATTTTACTCCTGAAAAATGTATTCTACATTATTTCACATAAAATATTTTGCAAAAAAATTTCCCAACTGAATTTAAAATTTTTTATTCTAAATAAACAGATGAAAGTTTCAGTTTACTTTTTTTTTTCTTGCTGTAAACAAAATCTTTTTCAAATTACACCAAAAGAATAAGGAAAAAAGTAAATTTCATGCAAGACACGTCGAGTGAAATTGAAAAAATGACATTGGGTTAAAGTAGAAAATAAATTGTACTTTATTCCATTCTCAATGGTTTGAGATTGGTTTTTTCAATATCTCAAGAGAGAAAGAAAAAGTGGAAGAAAATGAAATATATGAAAGGGAGAAAATAAGAAAAATCGAATTCGTTGGGTAATGGAATGGGATAAAAGTATTGAAAGAATACTAACTTGTTCTGTTTTTTTAACTCGATGGCAAGAGGAAAATTCTACATTTTATTTTAAAAAAAGAAATACCATAGTCTACAGAAAATCCAATAACAGTATTTTTTATTATTCAAACTTTAAAGTTTTCCATTATTGGAGAATTGGATTTCTTTTTTATTAAAGTATATATTACATTTATTATTTATTTTATTCTTTTAATTAATATTATTGTTATTATTTTTATTATTATTATTTCAAAATAATCCAAAAAAACTTTTACAACTAATTATTATTATTGTTATTATCATACCATTATTCAGTATTATTATTGACATTAATAATAGTATTAGATAGCAATTATATTTTTTTATTAAATGCACTCGATGTTAGAATAATAATATTATAACTTGAAACTTTCATTTCTATGAAAATTCCCACGATTAGAATAAGTAAAAGGAAATAGGAAGCAAGGATATTGTTTTTTTTTGTGTCTCTTTGAAATAGCAGAAACTGACCTTTCCCATCACTTCTAGCCCCAATAGTAAATTTTTACTATTGGAGATTTATATTATACCTTTATAACAAATTCCTTGTAATCTATTTTCTAATTTCGATAAATAATAATTATTTAAATAATATAAAAAATATCCATATAAGTAATAGAAATACTACTCATTTTAATAATTTTCAAAATTATACTCATTTCAATAATTTATAAAATTACTTACTTAAATAATATAATACTCTCTAAATTTAAATTAGTACAAATATTTACTAATTTTAATTAGTGACTCAATATGTTGCTTTCGATTTAGTAAATTTTACTTATTTAGTAGAAATTACTATTTATGAGTAAAATTTACTAAATTAAATAGTAATTTTGTAGAAATTACTATTTATGACTAAAATTTACTAAATTAAATAGTAATTAGTAGAAATTACTATTTATGACTAAAATTTACTGAATTAAACAATAATTAGTAAATTTTATTAATAAATTAGTAGAAATTACTATTTATGAGTAAAATTTACTAAATTAAAAGCAAAAATTCAAGTCACTAATTCAAATTAGTAAATATTTTTAATTTACTACTAATTCAAATTTAAAGAGTACTTATGTAAACACTATAAATAATATTTATTTAAATAAACAATAGTTTTAAAAAATAAATAATTGTTCTTTTGAAAACATTGTAAAACCAAATTCTTCAGGCAGTTACAATTTAAATGCCTTTTCTGTTTCTTTGAAGCTCAATCCATTTTTGGGCTTTAAATAAAATTAATTAACAAGATCAATTTTAACTCCCCGACCTTTGAATATTATTTATTTAATTTTTTTTCAAATTCTTCATTAAATATTTTTGATAGAGTCGCTAAACGATTATGATACTACAAGAGAAGCGGTTTCCCCACCATTAACACTCTCTAGCCAATGCGCAGCTCTCTCCCTAAAGTGGGGGGAGCCGCTTCTCTTAACCTTGTACCAGAGTCACTTGATTAATTAAATTTTATTTTATTATTATTATTATTACTTATTTTATTATTTTTTTGAAATATTTTTTTTATCTAGTTTTTTGTTAGTTCAGCCTTTATTTATTATTATTCGTCAATTAACTAATTTTATTTTATTTTATTATAATTATGAAATATTTTTTTTATTTAGTGCTTAGTTTAGCCTTTATTTATTATTCTAGTAAATAAATAAACAAATGATTATTTTTGTTATTATTTAATAAGTTTTTGAAAAAAGATTATTGAAAAGTTAATAATTAAATAATTAAAATTTACCTTTAATGCTTGGTGAGCAATTAGCAATATTAGCTGCTAATTCCATTAAATCATCAAGTTCCTTTTCATCTTCTCCACAATCCATCATTGTATCCTGAAAACAAAAAAAAATTTATTACCAAAAATTACCAAATTATTATCATTATTAGCATTATTGTTATTATTATTATTATTATTATTAGTTTTACTACTATTAATATTTTTATTATTATTAGTAGTAGTATTATTATTTATATAATTTTATGCCTTCCAAAAATATTGAATTATTATTTATTTACTTATAATATTTTTACGGGCATATAATTATATAAATAATATTATAATTATTTTCGAATGAATTTAAAAAAAAAAAATAAAGAAAAATCTCATTTCCTCTACTGGAAAATTTTCGACAGTTATTTCCGTATATTTTTGATGGGTAAAAATTTATGACCCAAATTTTTCGTTGACCAATATTTCCCAGTAACCCACTGATGTTGAAGGTCGTAAAGTTTTCTAAAAGTTGATGTTAGTGGTTTTCAAACAGACAACGATGCTTGCTACCTCTTATAAAATTAGGATGGGTCAGTGAGGCCCAATTTTACAACATTATTTATTGTACGCTTCCTTCTCTCTCTCTCTCTTTTTTTTGCTATAGTGTGCAATTTGTAAGAGAATCCTTCTTACTTTTCATTTTGACTTTTCCTCAAGAAACTCACTAGGGGTCTTTACCGTTTACGGTAGCGTGTATAACTTGAAAATATTTCCCGAATTTTACGAGTTTAGTCGATTTATCTCCCCTCAGTCATTTCACTTTGCATTTACAGTTTCTACTTTTATTTTGTACGTTATTTTTCCAAACACCCTTGGAATACAAATTGTATAGTGAGAGAGTGAAGAGAGAGAAAAAAAAATATGGTAGCATTATTGCCTCCAGGACTACCGTATACGGAGAAAGTGTGAATGAATATAATGTCCACTGTTATAAATATAGTTAATTAGTAAGACTTGTTAATTAATTTAATTAATTTGAAATTTTTTTGAACCCTTTTTGAACCTTCTTTTAAATCATTTCTGAACCTTTTTTGAACCTTTACTCTTTTCTACTAATTTTTTCTTTAGAATTAAGATAATAATAATAAATAATAAAAAAATTATTAACAAATATTAATAACAATTAATAACAGAAATCTTCTTGAATAACAAAAATAAAAAAAATCTTTATGCGGAAGCAATAGTAAAAATGTAAATTTTTACAAAAATTGTTTTATTCTTGGAGGGTAAATATTTATTTCAAGTTTAATTTTTCCTTTTCCGCTGGATATTATTTTATTTTTAAGTAAATTTTCCCGAGTTTGCTTACATTATTATTCATTCCAAATTCATTACTTAGATTGAACAAAAGGTTAAAAATAGAAATGCAAACTGCTTTCAAGCTGAGCGCAATGAATCTAAATGAATAGCATTGAGGATGAAAATTTAACTCTCTGTTGACGCAGAATTCATTAGGATCTTTAAATTATCCAAAGTTATTTAAATTTTAACACTGTAAATTGTTCATTAAACAATGGAACGCTAAAAACTAACATTAAAAAGGAAAACCAAAAAAGAAAAATAACTGAAACTGAAATTATGAAAAAGAATATTAAAACTAAAATTAAAAAAAAATACTAAAAACTAAAATGACAAAGAAATATTAAAAACTATAATTACAAAGAAATACTAAAAACTAAAACTATACAAGAATACTAAAAATTAAAATTATGAAAGAATACTAAAAACTTAAATAATAAAAGAATAGTAAAAACTTAAATAATAAAAGAATAGTAAAAACTTAAATAATTTAAAAAGTACTAAAAAATAAAATACTAAAGAGTAAATAGTAAAAATATACTTATTAGTATTATTAATATAGTATTTTTTATTATTTTAGTTTTAAGTAATTTAATTTTAGTATTTTTTTTATTATTTCTTTATTTTAGATTTTAGTATTTTACTTGTTGTTCGAGGTTGTTAGTATTTTTTATTATTTTAGTTTTCAGTAACTTAATTTGGTATTTTTAATTATTTTAGTTTTTTATTATTTTTTTCTTATTTTCATTTTTTGTATTTTATTTTTAGAATTTTTTTATTTTAGATTTTAGTATTTTACTTGTTGTTAGTATTTTCCATTATTTTAGTTTTTCATTATTTTTTCTCATTTTCATTTTTTGTATTTTATTTTTAGTACTTATTAGTATTTTTTAATATTTTAGCTTTTAGTATTTTTTTATTTTTGATTTTAGTGTTTTTCTTGTTAGAATTTTTATTACTTTAGTTTTCAGTAGGTAATTTAATTTTAGTATTTTTTCATTTTTTTCTTTATTTTGGACTTTAGTATATTTTACTTGTTGTTAGTATTTTTAATTATTTTAATTTACAGTATTTATTCTTTTTAGTATTTCCTTATTATTTTAGTTTTTTATTATTTTTATTTTTGTATTTTATTTTTAGTATTTTTTTATTTTAGATTTTAGTATTTTTCTTGTTAGAATTTTTTATTATTTTTTTTATTTCAAATTTTAGTATTTTGTTTGTTAGTATCTTTTATTTTTTTAGTTTTAACTATTTTTTTGTTATTTTCATTTTTTGGATGTTATTTTTAGTATTTTTTTATTTTAGATTTTAGTATTTTAGTATTTTTATTATTTTAATTTTTTTGTATTTTATTTTTAGTGTTTTTTTTTAGATTTTAGTATTTTTCTTGTTAGAATTTTTTATTATTTTAGTTTTCAGTATTTATTTTTTTTGTATTTCTTTATTATTTTAGTTATTAGTATTTTATTCTAAAATACTAACAAATAAAATACTATTAGAAACTAGAATAATAAAAATACTAAAGGCTAAAATAGTAAAAATATACTAACTAGTATTATTAGTATAGTATTTTTTATTATTTTAGTTTTCAATAATTTATTTTTAGTATTTTTTTGATTATTATAGTTTTAGTATTTTATTTGTTAGTATTTTTTATTATTTTAGTCTTCAGCAATTTATTTTTATTATTTTTTTTTCTAGTATTTTATTTTTAGTATTAGTATTTTTTATTTTAGTTTTTAGTATTTTTTATTATTTTAGTTTTCAGTAGGATATTATTTTTTAGTATTCCTTTACTATTTTAGTTATTAGTATTTTATTGTAAAATACTTAGAAGTAAAATACTAAGAAACTAAAATAATGATAAGATACTAAACAATAAAATACTAAAGACTAAAATAGTAAAAATATACTAAATAGTATTACTATTATTACAGTACTTTTTAGTATTTTTTTTACTTCAATTTTAAGTATTTTACTAACTTACTTTTTTTGTTATTTTAGTTTTCAGTATTTTAATTATTATCATTTCTTAATTATTTTAGTTGTTAGTATTTTATTGTATTGTAAAATACTAACAAATAAAATACTCCAAAACTAAAATAATAAAAAAAATACTAAAAAATTAAATACTGGAAACTAAAATAATAAAAAATACTAAAATATAAAATACTGAAAACTAAAATAGTAAATAATACTGAAAAATAATAACAAATAAAATACTAAAAATCAAAATAATCATAAAATACACTAGAAACTAAAATTGAAAATTGAAGTAATTAAAAAAATAGTAAAAAGGACTAACAAGTAAAATACTAAAAAATAAAATACTAAAAACAAAAATACTAAAAAAATACTAAAGAATATTAACAAGTAAAATACTAAAAACTAAAACAATAAAGAATAAAATACCAGAAAATAAAATACTAAAGGAAATAACAAAAATTTAATTATCAATAAAAATGCAATAATTTCCATACAATGGCCAATTTTTCCGTAAAAATTAAAATAACAAATAATTGTTTCCCTTTAAAAACAATGAAAAAAAAATTAATTGCAAACCACTTGCCAAACGAGTTCGACAAGTACAAGTTTAATACATATTAAGAGATAATTTTAGAATACTTGTTACTTTTTTGGAATAATAAAATCGTCCTTTAAATATAATTCAATTTCTTTTAATCCCTCTCGAAACTGTGCGATCAATTTACCATAAACATAATTTATTCTAATTTATCCCCCCAACAGTTAATTTACAATCACTTATTATCACAGGCAATTAAACATGATAATGGAATAATTAACGATTCGCCGTATAATGAACCAATAAAAAATTTGTTTCCCATTAACCAATATAAGAACTGAATAATTGTGATAATTATAATCTCAATTCTTCACATCAAAATTCATTTTGACAAAAAAAAATTGATTATTTACTAAAATGACTAAAAATAAATGAAATGAATAGAATAATTATTTTTGTATAATATTACCTCTGGTGTATTATCCTCCATTATGCCGCTAGTGTTTCTCATAACGAATCTTGATTGAACTTGCCACCAACAGTATAACAACGATCACTTTACCGCCCACGTATACAACACTCAATACACCTCACTTTTCTTTAATTAAGAAAGACAAGCAATATCACAGTCATAAATTCATTAAAATTACTCGAATAATCAAGTTTAGTAGGAAAATTATTTTTTTTGTTATTTTGAAAGGAAAAAGGAAATTGGAAAAAAGCGAGATTAAATAGAATATTTTCTAAATTCTAAACCCTCTAAATTTCTCGAGAAAAAGAAATTTAAAATTCTTGTTATTAGAGAGAAAATCCGTGAAGATATGGCAGAATCCGGCAAGTGAAAATTTTATTAAGGGAGGTGGAAATTTAAATACAGATATATAGAGGAAGAGAGAGTGGGGGGGGGAATATGAGAATAGTGGAAAATGAAAGAAAATAGAGGAAAGTGAAAGAGAAAAGAGAAGGAAAGAATTTTATGATAATGACGCGTATTCGCCGATTTGATGTTTTTCCTTTTCGGCGAATGCGCGAACAGATTTTTTTTTTTTCAAATAGAGAGAGAGAGAAAAATGATTTTATTGGCGAATTTGTATTATGTTGATAAAGTCGTGAGCTTAGGGCTCACGATATCGGGTGGCCGCTGCGATCCATCGACCTACTACTACTGAAAGGCTCTGGTACCCACTGTATACAGAAAGAGATGTGGAGCAGGTCGAAACACCAGTTTGCTGTTGCCGGTTCAGGGTCGTAGGTACCTTTCAAAAACCTGGTATCCAATTTTTCCCCATTAAAAAAAAGGAAATTACAAATTTTTCCATTTTTTTTTTAACGCAAAATATGAAAATTTATGTGTAATTTTCATTTTTCCGAAATAGAAAAATTTATTTTTATTTTATTTGTTCAAAATATGAAAAATTATTTCTAATTATTCATTTTCTAAATTATATGAAAATTTGTTTGTAATTTTCAATTTTTCCAAAAAAAAAAAAGAAAATTTATCTCTAATTTTCATTTTTCCGAAAAATGAAAACTTATTTCTAATTTTCTTCTTTTCAAAATGTGGAAATTTCTCTCTTAATTAAATGTTTTCCAAAATACGAAACATTTTTTCTAATTTTCATTTTTCCAAAGAAAGAAAATTTATTTCGAATTTTAATTTTCTAAAAAATAAAAAAAAAAAAAAAAAAAAAAATGAAAATTATAAAAATTTATCTCTTAATTACATGTTTTCCAAAATATGAAACTTTATTTCTAATTTATTTTTCCAGAGAAAGAAAATTTATTTCTAATTTTCATTTTTGAAATAAAAGAAAATTTATTTCTAATTTTCATTTTTGAAAAAAAAGAAAATTTTTTTTTATATTTTCGTTTTTTCAAAAAATAAAAATTTAATTTTTAATTTTCTTCTTTTTAAAATGTGAAAATTTATCTCTTGTCAATGTTTGCCAAAATACGAAACATTATTTCTAATCATTAGTTTTCCAAAATATGAAAATTTTAATTCGAATTATATTTCCTAAAAAAAAAAAATGAAAATTATGAAAATTTATCTCTTAATTACATGTTTTCCAAAATATGAAACTTTATTTCTAATTTAGTTTTCCAAATTATATGAAAATTTGTTTCTAATTTTCAATTTTTCCAAAGAAAGAAAATTTATTTCTATATTTTCATTTTTACAAAACATGAAAGAAAATTTATTCCTAATTTTCATTTTTTTTAAATGAAAATTTATTTCTTAATTACTTGTTTTCCAAAATACGAAACATTATTTTTATAATTATTAGTTTTCCAAAATATGAAAATTTTGTTTCGAATTTTAATCCCCCCCCCCCCCCCCTAAATGAAATTTTATCTGTAATTTTCATTTTTCCAAATGAATATATAAAAACTGATTAGAAATAAATAAATATTTTGGTAAAATAAAAATTTATTAGTAAAAATGTTTACTAATTTGAATTTAAAATTTTAATTTTAAAATAAAGAAAAAATAAAAAATTTTTTTTTGTTTATTAATTTTTTTTAGTACATTTGTAGAAGTTACTATTTATTATAGTAAAATTCAATAACTCGAATGCAAAGGATCAGTCACTTGTAAAAATTAGTAAACATTTTTACTAATTCAAATCTGAACTGTAGAAGAATTCTACTAAACAAATACAAAAATTTCACTAATTGTTAATAATTTTTATAAACAATGTTTTCTTTTTTTGATTAGTAAAATATGACAAATTGTTAGTAAAATTTTACTAATTTTTTTAGTATAGAATTTTACTAACAGTCATCTAATTCAAAATTAATGAACCTGTTTTATCGACTTTTAGATTTTTAATAAGACAGTTCTACTAATTAAGTAATTATTAATAAGATTCTACTAACAAAAATAAAATAAATAAAATAAAATAAATAAAACAATTAATTAAATTTCACTAAATGGCAGTAAAATTATTACTGAATCATTTGGTGAATGACTTTTAATTATTTTATTAGTAACATTTATTGATTAATCTTTTTTAAATACTATACTGATTGCTAGTAGAAAACTACTCATTCATGAGTAAGTGGTATTTTGACTATTTTAAATTATTAAGCCGACTTAATACATGAATTAATAGTTTTCTACTATCAATTAGTAGTTTTTTTTACTAAAAATTAGTAAAAACTGTTACTAATACAATTAGTAAACGAATCCGCACTCTTTCATTAGTAGAAAACTACTAAATCAGATTTAGAGAGTATACAATAATAATAGTAATGGTAGTAATAAGAATAGTATTAATAAAAATAAAATAATATTGAAATTAATAGTAACAGTAAATAGTATAGTATTGTAATGTCAAAAAAATAATAGTAATTAGAATAGCAATAGTATAATAATAAAATTAATAGTAACAGAAAATAGTATAATAGTAATATTAATAGTAACTGTAAATAGTCGAATTGTAATGTCAAAAAAATAATTATAATCAGAATAGCAATAGTATAATAGTAACAAGAATAGTATTAGTACCTAATAGTAATGTTAGTGGAAAAAGAAGTAATAGTAGTACTACAATTGAAATGGAAAAAGTTTAATATAGTAATATTAATTACTAATATTAATGGTTTGATATTAATGGCAAAAGTATAATATTAACACGAATAGAAATAGTATAATAGTAATAAGCATATTAATAGGAATAGCAATAGTATAATAGTAACACAAAAATCAATACGAATAGTACTGATAGTGGTGATAGTAGTAGCAATAGTAAAAATGTAATAGTAATAATAATAATAATAATATAATAATAATAATAATAATAATAATAATAATAATAATAATAATAATAATAATAATAGTGATAGTATAAGAGTTATAATAATAATAGTGGAAGCTGTAGTGGCAGTAGTAGTAGCCGTCGTTGTAGTAGTAGTAGTAGTAGTAGTAGTAGTAGTAGTAGTAGTAGTAGTAGTAGTAGTAGTAGTAGTAGTAGTAGTAGTAGTAGTAGTAGTAGTAGTAGTAGTAGTAGTAGTAGTAGTAGTAGTAGTAGTAGTAGTAGTAGTAGTAGTAGTAGTAGTAGTAGTAGTAGTAGTAGTAGTAGTAGTAGTATAGTAATTGCAAAATAATGAGAAGAATAGTAATAACAATAATAGTAAAACTAGTAGTAAAAATATCAATCTTTATACTAATAATAGTAATACTTAATAAAACTAGTAATAATAATAAAAATGGTAATAGTAATAATAATTATAATAAAAATAGTAATAATAAGAATAATATCAAAATTATTAATATTATTAATATTATTATTAATTATTAATATAATAATTATTAATATTATTAATATTATTATTATTAATATTATTATTAATATTTTTAATCATTTTTTTATACTATTACAATTTTTATTAGATCTTGATAAAGAGTACTTGAAAGTTAAAAAGCACAGGTAGGTGCACATCAATTACTTAAAAAAAAATAGAAAAATATTTGAAATTGTCTGGGGAGGGTTTTTTAAAATTCATCTCGGCACTGACTTGATCGTATCCACAGCTGCCTTCAGTCCCTTCCCCTTCGAAGAAGCATTTTACTCGCTAACCAATCCAGTTACAATCAACCCCCACTTGCCAAAACCAATAAGCTCAAGATTCACAATATTTGATAACGCGATAAGTCTATAAAAGAAAAATAAAATGGGGTTCTAAGTGATAAAAGTAATTCTCGATCTAGAAAATCATATTCCGATTTATTTTCATTTTTCTCTCACTCCAAATCTGAAATTCATCAAGTTCTCTAATTTTCTCTAAGGACTTCGGACTAAATCAGTGAAATTACATAATATAATTGTACTGATTAAACTAAACTGTTAGTTATTTATTAAGATGCACGGAATAAAAAGCGAAGATAGTACTTTTTACTATACTGTCGTGTAGTAATGTAAAATATGCTATACTATACTAACCAGACTACTCTCTAAATTTGAATTAGTAAAAATGTTTACTAATTTGAACTATAGTAGTAATTTATTTCCTTCACTGACTTTTTGCTTTTGAATTAGTAAATTTTACTAATAAATTAGTGGAAATTACTATTTATTAGTCAAATTTACTAATTTATAAGTATGAAGTCAGTCACTAATTCAAATTCATAAACATTTTTACTAATTAAAATTTAGAGAGTAGAATATAGATTCCAGACTAGACTGGAATCTTAATCACTCTCTAAATCTGAATTAGTAAAAATATTAACTAATTTTAATTAGTGACTGACTTTTTACTTATTTGAATTAGTAAATTTTACTTATAAATTAGTAAATTTATTCAAATTAGTAAACATTTTTACTTATTCAAATTTAGAGAGCATACAAGGAATTTCTTTCAGTCAATTTTTACTATTTATAGAATAAATTTTTGAGAAGTTTGGTAAAATTTATTAATTTAGTAGGAGATATATATGTAACGAACGCAGCGAACTTTACTGTGAAAGAACTCTCTAAATTCAAGTTTTAGTCTCAGTTTTTACGGTAAAAGTTGAGGCGGAAAATGTGCGTATAGAAAAAAAGTATAATCAAAAATTGACGATAGCGAAAAATAGTATGAGCAAAAGTACCAATGTATATACATGCCATACAAGCACAATCAAAAGCACAGGTGCTATTTCACCTGTTCGGTGTGTGTATTATTTAAATGCTTCACCTGCTTCGATTCGATGATATTTTCGAAAATAATGCAAAATCGTTTTTCTCACTTTTACGCAAAATATTATTTGCAAGCGCAGATAGTAACATTAATTCTTTTTTTAGTATTATTTAGCAATACTTTGGTATTCCATTGTATTCTTCAGTGTTCATCTAATAGTATATATTTATAGTATTATTTAGTATTCTTTAGCAGTCATTTACTATTATGTAGTATTATTTGGTAAACATTTAGTATTTTTTAGTATTCATTTAATATTACATAGAATTATGTAGTATTCATATACTATTTAGTATTTATTACTAGACAGTATTATTAATTACTACTTATAGTACTTATTTATTACATTTTAGTACTTATTTTGTACTATTTAGTACATATTTAGTATTTACTTATTCCTACTAAGCATTTATGTACTACTATTTAGTATTTTAGTATTATTCAGAATTTATTTATTACTTACTTGGTATTTATGTAGTATTATTTAATCTTTAGTGTATATTTATTACTATTAACTTGTTATTTAGTATTTTTAGTATTTAGTTACTATTATTTAGTGCTAATTTAGTATTTTAGTATTATTTACTATTTATTTTCTACTATTTAGTTCTCTCTCTACATTTAAATTAGTAAAAATATTTACTAATTTGAATAACTGATTAACATTTTGCTTTTGAATATTATTAAATTTTCTTAGTAAATAGTAATAATTTATTAGTAACATTTACTGATTTAAAAGCAAAAAGTCAGTCACTAATTCTTAGTAAAAATGTTTACTGATTCAAATTCATAGAGCTTATTTACTATTTATTTATAGCTACTTTGTATTATTTACTACTTATTTTTCACTATTTAGTAATTATTTAGTATTTTAGTAATATTTACTATTTATTTTGTAGTATTTAGTACTCTATAAATTTGAATTAGTAAAAATATTTATTAATTTGAATTACTGAATAAGTCTTTGTTCTTGAATTAAAAAATTTTACTATAATAAACAGTCATTTTTACTAATTTATTAGTAAAATTTACTTTTTATTTTTGGTTTAGTATATTTTACTAATAAATTAGTAGAAATTATTATTTATTAGTAAAATTTACTAAACTAAAACCGAAAAGTTGGTAACTAATGTAAATTAGTAAACATTTTTACTAATTGAAAATTATTGAGCTTATTTAGTATTTTAGTATTGTTTACTATTTATTTTTGTACTACTTAGTATTCTTTTTAAATTTGAATTAGTAAAAATGTCTCGAAAAATGTTGTTTAATTTAAATTAGTGACTTTTTGCTGTTGAATTAGTAATTTTAAAAAAAAACAGTAATTTTTACTAATTTATTAGTATTATTTACAAAATAATAGTAATTTCTACTAATTTATTAGTAAAATTTACTACGCCAAAAGTAAAAAGTCTGTCACTAATTCAAATTAGTAAAAAATTTTACTTATTTTGTACTATTTAGTACTTACTTAGTATTTTAGTATTATTTACTATTTATTTTGTACTATTTAGTACTATTTAGTACTCAATTGGGATTTTAGTATTATTTACCATTTGTTTTGTAATATTTAGTATTTATTTATTACTTCTTAGTATTTATGTATTTTTAATTACTATTTTAGTATTTTTTGTTACATATTGCAGAATATTTATTCAAAAATATTTCAGTATTGTATCCCCACATATTGTTTCGCATCAGCATTGTGGAAATTGTTCCATGAAAGTTTGGAATTTTAGAAGGGTATTATGTAACAACATCCGGATATTCGAGATATCCGGACGATTTTATGGAGAATTTTACATGACTATTGAAAATTAGTCCACAAATTCGCTAATTTCCGGAAGACGTTCGATTGACATAAATATAGGATATCCGTCTTGTCTCTTAAAATATCTCCTAGTTAAGAAGATATTTCTTTTAAAAAAATAATCCTCATTTCGAATTATTTTCCATTGAATTAGTAAGCAATTGATTCCTAAGCTAATTAGCATTTTTAGTATTTTATACAATAAAAGTTCTACTAATATTAAACTAATTAGTATTAGTAGCATTATTAGAAGTTTAATTAGTTGATTAACAATAATTCTAGTTAGCTTAATATTACTAGTACTAATTGTATACTAAAATACTATTTTTACTATAAATATTAATTTTAATACTAAAAGTACTAATTTCAATACTAAAAATACTAATTTTAATACTAAAAATACTAATTTCAATACTATAAATACTAATTTTAATACTAAAAATACTAATTTTAATGCTAAAAATACTAATTAGCTCAGGAATCAATAGAATACTGAACTAATTAGCATTCTTAGTACCCATATAAATATTACTAATAATACTGAACTATTTAGTATTATTAGTACCAATATAAATATAGTACTAATAATAGCTAATATTAATTATTAGTTAAATTCACTTTTAGATTATGAAAAAGATAACTAAATTTTTTGGTAACTAATTCAATTAGTGAAATTTGACTATTTTTGCTGTTATTTATTTAGTAATAATCAGTAATTATCTACTAATAATTAATTATTAAAAATGAGCTACGATTTTATTAATTATTAGTAATTTTTAACTAATTCAGATTTTGAGAGATAGTTTTCTCTTAAAAATCATATTAATTATTAATTTTTATTAACATAATCAGTTATTATCATAAATATTAGTTGTTATTGTAATTAGTTATTATTTTAATTGATTATTATTGCAATTAGTTATTATCATAATTAAATATTATTGCAATTAGTTATTAATTAAATATTATTGCAATTAGTTATTATTATATGTTATTAGTAATTATTGCAATTAGTTACTATTATAATTATTAATTATTATACAATTATTATTATATTATAGTAATTATTACAGTTAATTATTATAGTAATTATTACAATTAATTATTATAGTAATATTTATACTAACTATTAAATAAAATAATAGTTAATTATTACAATTATTATTGTAAATAATTTTTATTGTCCATAATAAGAATAATAATTCAAAGTGATAACTAATTCATCAAACAAAAAAAATCTGAGTCATTTAATTAGGTAAATTCGTGAATAGATCAAAATTTTACCTCCTCGTCAAATCTTAATTTTAATCCAAATTAATTTTTTATGATTTTTTCTTTTTCGTCAATTTTTGTTTGAGACATAAAGTTTTCTTTTCGAAACATCCACTGAATCATCATCCAAGAGAATTAAGCATACCAGCAGCCCCTATGTATGCACATAAACCATATTTAAAAAAATTGAACCTTCGGATGAAAAAAAAAGAAAAGAGAAAACTGCCTTTAGTGAGCATCTGGAGACTGATGGTTCAAAAACAGAATGCCATCAGTTTTTATTTCCACCGCATCTCGAGAAATTATTTCAACATAATAATTCATATTAAAAATCATATATTTTTGTCTATAAAACTAAAAATTAAATTTAAAAAATAAATTTAAAAAAATGAAATTAAAAAAAAGGAAATAGAAGAGTTATTAAATTTAATTTTCGAAAAAATATTTTTTCTCGTAACCCGGAAGGACAGTTGTGAGTGTATTGGTTGTGAGGGGTCCGAACCAACACACCCAAGGCAAATAAAAGAGAGGCCAGTCGCAATGTATTCTTTGTCATAGAATTGGCCCCATATGGCCCCCACATGTGGGCTTCGGAGTCTGACAATATTCTTGTAGAGGGGGCGTCTCTACCCCAGCTGATACTAAGCGTCATTTCGTTTTTCTTTCAGTCATCATTCAGTCACATTCAGTTAAACTAATGCAAAAGAAAAATCTTTCAATTTTTCTCTAAAAAAAAAAGGAATTTATAATAAAAAAAAAATTGTTAATAAAAATTTAGTACCAAATAGTGAATAATTTGGTCATTATCGATTTTAAATTTCGATAAGTTATTCCAAAAAGTGAGGAGACGAAAGAATTCTAATTTCAAAACATCGAGTTTAAATAAAAAACAAAAGAATAAAAACGTAAGTAGAAATATTTTTTCCTTTGCAATAATTTAATATTGACAATAATTATATTTGTACTGATATTTTTTGTATTAGTTTATATTGGGTCCTTTTTTTCGTAGGAAATTAAATTGAAAATAAAATTCCTGGTTATTTCCGTCGAAAAGAAGTTATAAAAAATGGTAGAAAAGTGCTAAAATTAAATAATTTTAATATGTTTGTTTTCGTTTCGAATTGATTACTTTCTTTCAGAATTAAAAAAAAATATTTTTTTATTATTAATTGTTACCTATATTGGCCTTTAAATCATGTTTTTAAATTATTTTTTAATAAATTTGAATTTTATTTTTTAATTAGTTTTCAATTCTGCGATAATAAATCTGCTGAATATCGGAGAATCCTTAGCAATATTGTATAACACTCTTCGTGTATTGATTTCAGGGGGTTCAGACTGAGAGTTACATGAATTGTACTACACCCTTTGAAAACATTGTTTTAATCAATTTAAAGTGCATTACTTCCTACATATTAAATATATTGATAACAAAAAAAGAAAAGAAAAAAAATCAGTAAACGAAAAATTATTTTTACATTTCTGTCGCAAATAATTTTTTTTACCCAGAAAAATGCAATTTTTACTTTATTTTTTCAGTAAAATCTAAATATTTCTGAATTACTGCAATTTTTACTATTAAAAGTAAATAGTAAATTTTACTGTTTTTGAATAGTAAATTTTTTTCCAAAATTAAATTTTTAGTAAAGGGGGATAATAAATAAAATAAATGAAAAGCAAAATAAAAGAAGGAGAAAAAAACTGAAATTGAAAAATAAATAAAATAGATTTTGACTACAACTGCAATTTTTACTATTATTAGAGTAAATTTTACTGCTTTCGAATAGTAAGTGTTTTTTAAAAAAAGTAATGTTTTAATAAAAAGAAATAAAAATGAAGTAAACGAATAGCAAAATAAAAAAAAATAAAAAAATCTGAAACTAAAAGTAATTAAAATAAATTTTGACTACGACTGCAAATTTTACTATTATTAGAGTAAATTTTACTGCTTTCGAATAGTAGGGTAGAGTGGGGTAAAAAAGCCATGGTGTAAAAAAGCCATTTGAGTTTTATTTAAAAACTATTAAGCCGATTTATCAGCTGTTTAGAATATAAATACTATTAGGTAATACGCAACTTTTGAATCTAATTTGAATGTTGTACCTAGATTAATATTGTTTTTATTGTAATTTTAATTTTTTGTTGCTTTTTTGAAAACATTTTGGTGAACTTTTCAAACATATTACAACCTGATTAAGTGAACGAATAATAAAAGTAAATGTTTGTACACAAGGAGAAAAGTATACTGAAAACGTATACAATGTTAATTTTTGGAAATTGAACTGAATTAACAATTTATTTTTGCTTTTTTTAATAACTGGTCTTGGGTGTAAAAAAGCCAGGGCAAAAAATCCATTGAATATTTTGTGAAATTCACTTGTTTTCTATTTAAACTAACCTTCTTATTTTACAAAATTTCTCGTGTTTATTTAATAAAATAAATTAAACACGACGAAAAAGTAGTTCAAAGTGCATTTAAAAAATAAACAATGAATAAACGGTTGCAACGAAATATGTTATCTGTGGTGAAACTTAAAGAGAACTTCTAAAAAAGGTACGAAAAATTGGCAGTGCAAATCGAAAACAGGTAAACTTAATATAATTTTCAATTTTGCTTGCTAAAAACTTTTTCATAATTATTAAAATATTTTTCAAATAAGACTATTTGTCATATAAATAAAGGAAAACTATAAAAATACCTAAATTGATAACATGTTTTGCTAAAATCGTAGGGTGGCTTTTTCACCCCACCAGGTGGTGCAAAAAAGCCACTTGCAGTGCTTTCGTAAAACTCTTATAACTTAGTCCTTTCATGAGATAAAAATTATTTTCGTCAAGAATTTTCAAGCTTAATAACTAAACTTTCAATAACAATTGGAAATTTGAGAAAAAAATTTTAAATACAGATTTTACAGCATCAAAATAAAAATGTGGCTTTTTTACCCCACTCTACCCTAAGTGTTTTTTAAAAAAAGTAATGTTTTAATAAAAAGAAATAAAAAATGAAGTAAACGAATAGCTAAATAAAAAAAAATAAAAAAATCTGAAACTAAAAGAAATTAAAATAAATTTTGACTACGACTGCAAATTTTACTATTACCATAGTAAATTTTACTATTTCCAAATCAGGAAATTTTTAGTAATTGAAAAAATAAGAAATTGAATAAATTACACGGTAAAATAAAAAAAATGAGAAAGACACAAAATATATAATAAGTATAATAAATTTTGACTATCACTGTAATTTTTACTATGACGAGACAAAATTTTACTGTTCCAAATAGTAAATTTTTTTCGAATTAGTAAATTTTTAGTAAAAAAAAAATAATAAATAATATAAGTAAAGAGGAAAATAAAAAAAAGTGAAAAAAATTAAGAAATATAAAATGAATTAAATTCGGTTGTACTATAACTGTAATTTTTACTATTAGCGAATAAGTACATTTTTAGTAAAAAATAGTAAAAAATAGTAAAAAATATAGTAAAAACATAGTAAAAATATAGTAAAAATATAGTAAAACCATAGTAAAAATATAGTGAAAATATAGTGAAATTATAGTAAAAGTGTAGTAAAAAATAAAAATATAGTTAAAATATAGTAAAAACAGTAAAATTATATAATAAAAATATAGCAATAGAAAAAATATAGTAAAAATGTAGTAAAAACATACTAAAAATATAGTAAAAATATTGTAAAACCATAGTAAAAATATAGTGAAATTATAGTAAGAGTATAGTAAAAAATAGAAAAAGAGTAAAAATATAGGGAAACATAGTATAGGTCGGCCACCTTTTTGACTTTTGTTTATAACTTTTTTTTAAAAATGAATTTGGACAATTGAAGTATATGGTTGGAAAGTCCTGTTTAATAGGAACATTTTTTCTGTACAAAGTAAATTGACAGGTTTAAAAATGAAAAAGTTATAAAGATTTAAAAAAAAAAAAATTTGTAGTCCAGGTTGGCCATTACAGTCAAGGTCGGCCATGTTTAAAATTCAAAGGGCATTAATCGTTAAAAAATAAAATGACATGTTTAGAGTTACGGAAAATTGATTCTTTATTGTTTACAGTTTGTAACTTAATGAAATAACAAAATAATAACAATAAACAATATAAAAAAATAAATATAAATAAAAAAAATTTTTGCACTAAAATATTAATAAAATTAAATAAAAATATTAATAAGATGATCAATTATATTATGAGTTATACAGAATTGCAGTTTTTGCAAATGAAGTAGCTCGTCCTCAACTTTGCGCATTTTAAACACATAGTGGCCGACCTTGACAGTAAGTAACATTACCGAATTGTTGTAACCATAAAGAAATACGTTTCGGGATTCGATTTTTTACTTTGTTTTCCTTTCAACCATGAGTCCCACAAATTTTCTGCATACTTGCCTTGACGATTCAATTTGTTTTTTATCTTTTATTAATGGTTTTTCACATTATGCACAAAACTTTTTTTGAGCTTTTTTTGTACCGACGTCACAGAAAACACAATTTTCGATTTTCCGAAAATGTAATTGAACAAAAAGTTAGGTTTCACTAAGACAAGCTTCGACAAAAATGCGCGTAGGTGGCGCTAGTGAACTTGACAAAAAAACGCGAGTGGCCTACCTAGACAGTAGGCCAACCTTGACTACATTCCCCTAGTAAAAATGTAATAAAAACATACTAAAAATATAGTAAAAATATTGTAAAACCATAGTAAAAATATAGTGAAATTATAGTAAGAGTATAGTAAAAAATAGAAAAAGAGTAAAAATATAGTAAAAAATAGTAAAAATGTAGTAAAAACTAGTAAAAAAAAATAAAAATTGAAGAAAAAAAATACAAAATTTGACATAAATAAAATAAATTAAAAACATTTTAATAAATAAACAAAAAAATTAGTAAGTAAAATTGTTCTCAATTTAAATAAACTTATTTCATAATAAAAAAATTACAGATGATTCCGGATACAGAGAGTGCTTGTCAAACACCGGCAATGACGTATCAATGTCCGGAAGTGTACGATAAGTTCAAGAGTGAAAGCAGTGGACCGGAAAATGAGGCAGCCTCAGTTACCGCCTGGAAAAGATATCAACACTTCCTTGCTATTATGAACCAAAGAGGTGAAAAGTTCAACCGGAAGTCACTGATCGAATCAATGTTTCGAGGCGGTGATCTTGTTTATTTAAACCAATGATATTCCCTCATATAATATACACTACAATAAGACATTAAATTTTTTTTTCTTTTTTTTAACAAGAAAATTATTAAAAAAAAAAAAATATTGATTCTAACTATAAATGTATAGAAAATAATGTATTTTTTTAAAAGTAGATTTTTAAAAAGAAAATACTCAATTAGAAAAAATTTAATGTATAGGAAATTAATTTTTAAATTTTAATTCTAGTAATTTTAATTTTACTAAAAGTTGTATTATTAATTTTTAAAAGAAATGTCGAAAAAATAATGCCAAACAATTTTTAAAGGCTAGTCAGTACGTATACAGTAATAATTTTCATAATTTTAAAAATTGATTTTATAATCACAATGCCGAAGAATCTTCGATTAATTACTTTTCATATCGAAAGGAATAAAAATTGAATAATAGTTTCTAAAGTGCCATTGAAAATATATTTTGCTCAACTCTAATTTTTCTTTCATTGTAATAAAGAGGAGAAGAATGAACAATTAAATAAATTGAGGGCTATGAAATTTTCTGCACAACTCTTCTGCGCAGCGTCGTTTATACTTCCCAATGCCCTTAATTAATTCATCTTTATTTTTAATTATTTTTTTATCGTCCTTTTCAATTTTAATAAATGAAAAAAAATTTCCACTCGTCCGGAGGAAAAAATGTTGATGTAAGTTATTTTTTTTTTTTTAGTTCTAAGGTTCAATTGGATCAATTATTTCAATTTTATTGTGCCAGTAAAATACTCAATATAGCGTAGAATCGTATTTGACGCAGCGACGGATAAATTATAATGTAACGCAAAAGAATAGAAAATTTAATTGTTGTACGTGTTATATAGATTGTATTCTTAATAGCAAACATGGAGTTAAATTTTTTTTTTTTATTCATAATAAAATCTCTTCTATAACGTGCAATGAATGGAACTATACTAAATAGGAAAAAAATGCAATTTTTTGAGCCCGTCGTATCGTCGAAGAATATTCTAGTCTACGTGTAAGTCTATATTATATTATAATTTTAAAATAATTTCTTTTATGCATAGCAATCACACTGTCAATAAATAATCAACCAAAGATTTCAATATAACATTAAATTTTTGATTTTTATTTCATAAAATTTTACCTAACCTTTAATTATTTATGTAGTAGTTTAATTCATTATAATTATATTATAATTAAATTTAAACAATCCAAAAAACATTTACATCTATTATAATATTTATTATTATTAGGTACTCTTATTATTTTAAAAAATTCAACTTCAATAAAATTCTTCAAAACAATTCAATTTTATTTGAAAAAAATTTAATAAAATTCTTCGCTTGAGATTAAATTAATTTCAATAAAATTTTAATTAAATACATGGAAAAAATTTGCAAGAATTCAATTATTTTCAATATAATTTTAATATATAATTTCTCGAAAAAATTCAATTATTTTAATAAATTTAAATAATATTCTATATTAGAATTGAATTTTTTTTTTTGACGAAATGAAATGCAATTTCAACAATTTTTAATACAATTTTAATTGAATTTGTCAAAAAAATTGACAAGAATTCAATTATTTGCATACATTATAATAAAATTCTTCGCAAGGAATTCAATTATTTTTAATAAAATTTCTCAAAAGAATTCAATTATTTTGATAAAAAATTAAAATTCTATATAAGAATTGAAATATTTTCAATTCAATTTCAGAATTTTAATAAAATTTGTGGAAAGAATTAAATTCTTTTTGACAAATTTAAATAAAATTCCATATAAGAATTGAATTATTTTCAATTTAATTTTAATATTTTAATAAAATTTCTGGAAAGAATTAAATTATTTTTAACAAATGTAAATAAAATTCTATATAAGAATTGAATTATTTCCAATACAATTTTAATTGAAATCGTCAAAAAATTGACAAGAATTCAATTATTTTCATACATATAATAAAAATCTTTGCCAGAATTAAAAAATTTTCAATATAATTTTAATAAAATTTCTCAAAAGAATTCAATTATTTTTAATAAATTTAAATAAAATTCTACGTAAGAATTGAATTACTTTCAATAAAATTTTAATTGAAAAAACTCATTAAAAAATATTGACAAGAATTCAATTATTTTCACACTTATAATAAAATTCTTCGCAAGGAATTCAATTATTTTTAATAAAATTTTAATAAAATTTCTCGAAAGAATTCAATTATTTTCAAAAAAAATTGAAATTCTATATATAAGAATTAAAATATTTTTAATTCAATTTTAAAATTTTAATAAAACTTCTACGAATGAATTCAATTATTTTTAACTTTAAATAAAATTCTATATAAGAATTGAATTATTTTCAATACAATTTTAATTGAAAAAATTCATCAAAAAAATTGACAAGAATTCAATTATTTTCATATATATAATAAAAATCTTTGCCAGAATTAAATAATTTTCAATATAATTTTAATAAAATTTCTCAGAAGAATTCAATTATTTTTAATAAATTTAAATAAATTTCTATGTCAGAATTGAATTATTTTCTATTCAATTTTAAAGTGTTAATAAAATTTCTCAAAAGAATTCAATTATTTTCAATACAATTTTAATTGAAAAAATTCATTAAAAACATTGAAATTCTATATAAGAATTGAAATATTTTTAATTTAATTTTAAAATTTTAATAAAATTTCTTGAAAGAATTCAATTATTTTTAATAAATTTAAATAAAATTCTTTATAAGAATTGTATTATTTTCAATACAATTTTAATTAAATACGTCGAAAATATTTGCAAAAATTCAATTATTTCGATACATAAAATATAATACTTCGCTGGAATTCAATTATTTGTAACAAATTTAAATAAAAATTTAATTATTTTCAAAACAATTTTAATTGAATTCCTCAAAAGAATTTAATTATTTTAAAAATATTTTAGAACGTTAAATTAATATTACTAATACAAATATTGTATTTCAAAAATAAGTTTCAAATTGAAATTTTAGAAAAGTTGAATTTTTAAAAATTTTAATGAAAAATTCTGAATAAGTTAATTTTTTAAAACATTTTCATTCTGATTTTTTTTAAATTAGTTTTATTTTTGAATATTACGTATAATTGAAAAAATTTTCAATTTATTGAATTTTCGAAAAATGTCAAAAAAGTAAATTTCAGAAATATTTTAAGTGAACTTTTTTTAATTCTTTTAATAAATAATTGAATTTTGAAAGAACTTTTTAAAAAATTATTAAAAATAATTTAATTAGTGAAGAATTTTAGTTGAAAATTGTAGAAAATAATTGAATTGAAATCTTGAAGATAATTTTAGATAAATTATCGTAGAAATTCTAAGAAATTACTGATTTTCAAAGGGATTTAAAATTTGAAATTTTTCAAAAATCTTAATTCCTATGAAAAAATAATAACAATGATTAAATATTTAATTAAAAAATAAAACTGTCGATGTTACGAATCAAAGATTAATTAAAGATTAATTAAATTTAAGATATTTAAAAATAAATGTCTGAAAAAAAAATTCTGTCTGAAAATCAGGAAAAAGTGAGAGAAAAATAAAATAAAATTTTTTGTGGTAAACCTGAATTAAAAAATAATGCAATAAATGAAAAACTAATAAAAAAAATAATATTATGTATCAAAATATAATATATTTGAGGAATAATAAAAACAAAAATGGGAATTTGAGAATGTAAAAAATACAAAAAATTAAGAGTTGCGTTTACAAACATATTTTATTTCATAATCGCTACTCCTTTCAATTCAATATAATAATTATTTTTTATGTCTGATATAATTATAATATTATAATAGTGCTTGACGCTATACAGCGTGTCTGTAAGTACACATTAAATTTATATTCCTTGTACAATAAATTTGTCTAATTTTTCTTTCTTTCTTTTTTCCATTAATTTCTTCTTCACGTGTGATTGAGCGTCAAGCTTTTTATTTATAGCAAATTGTAAAAGTTTGCCGACGTTTTTTCATTTACATAAAGTATACTATTTCGTAACATACATATGTCGCTAATAATGTTTTCTAAATGTTTTCTTTATTTTCTATACAATAATATATGTTCTCTTTTATCCGTCACAAAGCGGATTTGAGAAATAATACATTTTCTTTTGATATTATATTTCTTTTTTTTTTCCTTAAAATTCAATCCAGAGAGTTTTCTCTGATTTTAAATTAACGTCTGTTAATGTCTGATTTAATGTAAATGATTGATATTTATATTTATTTAATTGTTCTATAATTGTACATATTTATTTATTGTATAATATAATATATTATATGCACGTTTATTTATTTATATAAATATTCAGACCCTCAAACAGTTAAGATAATTTTCAGAAAATTTTCTCTCATAATTACTCTCGAATTTTTTTTTCTAATTAAAAAATTATAATCCCACGCATACACTCGTTCTAAAACGATTTTTTTGTTTCTTTGGAAAAAAAATATTTTATCGGAAAATTTAAAAATCAATTTCAAGTTTACCGATGAGTAATTTTATTCGTTAGCTACATAAATATTGCTAATAAAATTATTTAAAATTGATTAAAAAAAACTTATATTTCCATATCTTGAAAATAAACTTCTGTTTCAATGATTGAAATTAGATATTTCAATTTTTGGCTTCAAGCACACATTTCATTTTGGTTGTTAAAATAATTTCTAATTAAGCTCCAATATATATACGCATTAGTCTTTAAAAAAAAAATTCTCCGCTAGATTAAAATTAAGTCAATAATTATAATCACTTTTTTTTTAAGAATATAAGTACTGTACATAGAATTTTCAAGGACTGTATGAAAAAAATCATAACTATCACAAAATCTTTAAGTTGACGTATACGTTAAGGAAAAATCGTATAGAAAGTCGAATTTTTGGTTAAAAGATATTTTTAAATAGTAGAAAAAGAACTAAAAACACTTTTGATAGTAAAATTTTGAATATTTAAAAAATTTTGACTTTGAAAGTTGATTAAAAATCAAAATGTATCAAATTTATATTAAAAAAAGCCAATTGATAACAAAAGTATTAAATTAATGCAAAAATTTGGATTTGGTACCAATTGGAACAAAAAAATACCGAATTCATAACAAAAGTATTAAATTAATACAAAAATTTGGATTTGGTACCAATTGGAACAAAAAATACCAAACTGATAACAAAAGTATTAAATTATTGAGAAAAATTGAATTTGGTACCAATTGGATCAAAAAATACCAAATTGATAACAAAATTATTAAATTAATACAAAAATTTGGATTTGGTACCAATTGAAACAAAAAATACCAAACTGATAACAAAAGTATTAAATTATTGAGAAAAATTGAATTTGGTACCAATTGGATCAAAAAATACCAAATTGATAACAAAATTATTAAATTTATGCAAAAATTTGGATTTGGTACCAATTGGAACAAAAAATACCAAACTGATAACAAAAGTATTAAATTATTGAGAAAAATTGAATTTGGTACCAATTGGATCAAAAAATACCAAATTGATAACAAAATTATTAAATTTATGCAAAAATTTGGATTTGGTACCAATTGGAACAAAAAATACCAAACTGATAACAAAAGTATTAAATTATTGAGAAAAATTGAATTTGGTACCAATTGGATCAAAAAATACCAAATTGATAACAAAATTATTAAATTTATGCAAAAATTTGGATTTGGTACCAATTGGAACAAAAAATACCAAACTGATAACAAAAGTATTAAATTATTGAGAAAAATTGAATTTGGTACCAATTGGATCAAAAAATACCAAATTGATAACAAAATTATTAAATTTATGCAAAAATTTGGATTTGGTACCAATTGGAACAAAAAATACCAAACTGATAACAAAAGTATTAAATTATTGAGAAAAATTGAATTTGGTACCAATTGGATCAAAAAATACCAAATTGATAACAAAATTATTAAATTTATGCAAAAATTTGGATTTGGTACCAATTGGAACAAAAAATACCAAACTGATAACAAAAGTATTAAATTATTGAGAAAAATTGAATTTGGTACCAATTGGATCAAAAAATACCAAATTGATAACAAAATTATTAAATTTATGCAAAAATTTGGATTTGGTACCAATTGGATCAAAAAGTACCAAATTTATACGAAAATGTACCAAATTGATAAAAAAAGTATTGAATTAATGCAAAAATTTGGATTTCGTATCAATTGGAACAAAAAATACCAAATTGATATCAAAAGTATTAAATGAATGTTAAAACTTGGTTATGATTCTAATTGGAACAAAAAATACCAAATTATTAAGAAAATGTAGCAAATTGATAAGAAAAGTATTAAAATTAAATTATTTAAAAAATTGAATGTAGTATCAATTGGAACAAAAAAACCAATTTGATAACAAAAGTATTAATTTAATTCAGGAAATTTGGATTCGATGCAAATTGGAACAAAAAGTACCAAAATGATACAAAAAGTGTAGAAAATTGATAACAAGAGTATCCAATTAATGCTTAAGTTTCAATCAGTTTAATATCAATTGGTAGAAAAAGTATCAAATTGCTACCAAAATGTAGCAATTTGATAAAAAAAAGTATTAAAATTAAATTATTGAAAAAATTTGGATTTGATACCAATTGGAACAAAAAGTACCAAATTGATAACAAATGTATCAATTTAATTCAAGAAGTTGATAATGATGCCAATTGGAACAAAAATACCTATTTGATACCAAAAGTGTAGAGCATTGATAACAAGAGTATTCAATTAATGCCAAAATTTGTATCTGAATAATACCAATTGGTACAGAAAGTAGCAAATTGGTACCAAACTGCAAAAATTTGGATTTGACAGTAATTGGATAAAAAAATTACCAAATTGTTAAATTAATTAAATTAGTGCAATTTGGATCAGACTGGTACCAAACTATCAAATTGATAACAAGAGTATTCAATTAATGCTAAAATGTGGATTACTTTGATACAAATTGGTGTACCAAGAGTACCAAATTAACTCCACAATTAAAATCAGTATGATAAATTAAAACGAATAGTTGAAAAGAAAAATAGATCAATAAAAAAACTTCCTTGACTGTCTAATCGATTTTCCTTAAAACTCGGCAATCATTGTCTACATGTATGTATAAAATAAATTCGCACCATGCATCATGAAGTTTAAATATAATTTCTAAAAATCGCGTCCATTTGACCTGCAATCTAGTCTAATGAGAATACAATCGAGTCATACTAAACATAATCCTTTAATGGATCTTTAATGGATTTAATAATCCAATAAATGGATCTCTTTCAAAAAAAAACAAAACTGTACATACATTAAAACAATGATAATAATACTTTGTCAGGAGGAGTACAATTGCAAATACTAAAATATAAAAACAAGACTTTAAGACACAAAAAAAAATTCTAAACACAATAATAATAATAATAATTTATATAATATAAGTATTTTCTTTTTTGTTTCACGTAATTTTTAGCTCGTATTTCCGCTAAGAAAATCATCACAATCTGACGACAAGAACAAAGTACCCAGGCCCGATAAATGCAAAATTTATTCAACAGTTGATGCTCGTAATTAATGAGCCAGGCATTATAGCACCATTGTCGAAATTTAGACGATATTCTTTTTACTAACGGAAATTTGAGCGAGGCCGTATCTCAGGACGGCAGAATATCAAGTTCAAGAACACTTTGAGTTTGCGGCCTGAGGTTTGAGTCCTCGCTTTTATGAATCAATACATCTTTAAATTGTCTAAGTTTCTGCTGTTGATGATTGGCTACCAAATTCCTAGGAAGAGTCGCTATTGGATTTGTATTATGAATTCGTGATATATTCTCATAATGATTTATTCCATTCTCCGATTCTGAATTATGTCTTCGTTTAACTTCAAGCTCAAGTTGTTGATCTTTAATCGTTAGATCTTTATCCTCAAAACAAGGTACCGCTTGCAATGAGACTGTATTTCTTTTATCATCAAATAATGAACGTGGATTTAGTGTCACCTCTCTTGCCGAACCGAAACGTTTAAATGTCGCATTCTCAGTGTCGTTCAAAAATCCCACATCAAGCTGAATATATGGTTCGGGTTGACGTTTTTCGATTTTAATTTCCGTCACACTTTGTCGGATTAGTATATCGGGTGCTGATTCTGGTAGTGGTTCTAGTGACAAAGGTGGCCATTTTATATCGCGAGCCATTTCTTTTTCAATTGCTAGATACTTTCGCTTTGTTTTGTTTCTATTGAACAAGAGATGACGCAGTTTGCCAAAGAAGAGATATTCGACTAAAAAGTATTCGACAAGGATTGAGAGGAAAAAGTTACCAATTCCATAGGCGACGATATAGAAACGAAAATTCATGTCCTTGGGTAAAACTAATTCGAATTGTTCTTGGAACCATTCGAGAGGATAGATGGCGAGGTAGGTTGAGAATACGGTTAGGAGTATAAAAGCGGATAGTAGACCATAATTTGTCCAAAGGGATTTTCTGTATGGTGGTCCTTTGGAGAAAACAACTGCTAGCATGATATATTGAAAGGAACTGATTATGAAGATTGTGTAATTCTCTTGGCAGCCAACATCGTCTTTATCCTCGGCAACCACGAACGGTTTGAACCATTCCATTTGCCGAAGATGCCAGAGACTTATGTACTGAAAGAATGAGACGAGGAGAATTTGTATAAATAGACTGATTATTGGAGTGATACTAAAGAGACTGTTCAGTGGTGGTGTTTTGACTAGAGGTCCAGCGTAAGCTTCAGTTCTACCGAAGAAAAAGGCGAAAATCGATATAATCAAGAGATCAATGTAGAGAAATTCAATGTCTGTTAAATTCGATTCAATTCCATAGAGCAACATTACGGAAACAAATTGAATTAGTGAATAGGCAGCCATGTACTTGAATATTCCAAAAGAGGTGACTAGTGCTGCTCGGCCTTCACGAATCACTGTCAGAACACAAGAAATATTTGTCTCGCGACTTGTGAATGGAGACGCCACTGATGATTCCGTATCTGATAATGAAATTCCAGTGTGAGCTGCTTTTAATGCGCCGCAATCGTTTGCTCCATCGCCAATCATCGCTGTAAGTGAAACATTGGGTAGTTAAAAAGTTAACAAGTTTATGAGCTTTTCAACTAAAGATTTCAAAGGTGGAAGACATTCAACTTCAACTTTCAGAAAACTTTTGATGCTGTGTAGCTTTTGGACTTCTGTTTTGCAATCGCTTTCTGAAAACCTTCAAGAGACCTAAGTGCCGAAAGTTTCCGAAAAGTTGAAACTAACAGATCTGACACCTTCGGAATGTTCAGTTGCGAAAATCATGAAACATTAGGCATTTGAAGAATTCGGAAATACTTCAAGTTTATTGGCTTTGGAACTAAAGATTCCAAAGATGACAGTCAAGAGGTACTGCAGATTAACTACAAAAGCAATTAGGAAAAATTTCCATTCACTCACCGACATAATAACCTAATGCTTGAAGTTCTTGAACAAGTTGTTGTTTCTGATCCGGAGACATTCTCGCAAAAATAGCTCCTCTTGTTACTAACTTTGGTATCAATTCTGGATAATGTTGCTTGATTATGGCCCAAGTTTTTCCAGTGAGAGCAAAAACGTACTTATTCTTCGAATGATAAATGCTGTAACAGATTAAAAAAGTAATTTAAAATAGAATCAACCAAAGAAGAAATAGAAACAGAAACAGAAACAGAAATCAGAAATAGAAATTAGAAATAAAAACAGAAATCAGAAATAGAACCAGAAATAAGAAATAGAAACAAAAAATTAGATTGTATGCTTACTTATCAGAGAGGTAGTTTAAATTATTCCCCGTCTGATGATTACTAAAGGAGCCACTTTCAATTGTTTCTAAGCTGATGACACTATTGAGGTCAGTCATTTCGCTAAAATCACCTTGACCATTGGGAGACATTGGACTATGTTGACTATCACTTCTGGTGAAGTAGACCTGAGGTTTAATTTGATTTTGTTGTGAAATTGTGGCCACTGCAATAACAGGCATTCCTGGTTTGACAATATCGCAATCCCTAGCGACAGACAATGCAGTTAGCATATTATCGCCAGTGACCATTGCAATTTTGATAGATGCTGCGTTTAAAGCGGTTATCACAGGCATTGTTTCCGGTTTCAGTCGATTCTCAAGTATCACAAAACCCAAGAATGACAAATCACTTTCAACCTTCTCGCGTACTATTCTCTGGACTTTTGCATAAGTTAAACGATTAAGAGACTTGTGAGCGAGGGCTATTACACGATAGCCCTCCGATGTATATTCCTGAAGAATACTGTTAAAATCCGATGGTATTGAATCTGGTTTCGATAGACTGAGAATCATTTCAGGACTTCCTTTACAATACAAATCGTAGTGATTCGCTCCCAATGTTCTTGTGATAACACTCATACGTTGTAGACTCGATGTGAAGGGAAATTGTCTAACGATACCAATTTCCAAACCCTGATCGGCTAGGTCAGCTGTTGATTCTGTAAAAACACTCTCCATGTTATTCAATGAGATGTTCTCCGCCATTTCGGATGTTGTTGAACTCTGTCTCATTGGCGAGGCTTTTACTTCACTGAACGATTGATCGAGAAGTTTCGAACCCGGTGGTGGACGAACAACCGTTGGAAAGAGCATGGAAAATTTCGATGTATCGGAAACATTTGGCTCCTCCAACGCCCAACCGGTTGATTCAAACATTTTTAAATCCAACGGATCGCCTACTAATTGTCCATCGATGATTGTAATACCGTGACATGTTACCATTCCAATGAGTACGTTATTAAGCGGTAGAATGGTGATGTCCTTAACGGGGATTTGAAATTTCTTCGATGAATTAGGAACCACTCCCCACATGTCGAGACCGTCTTCTGTTAATGTGCCTGTTTTGTCGAAACACACGCAATCGAGCGAACCGGAAACATTAATTGTTCTTGGACTAGTGCAATATATTCTATTTTTCACCAATCGATTTTGAGCTACCAATCTTCCTACTGTCATGGCTGCAGGTAGAGCTGGCGGTACTACGATTGTTATGAGATCCAAGGCTTCTAACACTATATGACTACTTGGAACGCCTCTCAAAACTTTGGTTACAATTGTAAATATCACTCCAATGCCGGCAATGCCCGCGAGCATTATAACAAACTTGTATGAATCCTGCTCGAATTTAAAGTCCACTGGCGGTGGATAGAGAATCGATCTCACTAGACCTCCCTTGCTGGTGTTGAAGCCCGTTCTTATCACGACTGCCAGCACCTGGAATTCATCAAAAAACCAAGTCATCAAAACTAATTCATCAAAGTTAGTAAAGTTCGTAATTTACTGGAAAGTTTATTAGAGTTAGATTGTTAGGATTTTGGGTATAATTTAAATAAATCATTACCTTTTCGGTACCAAAATATCTGGTTTGAATGACTTTGGTACCAGAGTAAAGGGTATGCCTGGCGTGCTCTTTCGTATCGTACATAATCTCCTTAGATGAGGGAATTGGAGTCTTAGTGACGGGAACAGATTCGCCAGTTAACATTGATTCATTCAGAATGCAATTACCAGTGAGGAGAACAGCATCACAGGGCATCAGACAACCATGAGGGGGAATGACTAATATATCTCCAGGGACAAGACGTTCTGCAGGTACTTCACAAGTGTGACCCAGTGTTCGATCACGCAATACTGTTGCAACATCGGAAGACGCAACCGTAGTGCGTAAATTTTGTTGATTCTGAAACCAATTGCAAACATTAAGACAAATCTGTTACTAAATTTTTTCTTTAAAATAATCATCTTCATCCTTAACCAAACTCCACCATTCTTTAGCATATAGAATACTCTTCCTATGCAGTTACAGTTACTGATTTTTTTAAATTCTTGTTACTAATTTTTCGAATCAATAATTATTCCCAAATACTTACACGTCGAGTCTGTAAGACAGCCATTCCAACGCTAAAACCCGACATTGTAAGAATAACCATCGCATAATAAACATAATTGTCAGCAATCCAAAGACTAAAACTGAAGATTTGGAAGACGTAGAATGGATTTAGAACCTCGAGGCACAATAATGTCAAAATTGTTTTCACCGAAATTACTATTTCATTGTTACCATAAATACTGCGTCTGAAGAATAAAAAGAAAGAAATTTTGATGCAGGAAACAAAACAATAAAATGGAAAAATATTTTAATAATAAAACCTAGGGAAATAACAATAAATTGTTAGTTAAGAGACAATTGTACCTCATGTACTGTTCAAGTGAACTCAGTCCAGTCATTTGATGAAGTGTGGAAGTAAGTACACCGCTATCTAATCCTCTAAGTTTGACAAATTCACTTCTATCTTTCTCCCAGACGTAGATAACTTTCTTGCAATTAAATGTAATGATTGATGGAACCGCTGAAAAGGGGAAAAATTCATTTGATAACAAATTTCTTTGACAAATTTTCTTTGACAAATTCCAGTGATGAATTACTAATTAGAAATTACTTACATTTAAATTGACCACCTGAAAGATGAACTGATAACATTGGAAATTCTTTGCCTTCAGAAACTGTGATGATACTATCATTTTCCGACCATGGTTCATTGTCAATTAGGCAGTCTCCGTCAGAGGATGCTTTTCTAAAAGAAAGAAAAAATTTTCGTACAACTTTGAAAAATTTTTGAAAATTCTAAAAAATAATCATGTAATACATACGATACTTCCTGAGCAGTAAGAGTCTTTATTTTCTTCACATAATAACTTGTGTGTTTGCCCTGAAATTTCTCTACAAGCAGAACGGTATCAGCCTCTTCCAAAAGACACTTTGAATGGGTTGCTTGCAACATTAAATGCGGAACCCAATGGAAAATCAGTCTAAGTAGTCCCCCTGTGATGATGATCAGACACCAAGTTGTGGCAGTTTGAATTGCGTTCCTTTTATACCTGTCGTCAATTAATTATTTCAGAAATATTTTATTATTCATTTCATTTAATATTTTCTTTCAACAAATAACTTTTCCCTGAAAAAATTTTTTTTTCTCTCTCTCTCTCACAGTTTTTCTGAGGATATCAAATTAAGTCAAAAAACGAATCAAAATGTTGGTTCGCAACACTTTTGATTCGCTTTTTGACTTAATTTGATATCCTTAGAAAAACTGTGGCTGTTCAGAAATTGTTTTATCATGAGTATAGTTTTAACGAAGAGAACATTAGTGTTATTGATTTTATCAACCAAAGAATGTTATTCAAAAACAAATTACCTTTGATATACATGTGTAAGAATGTAAAAAGAATTACATTTCTTATCGTGTGCATTTCTTGCAATTTAATTATTTAAGAGATAATTATATTAACACTCGAATATTATAATTTTTTTAATATAATTATTGAAGTATAATTACTGAATTATAATTATTGAATTAAAATTATTAAAGTACAATTATTTAAATTTGAACAGAATTATGAAACTATAATTATTAAAGTCTAATTATTAAAATCGAGATTAAAATACAATAATTGTTAAAATTAACGAAAACCAACATTCGTAGGTTTGTAAAAATCGGTAAAAATTTCTAAAGAGATAAAACTACTTATACTCTAACAAATTTTTTGTCCTACCTGCACGAAAAGTATGTCATTTCGGGCACTTAAAGTGGGCGCAAAGTAACTGATTCTCGCCCGGGGTCGGGGAAGCGGGCGCAAAAGTTCTTTTACGCCCGCTGACGTCACACAAGCGGGCGCAAAAGTACTTTTACGCCCGCTTGCTGGACTTTTGCGCCCGCTTCGCTCGTGCCCTCAATGCTATACTTTTCATGCAGTTAGGACAAAAAATTATGTTCGCAACATGGGCGCAATCACCTATTTTGCGCCCTTGATACGATAATAACTATTTCCTTTCTCCTTAGAGTTCGTCCATAAACTACATAGCCCCATATATTTGGGAACTTTAATTAAAAATTTAATTATTTTAATTACTCCCCCCACCACCTCTCTTTGAAATTAGTGCAATTTTTTCTGCTGGTAGTAGAAAATTGTTTACCTCCCCCCCCCCTTCCCCTAAAAATGCTAAGTAGTTTATGAACGATCTCAATTATTTTGTCAAAGATCCCATTTTTAAAAAGACAAAAAGAAAATAAATGAATTAATTTTCAATTAAAAATGACTAATTCATACCCGTAAATTTCCATTTGATCTTCCTCGCCTGGATTGACGTAATCCACGCCATTCTTGAGATGATGAAGGCCATTGCCTCTTGTTCCTGAAATTGAAAAAATTTTACTAGCAGTCATCGATTTTTGAAATATAATCTTATTATGATGATCGCGAAACACTATATACACTGCGTTGAAGTATATAAGCCACATGTGATTCGTTATATTATTACTAATACCGTGTACAGAATATACTTTCTCTAATATATACGTTTCATGCAGCTGACCGACTCAACAAGAATGACGTGATTTAATCGTTTCAAAGACTATTTTACAATTCCTAAACATAATTTGTTGAGAGCGAGTATTTTTTTTTTCTTTCTTCTTTTTGAATACTTATAATTTTATATTTGCTGAAACAGTATATGGGTGATTCTCCACGAAGTTGTAACTTTTTAGTACGATAACTTTTTTTTTAAAGAAAATTAATTTTTTTTTTTGTAAATTTCCTTTTGAGGAATTTCTTTAAATTTTTTTTTAAATAATAGAGTTTCTTTAATAAAAATGGAAATTTTGAAAGTATAATTGAATTTTATGAATAATTTCTATCAAGTTATTAAAAAATAATTGTGTTTCTCAATAATTGTAAAATTAAACAGTTAATTATTGAATTTTGTTAAAATATTTAGAAACTAATTTAAAATACCTAATTCTAAAATAAATTCATATTCAAAGAATTTTATTAAAATATAGAAAATAATAAAAGTCTTTCGTAGAATAGATACTATTAAAGTTTTAGACAATAATTGGACTTTTTCGAAAAATGTCATTAATTTTTTTGAATTTAACTTTGTTAAAAATTGTAATTATTAATTTTACAATATTAAAATAATTTGCGTATGATAATAAAATAAATAAAAATAATAATTTGTCGTTTTTTGGTGAATGTCAAAGGAATTCTTTATAGGAAAAAAAGGTAATTAACCTAAAGTGGTTAACGAGGGGTTAATGTCCGTATGACCTGTGATGCTAATGATGCCCGAAAAGTAGTATTTTAAACCCTTGTAGTAGTAGTAGTGGCAGTGGGGGTACACTACGTCAAGACACGAGAGTAAATTAATGAATGACCCTCATAACAACACTAATGCTATTATTAGCCAGGTAAGAAGGTCAGAGAAGGCTACAATTAGAAATCTTAGTTTAATACCTAAAGTTTTCTATATTATAATTCACATTTTTAGGAAATGGAATTTTGCCAAATAAGTAAATATTCTGTCAATGCAAAATTCGAAATAGAATGAAAACATTTTTTTACTCTTTTTTTTAGAATATTTCACTATAAAGAAACATTCGCAATTAGTTTCAATCTCCCAGGCCTTAAATATTATGATTTTTTCGACTTTTTTTTACTATTTTCAAAAAATGCGCCTTTTTCGACTTATTTTCAAAAATTGCGACTTTTTCGACTTTTCTTCCAAGTTTCTTCCAAGCTTTTAAAAATTATATAAAAATATTTTTGAAAAAAGTAATACTTATAGAATTTTTTCCTTGTATTTTGTTAAAATTCAATTATTTTCAATAATTTCAATTACATATTTCCGAAAATTCAAATACGTACAAAAAATAATAACATTGAAATTTTTTAGATTTTTAACACTTTGGAGAAAACAATTATATTTAACAGTTTTTTATTAAAATTCAATAAAAAATTTGTTTTTTTTTAAATTGTACAAAAATTCTTTAAAAGAAATTCAATTATTTTCGTAAAATTACATTGTATATTTAAAAAAAACTGAGTCTTAAAATTATTTCATTATAATTTTTAAAAATTAATTTTTATTAGATTTATTTTTGTTCCAATACAATAATTATCTTCGAACAAAATAAATTAAAATTTTTTTAAAATTTACTTTTTTAGAGTTTTTAAAATTTTGGAGAAATTATGTTCATTTTTAAAATTAAAATTTTTCATTTTCATTATTTCTTTTTATATTTTTTCAAAAATTAAATTATTCTTAAAAAATTTTACTAAATTTCAATTATTTGGAAATTTTTCAATTGTATAAATTAAAAACCTGAAAAATTTTAAAAATTTACTATTTACTAATTTCAATACAAATTTTACTATTTTTTGAAATTTAATTAATTTTTTTTACAAATTTTAGTAAAAAAATTTTAAATTTGACTATTTTTAATACAAATTTGACTAAATTGTTTTACAAATTTTGGAAATTACATTAATTTTAATACAAATTTGACTAATTGTACTACAAATTTTGGAAATTTAATTAATTTTAATACAAATTTGGCTAATTTTACTAAAAATTTTTGAAATTTTACTAATTTTAAAGGTGAAGAAGCTATCAATTTTCCGAATCAATTTTAACAAATAAATTAAATATCTTAAATAAATCTCTATAAGCTCATGGGTTACTAATTTTGTACTAATTACTAATTTTTACTAATTTTAGTTCAATATTTTCAACTTTACTAATTTTAATACAAATTTGATTAATTTTAGTACAAATTTTTGAAATTATAATAATATTAATACAAAATTTTACTAATTTTATTACAAATTATACCAATTTTTGAAAATTGACTTTAAATTTTAATACAAATTCTACTAATTTCAGTACAATTTTTAAAAAATTCTCTAATTCTTATGCAGATTTGATTAATTTAAATACAAATTTGGCTGATTTTAGTAAAAATTTATGAAATTTTAATAATTTTTGTTCAATATTTTTAAATTTTACTAATTTTAAAGAAATTTGATTAATTTTAGTACAAATTTTTGATATTATAATAATATTAATACAAAACTTATTAATTTTCGAAATCTTACTAATTTTAATACAAATCTTACCAATTTTTGAAATTTGACTAATTTTTCTAACTTCTACTAATTTCAGCAATTATTTTTGAAAATTTACTAATTTCAATGCAGATTTAATTAATTTTAATGCAAATTTCACTAAGTTTAATAGGAATTTTTAAAATTTTACTATTTTAATAAAAATTTGACTAATTTTAGTAAAAAATGGTTAAAATTTGGCTAATTTTAATACAAATTTGACTAATTTTAGTAAAAATTTTCCTAATTTGACTCCTTAATTAAAATAGGACGGCCCTGGTAGTAACTGAGACAGAAGTCGAATTAAATTAAAAAAAAATTTTTAAATTAAAATTCTACATAAAAATTTAATTATTTCTTTTTATATTGTTTAAAAAATTCAATTATTTTTAAAAGATTTTACCAAATTTCAATTATTTGGAAATTTTTCAATTGTATAAATTAAAAACCTATAAAATTTCAAAAATTATTTAAAAATACATTTGAAAATTAATTTTAAGAATTAATTTTAAGAATTTCTTTATTTTAATTTTTTAAAAATCAATTACTTTCAACATTTTTGGTTAAATATTTTCAGTAATTCATCTTGATAACTTTTATAAAAAAGAACCATAAACATTTACAGTTACAATAATTCTGAAAAATTGAATTTTTGTATTTAAATAATTGAAAGAAAAATTAAAAAATAAAAATAAATTTGGAAATGAAGTTTAGTTAAAAATTGTAGAAAATAATTAAATTTTGGAAGGGTTATAATTGTAATTTTAGGAAATTATTAAATTTCAGAAGGTTTTAATTTGGGATTTTTCTAATTTTATTTTCCATGGAAAAGCAAATAAGAATTCTTAATATTTATTTAATAAAATTATTCAAGTTTTGAAAAATTGAATTTAGAAATCAGTGAAAGGGGAAAATCAGGAGAATACAAAATAAAATTCTTGTGACAAAAAAAAGTCGAATACAAAAAAATGTCGAAAAAGTAATTTAGACTCTTTCGACTTTTTTTTGTATTTTTAATCAACTTAAGCGCTTTTTTTTGCTCCTTAAAGTCGATCCGTAGCCTGATCTCCTTATCATAATTGTCTTCTATTAAATAAACTCTTTGAGTGCTATTTCTAATTCATGAAGATCTAATTAAAGATATTCTTTCATTACAAAAAAAAAAAAATTATTACTCTCCAAGTCATCGCTACGATAGTAAAGTAATTAAACTGTTTACTATTTCTGATAAAAGATTTTTAGAAAAATATAATGATTATTAAGTTGGATAATATAGATGATATACATAGAAAAAGATGACTAACTGGGTCATGACGATGAATAATCGAGTCATTGACTCTATTTTATATAATATGATATAATATTCTATTTTCTGCTATGTTCCTTCTATTTTTTTTTCTAGAACATCGTTTTCTTTTTCTTTATAATAAATTCCCCTTACCCTCTAACAATTCCGTTTTTTGTTCCTGTTGTTGTTTTGTATTGCCTCCATTACATCTGCTTCCAAAAACACTATATGAATTCCTCCCAAAACTGATGTTGAGTTTACTGGGTGTAGTTGGCATTTTTGTAAAAATTAAGAAATTTGTGAAAATTCTTTGAAATAATACCAAGAGACTTTGGCACACACCTTCGGCTTATCTTCTTCCTTTTTTTTCTAAAATCACTAGTTTCTATAAATACTAAAACTTTCTAAGATTTATTGTCCTTTGACTTTTTGGTTTTTTTCTTTTTTAAAAAAGTCTCGAAAAAATTGTGGAGAATCTTTTGAAAATTTCAGGAAGAACTCGCGATCCGGAAGTTTTGGAAATAGAGACCAATCCTTTCCGGGTGAGCCATCTGCTACCGACATTGGTTATCATTCATTCTCAAGAATTTTTTTGCAACGATTAATGTTTTCATTATGAGGCCGTTTGATTGCATTTGATTAATGAAAAATTGAAAAATTCCTTTTTTATCCGGGGAAAATAAATTCCCTTTGAATTGTGGTCAGGACCACGATGAACGTCCTTTGCCTTGGAAAATGTTAATTAATAATTGTTTTAATGAAGGAGTCAGAAATTTGATAATTTGCAGCTGGTGCTATCGTTTTGGGCTGATTTTTGGATGATCGTGTCAGTCACCAGGATCAGTGAGTTTTCGCCATCCAATGTGAGGCGTTGTTACTGCTCGTTCACCCTCGCTCATTCCGCGCTCCAATATTGCAAATAAGTCTTGCGATTTAATGAAGACTGTTAAATTTGATTCGGA